CTTTTTTTTTGCATTGTGCTCTTTGACTTCTATTGATCGATGTTTTTCAATGAAATCTACATATATAATCTCGATACGACTTAATCAATGTCAACTGTCACCTTTTGTATACGATTGATTTCTTCTGAACCAAGATTACTAACCTTATTTACATATGTTACGTACCTTCGTGTCATTTTCCTTCTTTCTTTACACAGAGGAAAATCTAATGATGATCAGACATACCGCCCAAAGTGCCATGGCTACTACACAACTACTAACACACATGTCCATATATCCATTACTCTTCCTTCTTTCTCGGCCAGCAAACTCACTATCATAGCTCTCTGACATTTCTTTCTCTCGTTCTGTGTTCTTCTTTTTTCTCGCGCATAAAACTATATTGTATGCGTGTGCAAGCGCGATTTTAATGAGTTCTTCTCCTCTCTGTTCAGTAATACATAGAACGTGCACACACGAATCCTCTCATTTCCTCTAACGAAGAAGAGAAGAGAAATAGATGTCTTCATTATTCTACATTTAATATCTGAAGACAACAGTAAAGAATAGCGTAATTTAATCGAAAGAACATTTAGCAAGAGCATAAACGATTACCGTTAATCAATGATACGAAATTTTCTTTCGATTTAATAATGTCACGTCGTGAAGATATCTTTCCCATGTGAAATGACGCAACGAACTAACTTACTCATTCGTCATGGTAATAGAAATTACCACTATTGCTCTTCTTGCCTACATTGAATCACCAAACGATACTATCGAGTATTTAAGAGCCAAGAAAAAGATGATGTTTGCATGTGTGACACTAATCTGATCATCCTAGCAATAGATTAGAACGATTAAGGAAAAAAAAAACTGTCAGAATAGCACTTGATAAGAATAAACCATGACCTTGTGTTCTTCACTCGACGGACATCATTGTTCAACAAAAAGAAAAATGAATCACAACCGTTATCTCTTTCTCGTGCTAGGAATGATCGTTAAAACAAAGCGAAGAACATCTTCGACTACTGTATCAATGAATACACACGACTTGTGATAGATATACATGAACTCCAGTCGTCTGCATGTTTTTCCCATCTGATATGTCCAAAGAAAAAAAAAACATTAATACCTTTTGACATCCGTTCAGATCAAATAGAATCAGGCAATTAATAACACATCTTTTTTGCATAATAATCGTATCTGGCGATGTAATAATTAGCCGTTATCTCCCACAATTGAGCATCTCTTCGTTCGTTTGCGCTTCAATTCGTTCTGATCACATGCTGAATTAGATTCAAATATAATATACATGTGAATATATACGTACAGATGCCTACGACTGCCTATTACACATTTAACACTCTTACGTAATATTGTTTTTTATTGTTCAATCATCATCGACTCACACTTTCAATGGCAGTGACAGCTTCACACTGTATACATATATATGGAGAGAAGGAGAAGAGGAAAAGTGAGTGCGTATGTTGACAGTTTTCTTTGTGATTATANATTAGATTCAAATATAATATACATGTGAATATATACGTACAGATGCCTACGACTGCCTATTACACATTTAACACTCTTACGTAATATTGTTTTTTATTGTTCAATCATCATCGACTCACACTTTCAATGGCAGTGACAGCTTCACACTGTATACATATATATGGAGAGAAGGAGAAGAGGAAAAGTGAGTGCGTATGTTGACAGTTTTCTTTGTGATTATAATAATTTAAACAGATCAATACTTTCTTCCTTGGCATATGTATATATTCACTGCATCAGTATTGGAAGCAGGAATATAAGATGTTATCAGAAGCATACATCATATAGACAGCTTATTTAAAATTCACAGCGCATGATATTCATTTGATACGATGCTTACATAAGTCTTTGATGCGATGTTGTCGATCAAGTATTCAAGTTACTCATACACAATCGACTGACATGATGTCTCCTGCATATTCTTTCACGTCCCGCGAGTTGAACGCTTGTTAGTAATAAAGATAAAGTAAATGATTGTTCGGCGATTCTCTTCGTTTTTTCAAAAAGAAAGTATACAATCGTTGTCCTAGACGCGAGGAGAAAGACATACATATACAATTAAATCAAGGGCACTCATTGATAAACAAGAACGTCGCAAGGTGTGGTTGAAGGAGAACTAAAAAAAATAAATTATGCATTTCCTAAGGGATATATTGTATTGATTGATTCCGTAGAAGAATAGGAAAAATTCATTCTTTTGATTATATTATCTTAGAGTAACCTTCGAACTTATTTGTTCTTGTATTTTCCCTAAGTCCTGTCTCGATATATACTCTCTGACATATGTCATGCGCGACGTATCAGATTCATGAAATAGATTGATTCGTCAAGTCAGTCTGTATTTAATAGTAAACATACACCATTTAATATCCAATGTGAAGGATCTTTCTTCGTTGGAAGACTCGCTTCGAAGACCAATCCAATTCCCATAGCATTCCGGCGGTCACTTGTGACATAAACTGGTGTAGCAAGAGAATTATTTAGATTCACGCGATGCGTTTCACTGGGCATGATTTTTATTAAAGGCATCACTTGAATTAGTTGCTTGTTTAATTGCTCAATTAAACAATAGTTCTCTCGATCCCATCGTGCACCTTCGAGATATAAACCTTCGAGTAAGCATATACCTTGAGTTGATTCATCGATATCATCTAAATTGTCAGAAATGCAAGCGAGAGAGAGATCAGCTTTATTTGAGCTTGAAAACGAACCGATCGTTTGCCAATTGGTTACATTAGTGTCGAACCTTGCTCGATCCAATGGCCATTGATTCTTTCGTGCAGCAATCTGAACAATCGCAGCTAAATACGATTCAGGTACATGTAATCGACTTAAATTGACGATTTTTAATTCACCTATGCGATACAAAACGCGCATAATCATATCGTTCCAATCATCTCTTCATATTACCATCATAGATCCATTTTTCGTATTGTAAATTTCGTTGTCGAAAGAGTTCCATCCAGTTCGCTAGTGATTTTTTCGTTTGTGGTGCATACGATCTCCATGAAAGTGGTATTTGTCCATGATAGAGATATTTGTTGATTTCATCGAGTTGAATTGAAAAACTAATTTGACCGTTCAACGCTTGTTTTAGGTCATTCATCGATTTCCACATGATCGACGTGAGATAATTGTATCGTTGAATTTCTTGAAAGAGAACGGTTGTTAATGGTGTTGATCGTTGTTGAAATTTTTGTTTGAGAAAGTGGAGATCTTTTTTCGGGGGGATTTGTCGAAGGATATCATCGATCAAAGATAGAACAAATTCTTAAAATTGATCAAATTCTTAGTCATGGTTATCGTCAACGGTATGACCTTACGATCTCGACTTGAACTATTCTGGATTTCATTTTGCTCGGGCTGGATAAGAATCATGTTAGCATAGATTTCATTGGCTACTTTAGTAAGATAATTGATTTCAGCATTGCTATGCAATCCAAGTACATCGGGTGGATTGTAGAGTGGCAACTGATCGACGTATGCTTGGTAGAAATCGCGAAAGACCGAATAGTGGAAGAACTGATTGAAAAGAACATTTTTTGAGAATGATTTATAGTCGATTTGTGTATGTTCGAATTGATGTTGGCTACGATGGAGAAGATTCGATACTTTTGCTGGGAGGAACTTTTCAAAATTATATTCGATTTGTGGTTCAACCTGAAATCGATATTGAAGTCATGAGAGAGAAATTCAATGGATGGAAAAGTAACATACAGACAGATTCGCTTGCTTTAATAACCATCGTTGTTTTGCCGAAAGAAAATCTCGTATTTCAGGAACGAAATAATCATATTTCTCTGAAGAACTCGTATCACGAAAGAAATGAAATGGTTGAATATGATCGAAAACGAAATCACCAAAAAATTCCTTCATATAAGTATGAATAAGACGACGATCATACGAATCAATTACACGACCGCCATACATCACTGCAATGTAGGTCAAGCCAATTCGATTCGTGAGACTTTCCCGAAAAGAGAGATGTTTACCTTCACCAATCAAATACCGTAGTGTTGGCCATGGAATATCCAGACGGCCGTGTTCTAAGCTCATGTTAAGATAAGCCTTGAGAATATCTACGGACACACGAACTAAAACGAAAGATGCTCCGTGTATTTTTACTATTCAATAGATACTGTACAGTCCGATTCGTTGAAGTCGTAAGTACATGACCAGCCAATTTTCTCGTATTTTCTGCGATCAAGTATGACAGCATGGAAGAAGGCGAGAACGAATATCAGAGGCGGATATGCTGGATGATCGGATTCAGAAAGCGTTTGTATATTTAGATTCGCAAATGTAGAACGAAGATTCAATTTCAAAGTCGAAGGTGGTTCGATGACTACCTTGTAGGATTTTTGAAGAAGGCCAACTGAAAACGAGAATTCAAATGATGATTAGAAAATTTGACGGAGCTTACTGGGAAATCGTTCAATGGGTTCAGTAGTCATCCACAGACGAAAATCAGGCTATGGCACAAAAACAGAGAAAACAAATAGTATTTGGCTTTTGACAAAGCGAAAACGAAAATTTACATGTGGCTTTGTGGCAATCTCCAATTCTCTCTCTAATTCATTCAAAAACGACAGAAGTAAATGACAATTTTGCAATAAGAGCCAAGTTCCTTGATACTGTGCGGTATGTAAAGCCTGTAATGTCAATTTCTCCTGTCCCTGTCCCATGGCTAATATTCTTAACGATCTCTGTTCTTCCATGCTGTTGCTGCTGTTTCCATGTTCAATGGTAATCTTTCGTAGTTGAGTTTTTCGTTCCGATAATTTTTGTATGTCATTTGTAGGATCTGAGCCTGGCGAGAGGACGAATATTATCGGTATTTGTGCGGTTGACTGATCGAAAATCGCGTCAAAATAAATCGTCGGTGGAATAATGTATTTCTGTCCCATGACTTTCGTAATGTAGTTATTAATTGCGAAGATAATTCGATTCGGAACGAAACATCGCAGCAACATTAACTTTTCGAAATCTGTTAAGTTATCATCGAATGGTTTTGGAAAGGAAAATGCTTCCGGTCGATCATGTTCGTACCAATGTTTCCATTCGTCGGATTTTTCTTGAATGTCATTCAGTAACTCATGAAACTTGTCCGGGAAATGTTTCGATAGGTATGAGCAATGATGATAGGCATCAAGAGTTAACCAGTCTACTAAGGGCGTTGACGGCTTATCTAATGATACATTTCCTTTAAGAAAAAAATCGATTTGATGGGAAGTTAGTCGCTGTTGATCGAATTCGATTTGCGTGGTCAACAGAAACGAATAGAGTAGTTTATGTTTTTCAAACGTTCCTGTTGTACCGTAACAGTAGATCTGATAAGTTAATGTATTAATGATCGATTGCAAACGTTTATCCAATTTCACGTTCGCTTGTGAAGTTCTGACACTGTATTCGAAAACAGACAGAAACGAATTGAGAGAATATTGATACTAAAAGAGAACAACGTGTTAGGATGTTTTCATGTGGAAACAAACCATAGGATTTATCGTCGACATTTGGATTAAGGAAAAGTAAAGTACGGCACCACGTCGGGCAGCTGGTCTGTACGTATCGCGTAGATTTTCAATATCGAATCGAGTTCGTTCGCCTAGACTCAATGCTTGAATAACTTCTTTGACTTTTGTCTTTGTATTTTCCAATGTTTCGACTAACTCTGTGTTGTCCAAAATGTTTCTAAAGGAAATATTTCATCTCAGGTTTGTCTCCGATCGAATCCACAAACCCTGTTGTTGTTGTTAATTCTCTCAAGAGTGAGTCTTCGAGAGTTTTTTGTTGTTGTTTATTTTCAAAAATTTCCTGGATTAATGAGTCGCGCATTTCTTCCAATTCGCGTCGTTCAATTTTCACCAGAGAAGATAATAACTGTTCTTCTAAACCTTTCAATGTCACTGTATAATTTATAACTTTCGAATAGGAAAAGTGAAGTGTAGTCAAGTGAGGATTCGATAAACGACAAGTTAAATACATGCGAAAATTTCGATCAATATCAATTTGCTTGTCACCTAATTTAACGAACTGATGATTGGAATCACCTTGAACATTTTTCGATAGAATATCCAAGATAATCGGATCGATGTACTCATCAACATCTTTGAAAAGTACTGGGTATCTAGAAAAATTTGCATGAGTTTTATAAAAGGTGATTTTGATAGACTGACCCATATTTTACTGCTAATTCTAGATGTTTGAGAAAATCTCGGTCTTTCATTGATAAGATTTTCAAATTCGCTTTCTTTTCTCGTTGTTTAATCCATGACAGGCCTTGTAATTGAGGATCTATGCAGTAAGGAAACCGATTGGTTTGTAAGGTCAAGATTCCATTCTGTATAGAGAACTCATCAGCAGGTAATCCTTGAGAAATCCATTCGGAAATTTGAACATTGGTCGAAAGAAAATTCTGCACTTGAAATTTGTCACTAAAAAGAATCTTCTTTTCAATTAAACTCTTTTCCCATTGATTATAGATTAATTCTTGGCGAATCTCATATGTAAATGGACTGCAATAGGCAAGAAATGCACTTGATAGTAAGCAATTTCCAATCAATTCATATTCGTATTCTTTTATCTGTTGTAACTCATTCGTCCATCGTGATATTTCGCTTTTAAAGCCGGTCAACAACTTATCGGCAGCGGTACGTCGACGGGTAGCAATGTCGGTCTCTTCTTGAAATTTGATTTTGTCTTCCATAGCGGTATCGAATCGTTTATGAGAATCGTTTAACAGGGTTGTATATTTCTCGATACTCGATTCTAAACGGTTGAGCTCCAAAAGATTCGTTTCATAATCACTTTCGATCGATAGTAGACGATCCTTTTTCGGTTTGGTCTCACGATATTTATCCATGTAGTTGTCAACAGCAAGAAGAAACTTCAAAAGGCCACCGCCAACACGGCTCACATTTGTCATTAGAGTTAACAATTTCATTTCGCGATCGGATTTTTCCAATGAAGAATAGAGATGATTGGAATCGAGCTTTTCTTCCAGTTTTTTCAGATGAATTTTCAATTGAGTTGCTTGTTTCGAGGTAAATGAATCAGGATCGTGGGTCTTTAAATTGGTGATGAACTTCATATCAGCCATTACTGCTCGAACCTGAACGAAATGAGAGTAAGTCGGCTATTTCAGTTTCATTTATTACGTCTTTCCAACTGATCGATGAGTGACCCAAGTAGATCAGCATGCAGTACCCGATCAATCGCAATGCATCCACTGGATTCACGAAACTACGCATTTCAGTTATGTCCGCTGCTTTGAGTGTATCGAGACCTTGTTGAGCTTCGAGTAATGCCGGCATTGTTTCTTCTAACTGCTCTTCGGCTTCATGCTTTTCTTTCGCAATTATGATCATTTGTTCATCGACTACCTGCTTCTTCTCTAAAGCCTAAAAACGAAAATCATTTGAACATCTATAGTGACATTGTGCTTACTCGACTTTTTCGTTCAGTTTGCTTAGCGGTAAGATTAGTTATTTCTTCGAGTAGATCATCACATTTTTTCGCTTTTATAGCTAAAATATTGATGTAGAGTGGCGTGTTCTCTTTGACTTCATACTCACCGAGTTCTTTACGCTGTTTTTCAAGTTTTTTGTCCATCTCTTCAATGAGAACGCTCGCTTCATCAATACGGACAATGCCGATATTTAACCGTTCTGTCTGTTTAATTAAATCTTCAAATTTTTGTCGATAGAGCTGAAGAAATGTTCGGATAAAGTCGAGATAGTTCTTCGGAGTGGCATAAGCACTTCGATGCATCTTTTCGACATATAAATCACAATAGAAATTAGCTGATTCATGAACCATGGCCATATGTTCAATAATCTGCGTTTTTAATCCATCCGAAATCGCTTGAAATCGAGAGATAAAGTGTTCAGCTACAGCAAATCTATACATTCAGCGAAAGATAATCACGAAATTCAAAGAAATCAACGCTTACAAAGCCTGCGAAGGCCAACGAGCAAAATAATCGATAGTCGTATTATTAATCAATGCCGGAAAGTTTCGAATTCTCAAAAAGAAAGATCCATTACGTTGCAACCGATAAATTAACTTACCGATTACGCAGGAGATCTCCACTTGGATTCATACATAGAACAACATGTAAATTCCATGTGCATTTATCAACAAAATAATCCCAAACATTTTCATTCGATGGCATTTGAACAGTTCTCAATGCCTCTTCACGAATTTCACTAATAATATTATCTCTTTCCTACAAAAGAAAGTCAAATAATAATTTATTCGACATTCCGTTTACTTCGTCGCTGAACAGAGTAGGTATCATTCCGTTAGCTAGAATGTTATTTATATACTCCAAAAAGCTTTCGTCGACAATTTGAGCATCCGCTAGGAGAAAGACGGTTGGAATATTTTTCAAACCAACTTGGCTAAACAACACTTTCATATCTTCTCGAAAGCTCGATTCATTATAGTTTCTCGTTAGTTGAATTTCAAAGATCACATATTTGGCTACGAAAGCGGCAATTTTGGCCAATAGCTTCTTTCCCGAACCTCCCGTGCCAATCAATAACAAATGTCCGCGATCTAACCGAAGCACTCGGTAGATGCGCGTGATGTGCGCTAATGCATCATTGAATAGAACGACATCGATATTACCGTACTGGTCTTTATATTCGACGACGATTTCATCAAATATTGCGCGTATGGCTGGATAATCTTGAAGGTCTTCATAGATCTTCGGTTCACCATCGTGCAAAGCTGTTCGATAGTCAGCATAAAGAATAGGACTACGGAATAGATAGTTCTTTTGATCTTTGATCAAGCAATTTTCTTCCAGGATTTTCATGAATAATTCATGATCCTTAACATCATTGAAACGATCGGAAAAGACTCGAATACATTCGTGGATCCAAACACGAACAAATCGTTCTTTTGTATTGAATCGCTCGGGAGTTGTTTGGAGAAGACTTTGAACAGTTCGACTGAGATCCCGTAATGAAAAGATATAATGCGATTTCAACGGTGTTGGAACAAATAGCCGCACAACATGATTGTAAATTTTTAATGTAGCATTGATCATACTTGAGATCATGTCTTGGATATCCGAACAGAATGTTACGACATGATTCTGTAAGATTGTAGAAAATATACGAAAGAGAGATTCATGTGATGGTGATGGAATATAGAAAACGCTAAAGTGACTAAGAAAACGAGGGTCGAGGTGATTACTACTTCCACCTGGAACGAATTAATAAAGGATAGATTAATATCCGGTTCAAAGAGAATACATACTCGGAGTGTCCATCGCTACAATCCACTCGATATCGGTGGTAAATTTCCAATTCAACTCGTCGCTTCGTTCGTACATCCCCTGTTTTTCGATCAATAGCTTCAAGAAAGCGATGGCTTGCTGAGTGCCGTACTGATCAATTTTTGGCATTGAAACATCGTCAAGAAAGACGATTAGTTTCGTTCCGGCTGACGGTCCATACGTATCTTTCGAACGTTTTTCTAAATGACTTTCGATTGAACGCTGTACGTCAATTGACTTCGTTCGAAAGGAAAAATTCAATTTCAAATTCATATATTGACTAACGAAACGACGTAGATACGACAGAATAGTCGCGGTTTTACTAGATCCAGTATCACCGACGAATAGTACAGGATGGTGAATGCAGATCATCGACTGAAGTAACCATTCTAAAATAACTCCGAATTACTCAGTTGTCTTCGTATCGATGATCCCTTGTTATACCTAAACGAACTGTATCGACAGTAGGAACAAACAATTCTGTGAATCGCTGTGATCGGTCATGCTCATATTTTGGAATGAGATCATCCCAAATTTGCCACTGATTCAATTCCATTTGGAACACATGATCAAAGAGTAGCGGTTTCTCATGTGGCATCTGATTTGGTTTTGCTTTCGCACCAACGGTTGCAGTTGGAAGGCCGGAGAGGTATTTGATAAAATCATCGACAATGATTCGATCTTCTTGTTTCAAGCAAGCACCAAACGACCAGATCATAGCTTGAAGAAAAATTGCATGAATGACATCCGCTGTTAGCTGTATCTGATTTTTCTTCTCATTGTTCATCAATGACAGAAACAAGAAGTCGAGTAGCTTTGTTAATTGTACGATAATATTTACTGGAGTTCTAAAATGAAGAAATCTTTTCAAATATACTCTCCTTATGTCAATGGTTGATTTACAGCGGGACAATCATTTTCATTCTTGGTCTTCGTTCCGTATCGGTTACACCTTGATAAATCAGATTGATCAGATTTTGGACGTATCGATCATAGAGTAATTCTAATTGATGCTTCTCATTTGACCGATCCGTGAAATTCCTATTCAACCATCGTTTCCATACTGGAGCGAGTCCTAGATTTTCCGGATCGACGTAAATCATTCCACAACGAGAAATAGTAGCTGGTGATGCATATTTTAAATCGCCAACTTCAAACAACAGGGAGCAATGATCTTGCAAACGGATACGTTCACCATTGGCTAATGTCAATAGTTTATTATCATCCATGACAGAATTCTGAAAAGGAAAATAATCGGTCGTCTTTCCAGTCGTATTTATCAAGAAAAGGCAACACCATATTTTCAATCCAGAGTGCATCCACATCACCATCAAATACGATACAGCGCCTTTCATTTCGCGTTGTTGACTGATTGATCATTCGGAAGAGTAGTGAAACAATACCGTCGGACCATTCGTCTGCAACAGGAAAGGTTTTCACATAATCTGACCATAAAACTCTGTATAGTTACGTGTTAATGGATCGAGTATTCCGTACAATTCAATCACGTTAACTGCTTTTGGGTTAAGCGTGTATAGACTTGTTTTTATTCCCATTTGAGTTTGTGCTTTCGCTAATATGTTCAGTATGACTGTTTTTCCTCCGCTGTACATTAAACATAAACTTAATTTCTCAGAAAATATATCATTCAATCTCGTGTTTACCTCGTTGGTCCCACTAACATCGTCGAATGCCGTGTCATCATTGTTTTGTACAGCTGAATAATCTTATCGATTTGTCCCGAAATTAGACTGTAACTTTGATCGGCTAGTGTAGTTTCAATAATTCGATTGAAATCTTCATAGTGTATCTCTGGACAATGAATATTAGGAAATAGATCGTTCAGTAACGCGTGAAATAGAGTGACATCATCAGAAATAAACTTTGGTACATTCATATCTTGCAAAGCTCTCAAAAGAACAATTTCTTCGCGATCATATCTCATGGTTGTACGTTTCAGATAACCAGCCATTGATAGAACAGCTTTGAAACTTCGTAAACCCCAATCATAATGATACTGAAACACAGAGTATGATCAAACAGTACAAATTTATCATGACACTACTTGTTTACTAATCAATTCTGATGCATAACGATACAATGTAACCATTTTCTTGGCTAATAATCTTGCACTGAGAAAACCATTAGCGAATAGCTTGATTTCTCCGATGTATTGCATATCAGGTACACTGAAAACGTTCAATTTTTTTTGTTGGAAATTCAAGGACTAGAAAGTCTAGTTACACGACGACAACCGGCCGAAAGAGGGTTTTGACTGATTCGGGCAATTCTGTTCGTCCAGCATAGCCAGGATTCATGGTAACGAATATTCCCACAGTCGAATGCAGATGAATATAGTGATACTCGAAAAGAAACTCTGATTGTCGCAAGAAAAGTGCTTGTTGAATGGTTTTAACTTGAGTCGATATAACACTTAGCACTGATGCTTCAATACGATTGAATCTTTTGATCAGATTGTCTTTATCAGATGATTGTAAAATGATAGTCATATCTTACTCATCGAAACAACCCCAAGCGCCCGTCTGGCATAAACCATTCAAATTCTTGCCGATTGCTTGATAATCCATTCCTAAAATATTACCCAAAGTAGAATAGTCGTATTGTGTGATTCAGCTTCTCGATCGAATACCTTCGCCACAATTGGTCACAACGCAGAGAAGACCCATGGCTTTTGCCAAATCCTTCACAGATTCTGTTTTACCCGTTCCTGCTGGTCCAGCTAGAAACAGACAACGACCGGTATCGACACAGAATCTCGCAGTACATTCGACCAACCTGGTGCACATCCAAGAAACATCGATAAAGCCTAAGATGGAACTGATGAATACCTTATCATCAAGAATCGATAGTTACTTGAGTAATCGTCAAGTAGATTCGGTCTGTCAGTGGTGTTATAACAAGGCGACCATTCAAACCCATGTATTCATAACCTAATCAGCAAAATAACCGTCGAATAGTAGTCAAAATCACAAACCATAGGGAAATTTTCCGTTGCATTGCTCCAAGTAAAGATTATCTTCTTTCAGCAACCAATAAAACCGCAATTGACTTTGCCATGCACTAAATTCGACATAATCAAAAACGTAATAAGATCATTTCGATCAACTCACAAATCATGAGGTTCGTTAATTCCATCACGAATTAAAACATCAACCATATCACGAGTGTGCACATCAATAGTAAGCACCGTTTCATATTTATTATACTCGTCTGATATAGGAAGTGAGAATAACGGTAAAAATGAAAGTAAGAAGTTTAATTACTTGATGTTAGAGATTTTCGCATTTCAAAAACAATTTCTTCAATCTGAACATTCAACTGTTTCACGTAGAACTTCATTGCAGAACGTTGATTATGTTCTGTCATTTTATTGAATTGACTAAATCAAAGAATCGATTGAATAATACAATATCAACTCATTCGATTGCATACTCTTCGATTTCCCACGTACTCCACAATTGATTTACTGCTAACACGACCATTCCAATATATTGTCTCATCCATTCCAAACGATTTTGTTTGAATCGGTAATAAAAGGTAGCATCTTTCGTTATAGAACGATTCGAATATTTCATTTCTTTCTCGATATTTGACATCCACACTTCAACTTTTCCGTGACACTCAACTGGATTAACGAATTTCATTTCTTCTCTCTCCATTGAGACCATTCCTATCACATAAATCATCGTTCGATGATGTTCTTCTTCTTGAGATAACTCGTTCTCTTGTTGAATGAAATTCAATGCAGCGATGTTATCAAACATTTTTTGCAAATATCCTTGAATGTCCTCCGAGTTCGATGATCCGATTATGGAGAGAAGTTCATCGTCAGAAATGAAGTAAAATCGAGGAAATGATTGTCGTTTGGTGCCGAGATATTCATGTAAACTTTTCTGAATCTTTTCAGTTAAAGATAAAACTGATTTGAGTTCGTCGTATCGACCGGGATGAGTGCAGGCATCTTTCACTAGTGAATTTCTTGAAGTCTCTAGAAAACACGAGAGCAATACATAGCGACCAGTCGCTACCATTAGTGAGGAGACGTGCCTAACATTATTTTTCGATATAGCTTATCTGCAGTATCGAAGCGTTTCGCTTCTTCACCAAACTGTAAACTCGAGCCGATGAATATATTTTCTAGATACATCCATTTTTGCTGGACGACAGTCCAAATTTTGATCACGTCGGAGATCAAAGAGAGAACACGAATCCATTGTTCGACTTGTGAAAGATAAATTCCGACGAAACGCGACATTGTTATACCTCAAAAGGAAACAATTAAGTGATATATATAAGTATGGGCTGAAGTTTTGCAGTACCGTTGAGAAGTAGTATGGAATCTTCCAGTGCTTGAAGAATTTCATTCACTCCCGAGATCAAGAAACCACGATCTTGGTGTGCACTGACATTCGACGTATTACGCGTGTGTTTCTGGATTTGAAAACGCATGTTATTCCATTGTTGTTCGATATCTTTGAGATTCTTCTCAATTTGTAATTCTTTGATGGAAGTTTGGAGAATGTCTAGAATATACACTTGACCGGCTTTGACTCTTTGGACTATCGATATCGATTACTTTGAATGATTTCTTGATATTGATGTAAATTCATTTGAAAGATATTATCCAAGGTAAGAACATTGCTAGTTAAATCGATTTCTACATTGGTTTCGCGAATGATTTGTTGCCAATGACGTTCTCGTAATGCTTCGTGTTTTAAATCAAGCATGATAGGAAGTGATGACCGAAAATCTACATAGATATGAATCGACAGCGGCTTCAAATAGTAGACATCGACCATGCAAGATGAATTCGCTCATACTTATGAAGTATCTTTCTACCGCACGGCCAACATTTGTGGATTTGATTTCCGATGGTAAACGTCGAAAAGCTTTGACGAATGAATCGACATTGACAATCAGTTGGCTGATATCCAGTTCGGACCAGAGGATATTAGCCCAAAGTTTTTCATTGTGTTTGAAATCATTGTAAAGGTTGAGTAGAATGTGCAGATTATTGATTTCTTGGTGCAAACGCGTCAGTTGTGGGTGATTTAGCAATGATATATGAAAAAGTTTCATCACATTGATCAAATCGATTTTTCGCTGTTCAATTTTATGAAGTTCAGTTTGATATTGTTGAGTCAGTTGGAAACTTCGCTGAAGATCATTTTCTATTGTGTATGGACCGAACTGATCGAATCGCTGGACGAGGTTATCGATCATTTGTTGAAAGAATTCAACATCATATTGAATTATTTCGCGAAAACGTTCACGAATCGATTTTAGACGATGTTGGATGACATGCGATTGTTGAACTATGTCTTTTAAACGAGGTTTCAGTGTTTGAATGAGAACCGAATCCGATTGAGGATATTCAAACTGATTTTCGTGTAAAATTCGATAGGATTGTTCAATGTCATCGATTGTATGTTCAATTGATTCTTGTTGCTGATGGACTCTATCAATTATATTCAAAACATATTTTAAATCAGGGACTGTGTCAGCATCGTGACGAAGACCTTGCGAAAGATTATTCAATACATCATTTGTTTCTTTGAGTTTAGTCGACATTTTTGTATACAAATGCTGACCGTAAAGATGAATCCAGCCTCGACAGTGGTATTTCAATGCTTGATAGAATTGCTTCAATGATAATTGTATGCAATAGAGATTTTGATTGTGAAGATGATGATCAAAGACTCGGTCAACTTTAGAAAACATACTCATCATTTCATCATAGTCGGAGTAATGATGCGATTTCGAAATAAATTGACTGATCAATTTTTGCTTATCGTTTTTCCACAGATCGTTGTAGGCTAATAATTTGGTTAGTATGTGATTGATTGCAGTGACTAATCCCGAAGCATAAGCGCGAATTGGTTTCAACATTGAGATCTACGAAGACAAGTTTATTTCTTCAAAATAACGATTTATCATCACTTACAACATCAGCATGTTGTCTAACATCGTTATAGAAAGTAAAATCCGGTGTTTCAATCTCTTCGTTTGATATGGATAATGACGGGCACGATATACAAGTGCCATGTAACCAACGTGTGAAGTACTTAGGTAGTTCACTGATGCCATAAGCACTCCGCCGGATCGAATTGACGATTTCTTCGAGTGATGGTTGAAGTTTTATGCGTGGTGGTGCAAGGACAACTTCGACAGTGAATAGAGACGTAGCACCAAATATATTTTCGAAAAATTGACAAAGGTTACGAATGACTAGTTCCACAAGAGATGTGAAAATTTCATGTTCCCAGTAAATGTAAAAAGAGCGCACTGGAAACCGTAAAGTTAATGTAAAACAAAACTTGAAACGAATGAATAATTACTGACTGTTCTTATGTTTGCCAGTATTGGTACCGAAGACTAATGATTCGATTTTGGTTAGTATTGGTCCGATCAATTCAAAGCGGCGCTTCAAATTTGCAATGATCTCTTTTCGTTTTCTTTCCAGATATCCGAAGTATTCTCGACAAGTCAATAGACTTCCTACATGGATTTTCTCTGTGAACTGAAATACACAGTTTTGTTAGCTTTATCACTTACCGTCTTCATGGCGTGGGACAACAGGATCTATTATACACAAACGAAAACTGTCCAAGTGCTCGCGAATGTCCGATGAAATTTTTCGACTTTGATTAAGAATGGAATGTAATTGATCTAAACGGCTTCGGCATTCTTTGATATAATCAATGGTTCCTATCTCCCCAAAAGATATTCTCGACGTTCCTGGTTTGATTGAGGTTTGTAGTTGATCAAGATGTGACTGAAGAAGAGAAACTTCAATTGTGTCAAGCGATGCAAGTGTTAAATGGTAATCTTCAAGCATTAAACGAAGTTCTTTTGATAATTGTTCGAATTTGGAGTATTGTAACGTTGTTTGACGAATCGATTCTGGTAAAAGAAATCCAAGTTTTTCTAAATTGTAACATTCGATTAAAGACTCTTTGAAGTCAGCATTGTAGTTTATTAAATATTTTAGTTCAATTTTCTTCTTCGTCCCTAATGTATCGTTGACATACTGAAGGCGATGACACATTTCTTTGTGAGATTTCGGCTTATTTCCTAATGACTGCGCGATGTTGCTCGATACGGACACACGTGGAATGTCTTTTTTTGCAGCATAGAGTGACAATCGATGGCTTGGAACATCATGAATGTGATGGTCAAGAAAATACTCTGGTCGTTGTTCAACATCGATTAGTAAACTTTGTTTAAGATAGTTTGATAGTGTTTTCATGCAATTTCCAACCCATTTCGCATATAAGTCATCTTCGTATTCTTTTAACTGAGTTCCAACATCAATAAAACGTTGTTTTACTATTGCGCCTTGCTCCGATTGAAGAAATTGATTCAATGAACGTAATTTTATCATTGGCAGCTTTATCCGAGTAAATAGAAAACGAGCCCACTGGATAGCACCCGAAACTGGCGGATACCCCTAGAAAAATCTTATGTCCAGGTACCCGACGAATGTCACTACGTACTTTGACTAGTGGCGGATTGTCTTTTTGTTTGTTGAACAAATCGACCATGGTATCGATTTCTTTGGAATATTTCGAAAGAATAGCTGTAAATTGTCGCATCATTTCATGTGCCAGTACATGATTTGTGTCAATCCGTTGAAATTTCATTAACATATCCAATGCTGTTTCAGCTGAACGAAGTTGATTGAATGACACACGTATGAAAACTTTCGCTTCTTGCTCAATCACTGACGAGCGGTGTTTAAAATCATCCATAAACAAACGCCATCGGTGAGCATTCTCACGGTTGAATATATCAAACTGACATGACGTAAAGGATTTTTTCAGATTGGTCACATGCTGAAGGACACGATCAACCATTTGTTCGTCGCCTGTTACCGCTTTCATATCAGAACTAAAGGTGTCATAAAATTCCTTTAAATTCAATGACATTTGGATTATATCATCAACGATCTGTGACATATAATCAGTCTTATCGAAAAGTATTCGATGATCAAAATTCCAACTTGAAAATCCACGTTTATCATTCTCGAGTTTGACTCGAACATTTTGATATTCTGTTTTCCATTGTAGTAACAACTGTTTAGCTTGGGAACAGAGATGTTCAATTTCTGTCAATGAGTTCGATGCAAACAGTGTTGATAAGTCGATTGTCTGTCGAACACGATTAATTATCTCATCAGCTATCTTTTCCATAAATGGAACGAACCGTTCATCTTTATTGTAGTGTTTCGACATGGTCCTGAAAAGAAAAGTGAAGCCCGTTGTTAGTCAGGCATTTCCTCGTGTGTACTAACCAAATCGTTTTTAAGCCTTGCATTAAATTTGGCAACATATGACTAACAGTTTGGAAGGACTTCGCCGTTTGTAAAATTTTCAAATGTCTTTCAATAGTCAGAAGAAATTTGTAGTTATCCATGGCTTCTAATAGGTAATTCTGCAGTTGACTTTTTATGCTATCGAATCCAGCAACTGAAGGACTATCGAGATCGGTTAGCATGTGTATAATTCTCATGACGTCGTCTAGAACGAGGGAAGAAAATGAGAACGCAAATTTTTAGGAAAGCCCACCTCGTTTCATCTGTTCTAAGATTGAAGTGATTCGAACAGATCTCTCATGCCAAAATTCGATTTCAGCGAGAGGAGTCGTTTGTATTACGCGTCTATTTAATTCATTGTTCAATTCTTCGTGTAAGATGCCCTCCCAATCATAGAGCAGATATTCCAGATTTTCAATATATTCTTCTTCTGTTTCATCACCAGACATAGATAAACTCTTCGTTGGAATAGTTAATGTGAATTCGCCTTGCATCTGACGTACGGTCGATTGAATCTGTGAACAAAATCGATTCAAACTCACACGTAATTGATCACGCTCGGAAGTATCTTCAATCGAAGAGAATACTGAAAAGCAAGATTCATTTGAATGTTGATTTACCATGATTTACCTGACGACGGTTGATCCATGACTGATGGAAGTAAATGATTATAAACTAAAGACAATATCTCTACTAAAGATTCAAGTGAATGCTGTTCGGAAACGGTTCCTTCGATAATCGTCGCGTTCATAATCGCATTCATTTCATCGAAAGTTGATGATTGAAGTAAAGATTGTTGGGAATCGATTCGAATGAAGTAAACAAACGACATTTTCATCGAGACGATGTTATGGTAATGCCGATATTCACAGTAGAGACGCGCTTCATGGTACGATTTTAATGCGAAATGGTAATGTTTATTATCGTACTGATTGACCACGAGAAGACGCTGGAGACTTCGCAGATTTTCATACAGTAGATCATTTGTATCATGGGTAGACGAACGAGCATTGTTGAAAACATAATCCACTACGAGAATCGAAAAATCATATTACATCAAAGCTTTCAAATCCTTTTTCTATTCTCCTTGTTCAAGTTTATACTCTAAAAATTTACTTGGATATTCAGTTTCTGCGTCAACGGGTTCATTGATAGTCAAAACTATTTGTTGTTCATTCTCATCTTCGTCTTTCACACCAAACTACAAATACTTTCAAGCGATTCATCCCCACATCTTTTTTTTCGTTATACCTCGTCGACATCATCATCATCATCGAGAGTTTCAAACATCTGCCATACTTCTCTTCTTGAATCTTCACGATAAAAGATCAGTGCATACAATCTTTCACGTATCATCGCATCCGAATGAAGAAATTCATCAATTAAATCTTCATTGAAACCATTATTTCGTTCTAACATACCGACGAATATCGATCTTTCAATATTCAACATATGACACGTTCGACGACAAAGCCATTCCAAACGAAAGTCATCTAACATATTCGGTCTACTCGATACGTCCGACTAGTAATCTGATGTTCATCTAATGAACAGATCGGCGCGAAACATCTGTTTCTCGTTAGATTGACGGTAAATATCTTTATTTTTGTCTCAAGACATTCGGCTCACAATAAAAGTGAATGAAATGTCCAAAATAAGAACGGTTCTTGTTTAATGGTTCAACCAGATTGTTTTCCTTATTTTTTCTTAGCAGAAGCAGCTGCTTTTGATTCTTGTTCCACCGGTGCTTCTTTAACAAATGGAATCTTTTCCGCGTATTCTGAAAGACAAAACATCGTTCGCATCACAATGAACAAGAAGACAAGACACAAACTTTTCGGCATCAATGGTCGAAGAACTTCTGGTACAATAATACCATCGTCCGTTTGGTAATTTTCAAGAATGGCACAAATTGTTCGTGTTGTTGCACACATGGTTGCATTCAACATATGAACATATTCCGACTATCGATCGAAGAAGAGAGATGGATGAATGAATGAACACTAACTGATGGTGTGAACTTACGGATTCGTTGAGCTTCTTTGTTTGACCGTAACGAATTTTTAATCGTCTTGATTGATATTCAAGACAATTGGAACAGGAAACAAGTTCACGGAATTTGCCTGAGCCGGGAAACCAAGCTTCTAAATCGAATTTCTTCGCCGCTGCGTTGTTCAATTCACCTAAATGACGAGTAGGTTTGGTCAGCTCGTTCACCAGAAATAGCCTATTCTCTACGTACCGGAAACAATATTGACAATACGATAGGGAATACCAAGTTGTTTATTGAATTCTTCGGCATTACCAATCATTACTTCGAACATCTTCCATGACTCATTGTCATGAGGTGATGTAATGCAAAATTGTTCAATCTAAATCGAAGTCCCAGATACAAAGTCGCAGGAAAGCAATGTTGTCATGTACTTTTTCAAATTGATGTACACGGAAAATACCACGTGTGTCTCGACCATGAGAACCAGCTTCTTGTCGGAAACAGGTGGAAATACCACCATAACGAATTGGTAATCGTTCAGCCGCAAGCCATTCATCTCTGAAAATCATTCAAAAGATGGTTAGTACAATGAAACGTTAGCCTATCACTACCAACCGATGAAACGCAGCGATAGCTTGTTCGGAAGTAGCAATCAAATATTTTTCTTCATCACTTGGCTCATCGGGTTTATCATTTTTACAAACAACCTAGACGAAACATTCGGTTCGTTGATTCAGATTCTATTGTTCGACTTACCTTATAGAGTTCTTCATCGAATTGACTCAATTGTGCGACTTCCTGCATGACCTCTTTGCGCATGAAGAATGGTGTGTACAAGATCTCGAAGTCTTTGTCATTTAGAATTCTTAATGCTAATTGAATGATTGCTTGTTCAAGAAACACAGCCGGGCCCTGAAGAAATCAAATAAATTTCAACAGTAACTTGTTTTCGACGAATCACACCTTCATGAAATAACCGCGAGATCCAGCAACTGACGCTCCACGATCTCCATCATAGCCGTCGATCATGTACATCAGATCGAAATGCGAGTACTTTTTTCGTGTTTCCACATCACCGAATGTTCGTTCAGTAACATTGTTATCCTAAACGAAAGACAAATAATGTATTTGTCTTTAAGTTGATGAATGTTCAAATATATAGCTTACTTCATTATCACTGACTGGTACTGAATGATGAACAATGTTTCCAATTTCATGTAATGCGGCATTTCTGTCATTTTCAACTTTGATTAATTTTTCTTTAGCTTTCTCGATTTCGGTATCGATTAACAAACTGAGGCGTTTTATTTGTTTGATTGTCAATTTACCAATAGTATCCGCATTCAAATCATCCAAAGCAATTTTGAAACTTTCAGGAAATTCTTCCGAGTCACCTTCATTTTCCTTGGCTTGTTTCTTTGTTCCGACTGTTCGTCCGCAGAGATTTTTTATCTTGTTCCATTGATCAGCTTGATAACGGAGTGTTCGCCATTGAGAGTCTAAGTCCACGACCTGATCAACAAGTTCGACACGTTTATAACGTTTCTTTTGAGAATCGCGAATAACTTGAGGATCGTGACCTTTTTCCGTACGAAACAAATCAATATCAAGAACCATATTGACGATGTTTTATCTAAAAGAAACAGATACTAGATTTGAAATCACTATAATATACTATTTTTAGGTACATGCAATATGGAAGAATAATTGTGCACGTCTTCAACATATATTTAGTGGATGACATTGGATTTTCGTTGCGTCTCTAACAATTCTAGATGTCGCTAATGAATGATAGTCAGTATAACGGTAATATATATTGAATTGTGAGCTTTTGAACAGGTCGTAATTATCTCAAATAGCGTATGTCCGTATTTACGATTTCGTGAATCTAGACTTGCTATTTCCTCTCCGCATAGAATATCGTTTAGTCTGGGGACAGTATTTGATTATCTATCTGTATGTAGTCATGTTTAATAGGACGGGAAATGCATGTCCTATACATAAGTTTTGTTCCCTAAACAATTAAACATTGTCGAAAGTGCGTCTATTGTTCATTTATGATCGACGATCCGTGATAACCTTGTGTTTTATGGAAGCTAGTTTATATCGGCTCATTGATTTGATAAGATGCAGTAGAGAGAGATACACATGATTACTATAGCGCGAGTAGCTATTTCATTTATCAAGAGACTCATCAGTAATAAAAGACACTGAAGAGTTATGTGAAAATCTTGCCGGCATATAACCTGTTATGTTGTGTACATTTCTTCTCGTTTATACGATAGTTCGACGTATGCATTACAACATACATGATAGTAAGAAATATCGTGACCAACCAGAGAGAAAGGCTGAGTTATTTTGGGGATGGGAAGCAGAGAAGGAGAAGAAAAGAAGAAGAAGAAGAAGAAGAGCAACGACACGAACTATTGATTGGCAAATATTATCATCAATATAGTCCTACGTATTATTATACAGAAATAAGGAAAAAAATACCATAGAGAGACAGGCAGAAAAGTGTGAAAGGCCATAAAGCCGCACTCATAAGACACACATACATAAACGCAAAGAGAAGAACGGCGTAGGAAAAAAGAAGATCGATATATCTTGCTATTTTTTGGGCACCATTTGATTCTAGCAGGCATCGCTTTAATATTGTTTTTCATTCAGTAGAACGAACATGTCAGGCGGCCCTACAACAAATCGTCCGTTGACGAAGACTCATTGTGAAGCATGTCGGAAAGTTTTTACGCCACGCGATGCCATGCAAATCTACCAGGATCGTTACTATCATCCACAATGTTTTTGTTGTTCACAATGTGGAAATACATTAGCAGGACGTCCGTTCTATCCGAAACCGAACAATCAGTTTCAATGTGAAAATTGTAATAATGCACTTGCGCCTATGTATGTATTAAAAACATAATCGAATCAGTGATGAAAGAGATTTTCTTCTAGTTGCTGCATGTGCAATGGAAAGATTCCATCTGGCACAACAGCGAAACGATTTAAGGATCGTCATTATCATAGCGATTGTTTTCGGTAAATATTCTATGTTTATTTATCTACGAGTTTCTTCTTCTGCTTTCTTTAGCTGCTGCAAATGTACGGCAGTTATACCTGATGGTAACTAATCTACAACTTTGTTTACTATGAAAATGAAAGACGATTCTATGTAGGTCATAATTTTGTTGATATGCTCGATGGACGCTATCAATGTTTGACATGTTCAAAACATATCACTGGAATGTATCAAGGCAAAGAGCATGCGCCACATTTGGACAATAGTTATGGCGAAGTAACGCCTGTCCAATGCGACCAAGCAGGTCGAATACCTATATGCGATAAATGCACACGACCTGTACCGAGCGATGAAGAAGCTTTTCGACATGACACACGTTATTATCATCTAGATTGCGCACGTTGCAATCGATGTCGTAGAAAACTTATCAATGTGCCATGTCGAAAACTTGGCTCTGCGTTAGGTAAGTGTAAAGAAAAACAGAAGACTGTGATGCATACGTCCGTTTTAGTGTGTTATACATGTTCATAATTTCATACTATGATTATTGATATTATTCTCGGCAAACAACATAAACGTACCAATATTACTAAAAGCACCTACCCAATGCGAAATACCCCTTACATAAGACGTATGGCTTTTTTTTTCGTTTTACTTAGAAAAAAAAGAAATAAAGGCAGAAAATGCATGTTAATCCGATGTGGTTGGCTTTGAGATCGTGCGAATAGGTATTAACTTAACTTTTCCTTTATCAGCACGACGTATTCGTCTTTTAACTTGATTTTTAACCATTTCTTTGCTAATTTCGACTTGCTTAAGCCATGATTTTCTTTTGAAATAAGCAGCTTCTTCTAAACAATGTACCGCAGTTGATCGTGTCGATGCACTCGCATAGCGTTCGTAGGGTTGCACAGTTGATTGTCGAATATTTACATCTATGTGGGATTTAATTGGATTCAAACGTTGTAATGATGGTTGATCGGGTAAAGGAATATAGGTATCGATATCGATCGATTGTCGTTCGATGGGCTTCGGCACAGAGAGCCGATTTGTTGATTTTTGTGGATAAACATTTGGTATGTCATCGACAGATTGTTTGATTCGTGAATATAATTGTTGCCGTTTTGTTTCGAGACCCTGGTGAAATTCTTGATTGATACGTAACGATGCTATTCCATAGGCATCAGCTGATGACATGCTGACTGGGTGGTCGTCTGGTTTATTCATAGTGCGTATTGATTCGGATTTCTTTGCTAATGACGGACAACTTATCGAAGCTTTCAATAACGGAGGAGTAATAGGAGGTAAAGTTGTTGTTTTTTCCTCATTGATGACGATCGCTGGTATCGAAGGAAAGCTTTTCAGTGCTGATTTTCGTTCATCTAAAATGGATAGCGTTCGCTCTGTTCTTACATCTTTATCACCGTTACCTTCTATGCGTTGAATTCTTGTTGGTGCGTTGAAGAGTACTGACGATGTGAAGTCATTAGTTGAAGTATTGTCGTTTTCGGGAAAAGACTCAAATCGTCTCAATTCTGGTACAGTGATGTTCGACTGTTTCTGATTGTTTGACGAAGAGGATGAAGAATAGATGCTATCAGATATAATCGAAGGTTGTTGTTTGTTTGGATAGATCGATTTTCGAGGCGATGATAGGAGCACGGGTGGACGTCGAGTATGTCGTAGATTTTCCGCTGCGATCTGCTTGGCACGTTTTCGTTCACTCAAAGCGATATCTTGGACAATCAGCTTTGTTTCAAAAATTTTCTGTCGTTCCTCTGCACTAAAGCCAAGATAGCGATCGGATTCATTGGATTTTAACGCTGCGCTCTTTCGGACGTGACGAAGCTGCTCTTCCGGAGTTTCAAATGTATTATTGAAACCATCAATTAGAACTTTATAACCAAGTAAACCGTGCAATGGGTAAACACGTTTGTTTTGATTTGAAGTCATAAACTGCCCGCCATATTTTTTCCAAGTTTTTTCACGAGCACGCTCGCACCACCTTTACAACAATTAAGTGAAGCATGAGAAAGAGAGAGAGAGAGAATAGATAGACGTTTTTACCTGATAATTCTGTAATACAATGGCACAGAAACATAAATAAGATTCGTTGATTTGTGATGAATTGCGCCAGCACTAATATTTGAACTTAACAAATCAGCTATATATTCAGCTGTTGAATTCAATGGGATCTTCATATTGTATTGTTTATCGTAGAGATAGTAATAAATAACACGATAGCGTTGCTTGTCTTGTTTAGTCGTTGCTAGCAACGAACAACCTAATGCAATCATGTAAGGTAAACTATCTGTGATAGGATCACGAATTTGTGTGCATAAGATCGATTGTCGAACGAAAAGATCGACGAGCTTGACGTGTCCTCTTTCGACAGCAATATGAATGGGACATTTTAACATCTCAGGAAACGCCTCTTGCGCTGCTTCACTTGACCATTGCCGCGAGGGATGTTCACCCACCGGTCGATCACTGCGAGCGCCTTGCTGCAGAGCTGTATTTGCTAATTCCATATGGCCTAAAATACAAGATGGAACATATGATCGAGTGAAACGACGAGAAAGAACTCGAACCATGAAATGCTGCTATGTGTAGAGCAATCTGTATTTGATAATGTCGAGAGAGATCATCATGCGCATATCGCCCTGTAAAACCTTTTACACAAGCATCGATCAATTTATCATAACCTTGCCAAACTTTCAAATAGAGATGAGCATGTGGTTTTAAATCATAGTCAAATAATTTCATACGATCATATAAACGTTGTTTTCCATCGTATGTTTCAAGACAGAATACGCTCAGTGGTAGGCCTAATCGGTTCGAAAGAATCTTTCGTATGTTCCCAATAGTTGTGTCGATTGATATGTTTGAATCGAATAATTTATAGATTTGTTTATTGTAACTACAGTGAACGTAAAGATCAGCCGCTTTCTTTTCACGATACAAACAGCGAATAATCGAGCCCGATGGGATGCTTAATTCCGCCAAAGACCATTTCGGTTTGAGATCTGAGCCATTATAGCTGAGAACAATGGAAATTTCACCGGCACTACTGTCTTGAGCATTGAGATCGAATTCTTTTTTGACTAATGTCAGGATGTCTTCGACACGAGCAGTTTCCGTTACATCAATCAGTCGCATGGAATCCTTTGGAGGGTAGTAGACAAAGTAACGCATGTCTTTGAATGTAGCGGATGTTTCCTATGAAAAACAAATTGTCAGTATTTCCGTGATTTGCAAAATGTCGCTAAACAATCTTTAAAAAGAAATATTTTGTTTCTTAATCAAGAAAGTGCGTCCTGATGGAATTAAAAACAAAACTTCTTTTCACGTATCGATTCATTTCAGTTATTGAGAAAACAAGACAAATTTAGTGTTAGTCATTTACATATTTTTGTCTTATCGGATGAAAGAGTACTTACAGCAGCGATCTCATGATTGATTCGTTTCCACATTTTCAAGAAGATTTATCAATTTGTATCGAACCTCTCTTGTTTTTCTTTGTCTAGTTGATATTTTTACTTAAAGACATTCTCTTAACTAGTGTTTCATTGGCAGGGCCATTCAGCATGTCAGCAAACAAATTCTTATGAAAAATAAACATTATTTCATCGATCGTTATAGAGAAATTTACATTTCCTTCGCTGTGTGAAGAATCCACAAATGTGACTGCTGTTTTGATGGTGTCAATGATTGTCGTAGTTAACATACATGAGCAATAGCAACAACTTGACAGTATTAAGTGGATGTTAATTTCTTAACGAAAAAGAAACGAAACGATCGTAACGGAGAATAAATTAGTAATTTGTTGTTGACAATAAAGAAAGAATGATGAAAAGTTAAAGTGTTTATATTTTTTCGAAGGCATCCGACGCGGTGCGGTGATTGTAAATTCTGAAATCTGTTGTGTAACTTTTGCCAATCTTTCTTCAATCTTCTCGCTTATTTTGATTACGTGAAAACCAAACAACTTCGTTGTTTTCCATTGTTTCACACCCTCATACTCCCGTACCTATATGGAGTCCATATAAAAAGATTGATTTAAGTATGCTTATCTGACGGATTTTGATGTCGCAAAGTTTCGAAATATGATATAACAAAAAATTAATTGATTCTTTCAACTTAATCCATGCACCCGTGCTCTTTTTTCATAACCATTGCACAGTATCGTATATGTAAAGCTGCACGACTGTGAATACCGTATCATATGAAAAAAATCGCAGTGGTCATTAATTTTCTTTTTCAAATCACAGAATAAGTGATATGGTACGACGTTGGCATTTTACTGCAGCGATTCTTATATATGCGTTTGCGGCACTTCCAATTATATCAACGGAAAGTATAACAGCATTTCAAGCTGATTCGTTTGTGGAAAGCATTGGTGTCAATACACATTGGGCATATCCTAACGTTTACACTAAGAATTATACTGGTTTACGAGCCAAACTCGGTGAATCCGGTATCCGTTACGTACGAGATGGAGCTTATACCAATATTATCTTCACCCGTGCAAATGATCTATACAACAGTTTTGGCATCAAAACAAATATGTTGACCGGACGATGGGTACCTGGCATGTGGCCATCTCCACTAGATCCAACGCAAATCGATGCAGAACTGAACGATATTAAAACTTTAGCTTTACAGGCGACAGCAGCAATAGAAGCTCCCAACGAATACGATCACGCCCATGGCCCTGACACTGATTGGGCATCGACTATCAAGACGTACAGTGTTCTTCTATATAATAAAGTCAAAGCTGATCCATTGTTGAAAAATATAACTGTCATCGGACCGTCATTCGTAGAATTCGAAGCCTATCAAACTATAGGCAATTCCGATTCATTTCTAGATCATGGCAACCAACATTTATACTATTGGACCTATTGGCCAGGTTTTAGCGGGTACGATACTAATGGAACACGTAGTATCAGTTGGTATTTGGACTATGTTGCTCCCCAACAATCACCATCCCGTAAACCTGTCCAAGGGACTGAAGCTGGTCACACAAATTTCATCGACGTTGGCGGTATCTCCGAAGAAGCTGACGGGAAATACATGGCTCGCATATTTGCTGAATTTTACCGTCATGGTATTTATCGCACTTACAAATATGAACTTGTTGATCAAGCTCTGTCGGACAGAGAAGGATTCTTTGGTCTATTACGCAATGATTTATCCGAAAAACCAGCATTTCGAGCTGTGAAACACTTAATCGCGATATTAAGTGATAAGGGATCAAGTTTTACGCCAAAAGCGCTGAGTTATACATTGACTGGTAGTTTAAATAATGTTCGACAAATTCTTTTTCAAAAACGCAATGGCGACTTTTACTTGATGGTATGGACAGAAGTATCGAGTTGGGATGTGTCACGGAAAGTTAATCTGTATCCATCGTCGCAGCAGGTTCAGCTTATATTACAAGGTAGTTATAAACTATCCAATGCAACACTGTACACTTTCGACAACAACGCAGATTTAAACATCTTCTATCTTCCTATTACTAACAATCAAGTTACTTTTAATTCAACTGACAAGATCAGTATTATTCGGTTGAGAAATGAAACTAATTCTATTACCGAAGGACTTTATCGAATAACGCCGAAATTTGCCGCTCATGCTGGCCTTTATGCATCTAGTAATCAGAATAATGCGTTTGTCAGTCAAGAACAATATTGGGGCAGTGCCAATCAACAATGGATATTTGAACCTATCGATGGCAATTTCTTTGTTATAAAGAATCGCGCTTTCGGTCGAGTGTTGACCGTCCACGGTTGTAACACAGATGATGGAGGCGCACTACAAATATACGACTGGACGAATTCTGATTGTCAAAAGTGGACATTTGAACTTCTTCCAAATGGTTACTATCGTATCACGCCAAAGCATGCATTAAATCAATGCATTGAAGTACAAATGTGTTCCACGAGTATTGGCGCCACAGTTCTGCAATGGTCTTGGTCAAATAGTGATTGCCAACAATGGAAGTTGGAATGGATTGGATCGACTTATTAAAAAGGACAGCGACGATTTGAAATGCAAAAAATGTATAAATGAAATGAACAGTTCTTTGGTAATACATACAGTGCGAAGAAATAAACATGAGAAACGTATTAGTCACATATTAGTTTTCGAAGGCCTTCTCACTGATAAAAACGTGAATGAGAATGATGACATCCTCTTAATCGATAATTATCCCTCTTCATACTTTTAAAGGTGGAATTTCGTACCGGACATGGCATAAAGTGCTAAACTGTACCAAATAGCCATCTAGAGACCGAAGTCATCGACAAATGTTTCTCTTATTTTCATCGACGGATGAACTTCCACTCTTGTTTCACCCGATTTCATGCGTTTACATGATAGGAAAATAGCCTTTTTTAATTCTAATCCGCGAATTAGACGCTTCTTTACAATTGTTGAATAAGTCATGGCATTATTTCTAATACTTAACATTCCATTTTAAAAGTCAAACCAATGAATATATCATCATAATGGCAAGAAGATAAACATGATCTTTTACATTAGCACCAGTACAAATGTTTACGTCGTAGGGCGAAGTATCAAAGAAAAACGATCTGTGCTTTAATTGTTGGTCATATAGAGTTTCTCAAAGTAATTCGATGTAAAGAAAATCAATGACAATCGCCACAGTAAACGAAATCCATCAACAACATAAGAATATACAGCATGGCAAGTCATATTTCGCTGTACTATTGGCAGGATTTTCTTCCCTAGGCGGATGGTTTTTTGGATATGACCAAGGTGTAACTGGCGGGATCGTCGTGATGCCTTCGTTTAAAAATGATTTTTGTGTTGGTGTATACGGTAATGCAAGTGTTTGTGATTTACCAGTCGCGTCATTGCCTGCTGATTATCGCCGATATTTAGTACTATTTACATTGCTATACAACGTGGGATGTTTTGTAGGTGCTTTGTTTATTTCTTCTTTTGTTGCCGACAGATTCGGAAGACGGGCAATCATCCTCACATCAGCAATTCTATTTACAGTTGGAACATCATTAGTTATATTTCCACCGGGTGGCTCGAAAAAGATCATGATTTTAATTCTTTTCGGTCGGATTATTGAAGGGACAGGCGTAGGTTGTTCGTCATTTTCTTGTCCATTGTACGCATCAGAAATCGCTCCTACTCATCTTCGCGGTATGCTTTCAGGCTTTATGCAAATGACCGTTGTTACCGGTTTATTTGCTGCTAATGTTGTTAATTATTTCCTACAAAATCATAAATGGGGCTGGAGATTATCGAATGGAATTATTCTTATTGCGCCATTAATTATCATCATTGGTATCTATATGTGCCCTGAAACACCGCGCTGGTTATTTAAAAACAAGGGCCGTGAAGCTGCAAAGAGAAGCTTGCAACGCATTCGCAAAGCCGATGACGTAACAACAGAATTAGATGCGATTGCTGACGCTATTCGAGAAGAAGGTAATCAAGTGTCTCTTAAAGAACTATTCGCAAGCAAGAAAATGGCCGAAAGATTAGCTGTCGGGATCGGCATGCATATCTTTCAACAAACAACAGGTATCAATCCTATTTTTACATTCGGTGGAATCATTTACGAGAATGTTCTCGGAAAAGGTATTATATCTTTACTCATCTTATCCGGAATTAATATGTTAAGTACTATACCAGCTCTATTTCTGTTCGATCGATTGGGTCGACGCTTCCTTTTGATAGTCGGTGGTTTAGGTATGGTTATAGGTCATTTAGTTGCTGCCAGCGTATTCGTGGTCGGTTGTAGTGTTGTGAAAGTAATGAACAACGTTACGGCAGGCAGCGAAGAGATTGTTACATGTCAATCGAGTGCAGGAATTCTAATGCTGATCTTTACAGTTGTTTTCGTGGCATTTTTCGCCGTATCTTGGGGGCCTATTGCTTGGATTTATGCTGCTGAAATTTATCCATTGAATGTTCGAACCAAGGCTGTTGCAATGTCAACAGGCAGTAACTGGTTGATCGGTATAATTATGGCCTATATTCTCGAATTGATCAGTCCGTTAGGTATTCACGGTGTATTCTATCTCTTCAGTGGATTCACTCTCATAGCTGTTCTATTCGTTTATCTATGCTGTCCAGAAACACGAGGAGTCTTATTAGAAGACATCGAGAACATATTTGATAATTTTCAAATGAAAAACAGAACAATTGTTAAACTGATACGACGATCATACGAAGGTGATCTCATTCGAACATATATGTAGTATGATTGAAAGTAGAAATAGAAAATTGTGAAATAAAATCTTTCAAGACCGGTGCTCTTTTTCTATTCATTAATAAATGATTCTATTTTCGCATTATTCCATATAGTTCTTATACATTTCAAAAGAATATGGCGAATATTTGATAGGTGACTTTTTTTCTACCTCGATATCTTTCCAATGTATCAAGTGATCTCTAATGATTATTAGATTTCTACTTTTATCCATGATCTTTGTTGACTTATTCGTGGGGAAAACAATTATTTACGTTGATGGAAAGGTAGGCGATAATGAAAAGAAGCGAACCACATTCGGATGAATTGTATGTTTAACATACAAAGGCATTTTATCTATAATTCATAATAGAACAACGATGTTGACTTGTCGTTTAATGGAAGGTACAGTTCATACAAGTTCGATCATTTCATCGGCTCCAATATCTCGTGTTGGAACATTTGTATCTCCTGCGCAATCTTGTCGCGGTGATTTCTTCAGGTTACATTGTGCAGTATATAAGATCGGCTTAAGTAGGAGAAAGATCTCTTCGCGATTAGATAACACAGATTCTCCACCAATTATTTAATGGCTGTTCAGAGCGAGCCTCAATGACCCATTCAGTGTTAACAATGAAATATCACAGAATAGAAGTATACAATTTATTGCATCACATCAATCTGATTACAATACGTCGGCGTATCTCACCAATCCAACGTATGTTCTCATTCCGTATTCACTCAAACTAATCGATACGAGCTTTACCTTATCAGCATAGATTACGTTCAAGATAAACTTGATGATATTTTGTTCGCATCGGAAGTAGTTCAAAGTAATACAAGTGAAATACGGAGTGATGCTCCACCTAACACGATACATTCATTGATATATTTATCGATGCATTTGAATCAGGCGATTTTCGTCGCCTACGCCAAGAACTCAAGCGAAATTCTAGCTGAAGTAACATTTGCAGCGACGTATCAATCCGATAATTCATTTGTTGATTTCAGTTTTCAAACATTTGACTTTTATTTTCTAAATTTTCCATCTGGATGTACTCATTTCTCACTAACGACACGTCAATCGAGGTAATAGTTGTAAAATAGAAAACCTTCTCTTTTCGTTTCGCTTTAGTAGGCAATGGTTGGTGAACACCAATGTTGGTTTTCGTTACAGTAATCATCTCGTCCCGCGAACATGAAGTGGTTTAAGCGTTTATTATGTAACCATCAGTTCATTTCTTTTATCTTTGAATCAATGGATGCATGTGGTCACAAAGTTTGCGACTACGAGTGTTCTTGTTGTTCAATGTTTGACGAAATCCGATGCATGTATTTTCATCTATGTGAGGACATCGATATCAGTTGCAAATCTAGGATTTCGCCATGTCTCGATCTTCCCTTTCTATTTGCATACGCTTGTGTCGTCGTAATCCCTGAAAAATAGAACAACAGTGTGATTGTAATTTACTTAAATGATTTTTATCAAACATGAATCATCGATAAACAGATGACGATATCAACAAGATTAAGTTGTATTTTTTATCTAAAATTACTCAGTTTTGTCAAGATATATATATACAGAAAGAAAAAATAGGACATAAAAACAAGCTCAGTACATTGACTTCACGATGAGGACTATTTTGCTCCTATCAATAACGATTTTAGCACAAGTCTATCTAACAACAGCTGAATGTCCTCCAACAAAAGGATCGATTCAAAACCTACTCGATGAACTGAATGTTCCCGGAGCTGCTATTATTGTTCTCAATCGAGATGGCATTCTTTACGAACAAGCATTCGGATACCATACTCCTCCAATATCGGATTCACGCCGACCTATCGACACTTCGCAATCAATTTTCATGATAGCATCCATTTCCAAAACATTCGTTTCTGTAGCAGCAATGCAAATGGTTGAATCCAATCTGCTGAATCTGGACACGGATATCAACGAATATTTATCTCCGTTAATGAAAATTATTCATCCATATCACCCGAATGTAACGATCACGACTCGACATCTGCTCACGCACACCGCTGGTATTGGACCAAATTGGGAAGAAGAGTCCAAACATTATCTTTCTGGTGATAAATTTACACAAACTAATCTGGGTGACGTTCTCAATGATTATTTAAGCCGCAAAAAAGGTTGGCTATCAATTCCACCTGGAAATATCACATTATACTCAAATGTGGGTACTAGTCTAGCAGCATTTATCGTCGAGCGTCTTTCGGGCATGTCATATGAACAGTATGTACTTGAAAAAATCTTGAAGCCCCTAGGTTTGGATGACAAGAAAGCTGGTTTCCGTTTGAAAAACTTCGAAGATAACAAGGCAGCTCTCGTTGATCATTATGTGCACAATGCTTCATTTCTTGAAACTTACCAACAAATGGGTCCACAAATGAACATTACTCAGGTAAAGTACAAGTACAATTTGTTGATATGACATTATACATCTTTTTTGCTAGGCAGGAAGCTCTGATTGGTTGTATATACCATTCTTTGGATTGAGTATATATCCATCTGGAGCGTTACGTATGTCAGCTCATTCATTGAGTATATTCTTTCGATCTTTTCTGAATAATTTTCCAAATCTTCTGCGCAATCCAAGTACAATGAATGAAATGCTATATATTTTTCCTCAGCAAGACTATATGAACATTTCGACAACTAAATTCAGTCTGATTTGGAATTGGCCACTTGTTCATGGACGACGTCTAGTTGGACACGATGGGTCTGTGCCTGGTATCACTACGACGATGATGGCAAACGAAAAGAGAGATTTAGGCGTGGTAATATTAACCAATGGCGATATTACAAGATCAGACAGTGAAGCAATGCAAGTGAGACAAACCATTCACAAGTTATTGACTCAAATGTTTGATTGTTACGAAACAAGTAAAAGTTTGGCCACCAATCAACAATACAATATCATATACATTTCGTGGATGCTTAGTATTTTGTGCTTTTATATGTTTTGTTCTTCGACACAGCTGTGAACACATTCTAGTTTTCTATTTTGCTTGACTCCTTACACGAATAATATTTCCTCAATAAACAATTATCCCTACATTCATTTCGTATTATATAACACCAAAAGATGAATTTGAAAAGGCAGCACGAATATTTGTCACGCTACTGATAAATATTCGTCATTTCCATGAATCAGCAACATTGCATTACTCACACTGATCTGCCTTTTTTTTTATTAAAGTAAGCCATTGCGCCACTCAACTCTAACACGTCGCTAAGAAAGATACAACCAAACTGTTCCAAATGCCGATCGAAACGATCCCATCACTTAACACTGTACCAATTGAAATTGTCTATCGTATTCTTGATCAATTGGATCTCAGAGACATTATCTTCTCTATGCACGAAGTCCGCACACGTCTTAATGCGATTATTTACAGTTATTACCAATATATAGTAAATATCGTGCATGATCTGGAGATTATCTTTTTGCCACGAGCATATAGACCAGTTTTGACTTATCTAGGGAGATAAAACATTGAATCTCTACAGTCAACTTCCCGATGGCCGAGGAACGGAATTTCTTTCCAATCTTCTTCTAAGAAACAACGTAACAATCAATCTGAACTTGTCCATTCTTTTTCTCGCGTTGAGTTTTTCGTTCAGACACTTGTTAACCTGGAACTTGGCTGCAATCAAATAACTGCACTGGATGCAAAGCATCTTTACAATGGTATTCAAAACAATGAGGTAGAAAGACTAACTTGATAGAACTATAGCGGCTATATTTCTACCATTCAGACACTGAATCTTGATTAAAATCACATCGGTGATCGAGGTGCTCAATATCTTGCTAGTGCATTACAACAAAACAACGTAAGACTTCATTGTTCTTTGATATGTTTCAATAATCGTTTCAGACAGACATTGACTACACTGTCTATTCGATTCAATGATATCTACTCATCAGGCGCGTCTTATCTTGCCAATGCTTTGCAGCCAAACAATGTAATATTTCATATTATCTAATGATAACTGGTAACAGTTGTTTTGTAGACACTCACTTCACTATTTCTTCGAGGTAATTCTGTTGGCTGTCAAGGCCTTGAATATTTCGCTCAAGTTCTCGAAAACAATCAAGTACGAAATTAGAAATCTCAATCTTGAATTGATTGATTTCCTTCCTTCAAGACACTATCAACTCTCTGCCTTTCACATAATCATATTGGTTCTAGAGCAGTAGCATGTTTCGCTAAGACTCTACTAACAAATCGGGTATGATCTCTGTCTAGATGTTTCATTATGATCCTTGCATATTAAAAAGGCACCCACATCATTAAATCTATCTCACAATAAGATCGATAGAGAAGGGGCAAAACATTTTATCGAAGTTTTGAAAAACAACAAAGTAAGATCCCTGCTATATCTAACCGAATAATTGCCTGGATGTTTTATACAGACACTGAATGTATTGAATCTTACCAGCAATGAAATTAACTTTCTAGGAGTCAAAGAGCTTGTCTCTGTTGCAATTGGAAATGAGGTGACATTGACTTATAATTGTTTTCTTGTCATATTTTGTAACTACTTTGCATAGAAACTTTCGCTGCTAAACCTTTGGCGTAACGGCTACACTCCAGATCGAGAAATTGACCTACCATTAAACGTAAAGCAGAATCCAGCAATACTTGTGTAGCAACGATTTAAATCATGCCGACAATGATATCCTTCGAAGAAATCTACTCTTTGTGACGAATAAAACTTGACTTAGATACTGTGAATTGCAATTGAAAAGTTGTTTTGGTCTGATGCATCGAATATGTGTAGAATGTCGTGTAATATTGCTGACTGAGCAATACAGTTATGTTTCTTTGTTTAATAGAATCAGAAGGATACGCCAAAAGAAAGAGTTAGAGAAGGAAACACTGTTTCACATGACAAAAAACACTATGTACATAAAAACTCAACAAAAAAAAACAAGACCAAATGCGCAAACAACAATTCAAGCATAAGATTTCTCGCCTTTCTATTGTCTTTCTCTCATATACATACAATACATATATATATATTGCAAAAACAAAAGAACAAAATACAAGACAGCTTAAAATAAAAACAATTTTTTGTGGATGGGCTTGTGTATGCGTGCCTTTTTTGTTTGTTTCAAATATAGACGTACACAAATGTTCATTCATCGTCTTATCTGACCGAACTGGTTACTACGATTGATTAGTGAATTAATTTCTAACGTCGTCGATTTGACGATGATTGAGGTGTTGGATAATTGTAGGATGCTGTTGGTGTTGTTGAGTTACCAGTATACGGGTGTGAATTAATTCCATTCGGTGAATAACACATTTGTTGATTTGTAGGATACATAGGAGGTGACGATGTCGGATAGTAAGGCATATAGTTCATCGGAATACCTGATGGCGAACAGTAATATGGCGACATATCTATCGGTGGTACTGATGAATATGGATACGGATACATAGCTTGTCCGAAATTGTAATTCATGTTTGTTGAACTATCGAAACTATTCAATGCCATTGGTTGTTGCTGTTGATGTAGTAGTTGTTGTTGTTGTTGTCTTGCAACACTACTTCTTGTAGAGTAATTGTAATGATTGGATTGCGAAACAATCATCGATGTTGGTGATGTTAGACTAGGTGGTTGATCATCTATTGCATCGACCTCTTTCACTGCTTCTACTGTCGTTTTTAATTGAGATTCTATACGAGCAATTTTGGTTTCTTCATCAGTACTATTGATTGATGATGACGATGTTAGTAACGGATTTGCAAGAGCATCGGATGTCGACGACGGCGTTGTTAAGCTTGTTTCACGGCTTAAATTTGGTGGATCATTTTTCTAAACAGAATTCAATGTCAAGATTTCCTTTCATTACATGAACATGATTCAACCTTTGTAGACGTAGAAGAAGAAATAGGCGGATCGATCAATGCTTGAACATTGGACGAAGTCCAAGCACGTTTTTTAAATGGTAACGGCGAATTAACCGGAGCTGGTGAACTATCGTTGGACTTTTCAGTTCCATCACTGATTTGTCTCAGTAAGAAATCTTGATTATAAGCTAAAATAATTGATCGACATGCATAGATTCATTGATCTCAAATAAATAACAAGATCGAGTCGCTCGTTTTGCCTCGTGCGTGCAACTTATTAACAAATAATAACCTCTCGTGTATGTGTAACTGTAACTAAAGCAAAAATCGTTGTCACACTCATCTTTCCCTACTACCGGAAACTAACCGAAACGATTTAGAAGTCCTGAGGAACTCTTAAATATGTAGACTAGAACGAAAACTGATACTAACGAATGGATTTTTTCAATGTTTCGCTAATTGTTGCTCCGTTGGCCATTTTGGTTAAATCAGTTTCAGATTTTGATACATGTGGTGTATTCGATAAACGTTTTGTTCGTCTTGGTAATCGAAATTCTTCATTGTTATCAGTCTGGACATCTATATGAGCTTCTTCATTATCGTTGGTCTTGGGACTTAGATCAAATATTTTCTCTGACTTCGGTTGTTCAGTTTTGGCTGAAGTTTCTGGGAGTTTTTTCAGAAATTGATCCATTGTCAATTGTTTAAATGTTGGCTGTTTTGAGGGAGATTTAGGCGTAATCGGACTTCTTATTTTTTCTTCTTCTTCTTTTTCTTTTTCTTCGCCATCATCATCTTCGGTTGCATCTTTCGTTGATTCATTGACTAGAGAATCTCGCCGACGAGAAATATATTCTTGAGAATGCTCGTCCGTGTGATGATTTTCAGTATTCGTTCCGCTTTTATTCGCTGCTCGACATTTCACGTAAACTGACCGACGTTTTCGTCCGAATTTCCTTCGTCGAACAATACGAACCGTTTCAGTTGTGTTCCCATGGTCAACCGCATCTGTCATATTTCCGGCAGATCTAAATCGGCAAACAAAGAAGATTTGATAATCGTTGTCAATTTAGGATCTCGAAATCTTACTCCGATGGATCAGATTCAATCTTTCTGAAAACGACTTCAATCATTTTCGTTTGATTTTCATAAGAATTCTCATCATTGATTAATAGAATTGGTTTGAGAACAGGTGTGAAGCGGAGAAATTCGCCGTCGAGTGACACCCAATGTGCGTGTTTGCTCTTTTCCGTTCTCATGATCTGTTCCATTTTTGTAATATCAACATGAATGACTGGTCTAAAGACAACAACAACGCAGTCTCTCATTCAGTGAAGCTCGTCCTGTAACTCACTTTTCATTTGAGTACATCGTTAAACAACCTAAATTTTGTAATGTGTCAAGTATATCATCCGGTGCCATTCCCGTTTCATTCATTAAGTTTTTTATTGTACATTTTGTATACTCCTTGTGATAGTAGTTTAACAGTTGCTGAACGATTTTGACTTTCCAATATGCTTCGTACGTTTGCGCGCCATGGGTTGATAGTGGTCTTTCAGGTGTTCCAATCTGATTCTCTTTTTGTGATAGTAAATAACTTAATTCAATTAAAAAACGTCCGTAGCCTCGACGTTGACAGTTAGGTAAAACGGTAATACAGGAGAGATTATATTTTTGTGGACAATGTTTTTCTTTGGAGAAGTAACCGAGGAAGTGACAACCATTGGAATCATTTTTGGTTAAAACATAAAAAAGGAATGGTTCGACGTCATAGTAAAGCGTCTTGTGATCGAGAAATAATTTGGCTAAAAGACATAAATTTTGACAATAAATACGATTGATATTTCCGTCGACTTCGAACACCGAAAGGTCATCTTTATGATAGATTTCATTCGCTGGAGGATGAAATGTTTGACATTTTTTCTGAAATAAATCAAAACGTCAAGTTCGTTACAGAAAGAGCTTTCTTTAATATCACATACACGATGTCGATCGTAGACTTGTTCACATTTCATATATTTCAAACAGAATTCACAGACGAATAGACGTGGAACACGCGCATATTCTTGAGGATACGATGATGAATACCAGGTTTTGATTAATTCACTACCAAAGACTATATAAGGCGGCCAACGTGTGTTATTGACATCATCCTCAACAACATCTGTTGAATGACGATATTGTTCCGAACACTAGAAAAAATTCACATTCAAACAGGTGGAGACACTCGCCAAGCATTGCACATACGTCAGAGATGAGTTTCGTTGAATTCTTGCGTGCATCAAGAAATAGGTAGACATCGTGAGCGACGATGGTATCGGGAAGTGAATCGTTAAGAAATCCTGGAGGTGTTGTATATTCTAAACAGAATGAACCATAAGTTATTGAAGAGATTCGTCGAAGGGGATTTACTTGACAGATCTAAATTTAGTTTTCGTTTTGAAACTGTTGCCTTTTGTTCATCATCAGTATCTTCATTTTCCGACTCGGCTTCTTCCACTTTGGCTTCTTTGCGTTTTGACGGCGATTTTTTTATCGAAGAAGCGTCCTTTGTTCGCTTTTTAGTTCCCACTGGTGTTGACGGTGTGGGTGATATCGAATGTTTTCGTTTCTTCGATAATCGAGATGCATTCGCTTTAGTCGAGTCTTCACTCGCATGAGTACCCGATCGACGAATAGATCGAGAAGATGCCGTTTCTGGCTCAGACGTAATTGACTTTTTAATTCCTGAACGTCGCACAGATGTAGATGGATTGGTTTGGGAGCTAAATATGAAGACTAGAATACAATTCCTCGAAAAAAGGAAGAGCAATTACTTTGAAGGTGAATCATCAGTTAAATTCAATGGCTTTCGCCGTATTCGTGGTATTTTTGATGATGCTAAGATGCTTCTTGCCAACGATTGACTTTTCTTCTTTGTCAAAGGAATTGTTTGAAGCCGTTTGAGTGCTTTCGAATTCGAGGGTTTATTACGTAAATATTTCATTGCTTTCTGAATCGATTGTTGTCGCTGGATATTATTCATTTTATCTTTCTTCGGCAAGAAGAAGTTGGACATGCCATCGATGAGCTGTGCGACAGGACGTGTGATCACTGGAGGGATATCTTCTTCGCTCGAGTTCTGACTTCGAAGAGAACGTTTCGATGCGGTTTTCTTCAAGGATTTCTGTTTAGCTGCTTTGACTGTTCCGTCTTGACGACAATTAGCGCAAGCAAATTCACCCTTAGGTACATGGTTCAACGGTGGTGTACAACATTTCGGATGAATAGCTGCATCGCATAAATCACAGAATAGTAGCTAATGAATAGAAAGTTGAGTACAAAAGATAATAAAATTCATATTCTTACTGAATCATCTCCTTTATGACAGACAATGCACTTTTTGCAATCCAAACATTGCCACTGAAGCGTTTTGATTTTTTCAATTAGTCGGTCCGAATATTTCAAACATGAAGGATGTCCTAGAAAAAAAACGAAGAGAACACGTTCGTTTCTTTCCTAATTGTGTTCTCATTGAAGCAATCAATTGCAACGTACCGCAATTTCCACATTCAGCACAACTGATCATATCTTCAGGGATACCTTGGGCATTTTTATCTTCATCACCCAAACAAAAACTACATACTCCCATCGGTTTGACAATTTTCTAGAGATATGAATGTGTATTTAAACATTTAGCTGAGGTAAAGTACGAACTTTCTTCTCATGAGTGCTTGTTGTTGTCGAGGATATTCGTCGTTTAGTTGAAGAACCTGTCGACGACGATGAGCGTCGATCAGCAGAGCCTTTGGCTACCATTTGTAATTGTTCAGTCAGATCATTTGAGTATAAACTAAAATTTAATTGATTTTTTTCAATGAAGAAAAAACAAATCGGTCAATCTGACAGACGGAGAAGAATAATGTTGAAATATGACTCATCGATCAACCAAAATAATGCACTTCACAATTGAGGTTTATCATGAAAGTTGTCGCGTCGTGCAACGACATCTATACAATTATTTTTCAAAGCCTAGGAATTCTTATATCATTCTACTGGTTTCGTTAAACTTTACAGGAAATAGATTCTGCAAAAGTTTTGAATTTAAATTTTCTGGAACATTCGCTCAGGTTAAATGGTAGTTTTCTGCTACGAGATCAGTGACATCTACATCGTTCTTTCACGCATCGATAATAGAGAATATCGTTGGAAGTATATTTTTCTATCTCTATTCGGCAATTTCATCCCGAAATCAGAAAATTATCCTTGAAAAACTCTGACTAACTAACATACTGCATGCACATTTTCTGATTTGCTCCGTACTATCAACCGATATAGACGCGAGTGTTTCTGGCACAGATGTCGCTTTTAATAATGATATATTAATGCATTTAAAATCAATAATTCTATTTTAAAAAATTAATTTTCGAATTTCTAATGTTAATTTACATGAAATGACTATCTTTATCTACTCATCTATTTTTCGTCTATAGTCCAAGTTCTTATTACTGAACACTGCATTTTATCCAATGGAAACACTTGTTTATTTCCCGTCATTTTTTCATTTTACTAGTCTTTCGATTGTTTTCTAAGTTCAATTTTCTAATGTTTCTTCAATTTTAGAAAGAGTAACATTCATGCCTTACGAACGTCTTGTTCAAGTAGGTCGTGTTGCCTACATTGCTTATGGTCCGGAGAAAGGCAAACTCTGCTGTATAACGAACATCGTTGATCAGACCCGCGTTCTTGTTGATGGTCCATCATCGCACGTACGTCGCCAAGCATTGAACATTAAAGCATTACATTTGACTAAATACGTTCTCAAACTTTTACCTGGAGCACGCTCAAAAACTGTCAAAACTGTTTGGGATAAAAATGATGTCAACAAAAAATGGCAAGAAACACGTTGGTTTAAGAAATTACAAGCCAAACATTTACGCGCCAAAATGACTGACTTCGATCGATTCAAATTGGTACATGCAAAACAAGCTTACAATCGTATTGTAGCTGATGAATATAACCGATTGAAAAAGAAGAGCAAGGCCCAATTAGCAGCTAAGACCAAGAAGAGCAAACGTCGCACATTCGTTGCTAAATCGAAACGTTTCGCCAATAAATTCAAGATTTTTGCTGCTCCTGCTGCTGCTGGCAAAAAGAAATAAGCAAGAACGAATCGGCACCACGTTTTTGTTTCTTTGTTTTTCCGAAACAGTTACAACTTGAAAGAAAATAAAAATAAGAAGAATAATAAAGAATAAAACTTCATCTTGGGATTCTTGTTTAGTAACATCTTTCATTGCTTCTAGATCGCGTTTTGTTGTTGTAGTTGTTGCTTTTTTGTCTATTGTAATTATGATTGAAGAATCCTGGGATGATGATGAGGGTACAGCTAAACCATTCGAACAGGTTTGTTACTATGGAAAAAAACACTACTAGGAGACAAATGATTTATGGTTACATTTTTATTTTCTGTAGCAACCGGCAACATCAAAATTAGGTATCGGACGTGGAAAAGCAACATTTTCAGTGAACAATGCTGGTAAACAACACCGTGATATAAAATGTAGCATACGTTGAAAATTATATTGAATCTTTTGTCTAGAACCAGCACCTGTAACGAAATGGAATGGCGGCGGTGCGAGTACTTCAGGAAGCTTTAATACATTTCGTAGTACTAATAATGAAAATAGTAATCCCAGTAGTGGTGGAGCTTTTGGATTTCGCAATAATAGTAATAGTTTTGGTTGTAAGTATCGTTCAATTTTGAGAAATTCGCTAAAAGGTTCTTCCATCTAGCTCGTAATGAACAAGGTTCATTCGGCGGTGCTGATAGCAGTGCATTCCGATCCGGCAATGACGGAGGTTCTCGTGGTAAGATTACTATACGTTGTTTCGACTTTTCCCATGAATTCAAGAATAGATTTGGTACAAAAGCTCGGTTTCCTTCTATTTAGCATGTTACAATTGTAAACAAAGTGGCCACATGAGTCGAGAATGTCCCGAACAACGTAAGGATTTTCAAGGAGGCCGTGGTGCTCGAAGCGGCGGCTTCCTACCAAGTACTGGAAATGAGCACAGTGGTTTTCGTTCATCAGCAAACAGTTCGAATACATTCCAAGCTATGCGAAATCAAAATGATAACGATGAAGCAAAGCCGACTTTTACGGGATGGCGAGGAGGTGCAGGAAGTGCCAATAACAATGATTCAGACGAGACAAACAAACGTTCAGCATTTGGCAGTTCAGCAGCCCGAGGTGGTTTCACCAGCAGTGGTGCTGGATTTCGAGGTAAAGTAATCATTTGGTAGTCTAGATCATCAATAGATTCTTACAGGTAGTCGAGGCGGTGGTGGCGGAGCATTCAATTCAGGAGATCGAGGTAAGTCAATAAAGACCTCGTGTTTGGTCTGAATTTAATTTCATTCGATTTCAGAAAATCGCACCGGTGGTAGTGGCTTTGGTGGTGGCAATAACAGTGAGTTTCCGACATTTCGTTCGAATAATCTAAACTATCTCAGCACTTGTTCTTTCAGATTGTTTTAATTGGTGAGTTAATTCGTATTATGAACTCTCGTGTTTCTATTATCTCTATATGGATGTCGTATTAGTAATCAACCAGGTCATCAATCTCGTGACTGTCTAGAACCGAAAAAGCCTCGTGGTATGTACAAATAAACAATCGTCTGGCTATTATTCAGACCTCTCATTATCTAGAAGGTGGTGGTTTCTTTGGTGGTGGAAGAAGAAACGACAAAGTAAATCGCTTCAAATCGTCTCTATTCTTTCAAAATACGTTCTTCTGTGTCACGTTTAGGTATCTGATGATATCTTCGATCAACGTAAGTGTTCGGAAAATTTGAAGATGTCAAAACTGAATATAAATCTATGATGTTAGCGGGTGCTCGCGGTGGCGCACAGCCTGTGGAACGATACATTCCACCACCTGCACCGACAACCGAAGCTGATATATTCGGCGAAGCCGTATCTAAAGGTGAAAACTTCGGAAAATATCATCGCACCCAAGCACGTTGTACGCCCGAAGGTATGATCGTATGACTATTTTCCTTCCATCGATAGAACTTTTACTGATCTTAGGCAAAGTAAAACCAATTGAATTATATGAAGAAGCCAATCTTGACACACAAGTTCTATCAAATATTCGTCGGGCGCATTTTGAAGAGCCAACACCAATTCAACGGTATGCTTTACCATGTATTCAACAACGACATGATCTAATGGCTTGTGCTCAAACTGGTTCTGGTAAAACGGTATGTGCTGTGTTTTATTGCATCTAATGATTCGCAGAATATCGACTATGTAGGCTGCTTTCCTCTTGCCAATTATTTCCAATTTATTACAATATCATGCTGATGATTTATCTGCAAAGTGCGAACCACCCTCACCTCTTTGTCTGGTTGTTTCACCAACACGTGAACTTGCTCTACAAACTGAACGCGAAGCACGAAAGTTTGCTTACCAAACACCAGTCATTCCATGTAAACTAGAACCAAAGCGACAGGAAATCCATTTGTACCAGTCACTTTTTCCTATTAGGTTCGGCTGTCGGTGGTCATGATACGTTCGCAGTTTCCGATCGACTTCGAGAAGGCTGTCACATTCTCTCAGCAACCACTGGCCGTTTGAAAGACATGGTTGAAAAAGGCCGCGTATGTGCAAAATACATACATCCTCAATCGACTTTTCGACTTTGTCTCTTGTAGATTTCATTGAAAAAAGTAAAATATTTTGTTCTTGACGAAGCTGATCGGTATGTACATGATTTATCGATGAGACCGATTCATTATTGACCTTATTTTCGCAGAATGTTAGATACTGGTTTCGAACCCGACATTCGCAAATTGGAAGCTCTTGGTTTACCACGGAAGGAAGAACGTTTAACATGTATGTTTTCGGCAACATTTCCCGATGAAGTTCAACGGCTCGCTAAACATTTCCTACGTGAAAATTACGTTTTTCTTGCTGTCGGTATTCTCGGTGGTGCTAATGAAGATATTGCTCAAACAATCGAACTTGTTCCACAAGCCAATAAAAAGGACCGACTTTTTCAATTACTCGAAGAGAATCTCAGTAAGAACACTTCGAGTGAAATGATCATACATTGAAGTTACTTTTTTTCTTTGAAGAATCTGAACGTTGCTTAATCTTCGTTGAGACCAAACGATCAGCTGATTATATTGGTGCATTGCTTTCACAACGTAATTTTATGAGTACAACAATGCATGGCGATCGTACACAACGGCAACGTTACGAAGCCGTACAACAGTTTACAAATGGTAAATGTCCAATTCTAGTTGCAACATCAGTGGCTGCTCGTGGTCTCGATTTTCCTCTGATTGGTTATGTTGTGAATTATGATCTCCCAGATAGTAGTGATTTTTATATCCATCGAATTGGTCGTACTGGTACGATGAAGCCGTCGAATAATGAATGAAAGTCCAATGCGATATTATTTCGTTTAGGTCGTGCCGGTCACTTGGGTAAATCAATTTCATTCTTTGATCCAGATCGTGAATCAGATCGCAATATTGCACCGGAACTTGTTCTAAAATTAGGCGAAGTAAAGCAAAATAGTCCCTGGTTTGTGTTTTGTACTTACGCATGTTAATCCCGATAGGCTGGCCAAGAAGTACCTGAATTTCTCAAACAATATGTCAACGGTGGCGGTGGTGGATTCGCTCGAAATGGTTTTAATGGACGAAATACTGATGTAAATTTGTAATGACTATTCGTCATACATGAAAATCCGTTTTATTTGCTTCTAGATGCGTGCTGATACATTTATTCATAGTCAAACATCTGGTCCAGCTGGTGGATCAGCGTCAGCCGGTGGTGCAGAAGATTGGGATTAAAAAGATGTTCAATACCAGTGATATTTATGCTTATATACATATATCCATTGATTTTCTAAGCTTTTCTTTCGTTTTGGCTGTATATAATCATCAATTTTAGAGACATACATCTAGAAGATCAGATATTTGTAGTAAGATATTGTGCCTTCGTTTTCTCTTCCTTTCGTTATTTGTTCTTTTTTGTTAATCATATGAAACAGGATAAAAATCTCAGATATGGTAGTTTTTTTTTCTCGCAAGAAAATATGCAAAGATATTGAAGATAGAAAATGATTTTTTATTTTAGATCTTCTCATATCAGGATGGACAGAGATGACGATCCGTGTAAATTATTCGTTGGGTAAAGTTGACACCGTATTGTTCGTATGTCTTTGATTGTTCAATTGTTATTCAAGAGGGCTGACCCGATCGACAACGACCGAACACCTCCGACATTACTTCGAAACATTTGGAGAATTAACTGATTGCATTGTGATTAAAAATTTTGCGACGAAACTTTCGCGCTGTTTCGGTTTTGTTCAATTTACAATTCCACAAATCGCAGATCGCGTTGTTGAGGCACGTCCGCATATTATCGATGGCAAAGAAATCGATGTGAAACACGCGTCAATCGAAAGTCATGAACGGCATCAACAACAACTTGCTGCAGCCGCTGCAACGTCATCCTCCTTTCACGAGCCGAATCGTGATATGTCACCCGATCGACACAAGAAACGTTCTCGATGGGAAATGCAACAATCCAATGAATCCCATCGAAATTTCGCATTGCCACCTGACATGATCACAGTGAAATCCAATACTCACATCGCTTTTATTCAACGTGATATGATCACTTATCCTGTACCTTTGAAATATGTGCGCGAAGAGAATTATTCAACACCGTCGAGTGATAATTCGTACTATCCTCAACAATCTCGTCATCAACATAATAATAATTTTAACAATCGAATGTATCAAACTTCAAACTAGAAAATAGATATATATATATATATTCTTTGTTTTCTCTTGTGTTGTACATAGTCAACAGAAAGAAAAAGAAATACACATTTGTTCATTTCGCTTTGGGTTCTTCTCCAGGTTGTCGAAGACTTTTGTCGTATTTTTTCGGTTTAAATTTGAAATATTCTTCAGCATAAGCTGAGATTTCCGAACGAATCATGGGAAAGTTGAGTCGAGGATCGGCACGGTTCGATTTTAACTAGAGAAAAATCGGAATTATCCAAGAAAACCGCGTAACGATAAACACATACTAATGGTTCATGAAACCATCCAATCTCTTGACTTGTTGTTTGCGGTTCTCGATACTTTTTCTCTGGTTCGAGATTTGCTCGATGTATAATATCAATAAATGAAGCTAAAACGACAAGAAGACAGACGATCTCGACAGAAAAAGAATCGTTCGCAGTGCTTACAATCTTCACCAGCACCTTCATCTGGATAAACATTTGGCTTTGGTGTTAATGCTTCAGCTAAAACAACATACAGAATTTTAGTTACATACGATTCTCCTTTTGTGAAAGAAATTACATTTTTTGAATGGATTAACTGAATAGTTAGTGAAGAGTTTCTGGTTGGCCATCTCTTTGCGAATGGTTTCGACAAGAATTGCTTCTTGATGAACTTGATTTTTGGGCTCTCGGCCTTTCTTAGCATCCTTCGTTCCACCTTCCGCCTGAAAGATGCATATAGAAATTCTTCATTGAATGGAATAAAACATCTATGTATGACCCTACCATTATGATCAACAACTGAAATTGTCTACAAATAAAAGAAATTTTCGCTTTGTAGAATGTCTGTTACTTTTACCTTTCCTACGACATGCTTGTTGCCGTGAGACAACCTCTGATTGAAATAGTTAAATCGATAGAGAGAGACACATGCTGACTTGATCTTATTTTGAAGTAATACTGAATAATTCATAACAACAAACAAACCAGTCTTTATTATAATGCATCGTGGAACCGATGCCCTCGACATTGTTGTTGACAATTCAAGAGTAAATCAGTCGCAGTGATTTCCACATATAACTTGCAGTCTTTCTACATCAGGTCGAACGGGTCGCTCACTTCTCAAAGTAAGATCAGCGAAACTAGCCGTTTACCAATTGATAAACGCGTGACTCAAAGACTAGTTGTTAATAGAGTAGATCGTAGTTTCATTCGATCAAGTCATTTCTTCTTAACAAGTGATTTGTTTAAACCATCTGTATTCTATTTGTTGACATTTTCTAGTTGTTGTCTATTTTCTCCACTAATTACACGTTCCGCCCCGAGAGAGAGAGAGAGAGCTTAGTCACATCAGTTCTCTGTATCCTGGCAGACCATCCGTTGACATTGTTGTTTTGCTGCTCAGAGCCATTCAATATTGACTCCAAAAATGAACTTCACTAAGAACCAATATCTTCAATCGATTTTGCACGTTGATTTATCGTGGGAATACATGTCCTTTGGAAAATGCCTGAGGAGATATTAAAGTATGAAAATAAAGGTCATGAAAATGATTAATTCCTTCTCTTTCTCTTTCTCGTCCAGTTAAGATAAACACATAATCTAGACAGTTAAAAAACAAGTCGCAGACTAGGAAATCCGTATTAGTTTTTCTTTCTTTTGTTTTCCTATGATTGATTATCATTTGCAACTAATCTTCTCTTTCGAGTGAACTGGAAAGAAAAATACTCACTCGAAAACGTGACACTTCATAAACTCGATGACTGATGATATGACCTTGCTTGAAAACAGCTACAAACATTCATTCTTCTATACTCTATGGATATGCTTATATTTGAGTAATTCACTTAATCAAACTAGAACACGATGTGTAAATTCGAAAAATAATCATATCGTGTTTTTTCCTCTTTTCGAGAATAATTGTGTTTGGATATCATCATTATTTTCCTTGACGATAGCTAGATGATCGATCCTTTATCTTTACACATACTCAAAATTAACTACTACGCTCGACATCTTAATGGTGAATGTCGGCTTTTCCTACGTCTCGACATTTTGTTCTTCCATTCTTCTTTTCTCTCTCTCTCCTATCTGTTTAGCATTCTATTCTATAACATTGCCGCGTGACATCATTTTCCACAGTCCTTTCGCTCTTCATAGCGTATTGCTTGTAAAAAACAGTCTTACATCTGGAAAGAAATGTTGTTTTGCAATTTCTCATCATCTTTTCTTCTATTCTATTTCTTTTCCTTCTCACTTATTAAAGAAAGGAAGAAAAGAAATGTTCATGGAGAAGTAATATTCGCCTTAGCCAATTATCCACTGTGAAGGAATCATTGAGTTTTACGAGAAACAACAGAGCATAATTCAAAGATCAAAATGGTCATTTTTATGCCATACTATCGCCAGCGTGGGCAGAGTCTTCATTCCAACACGCGTACACGTCCGTCAACATCGTTAGCAAATGGACAGAATACTTCTGCAGCGACTATTCGAATGAATCGTTGTCGATTTATATCTAACATTCTCTGCCGATTCATCTGCTCACTTTTCCTATTGACTATCGCACTTTTTCTCTTTCAACTGTCGATCGACAATACTTCTAATCAGAAAGAAGGATCCAATATTATTGCTGCTATTCTACTAACAATCGCAATCATTTCCTTCATACGAACGTGTCAAAAATTAAGGCGATACTATATCATTTTAGATACAAGACGTCGACTGATACAGGTACGCGAAGGAAAATGAAGAGGATATACTATTTTTTTCCTGATTAAATATACGTATTTCAGAGATTACGTGAACGGCAGCAAGCATATGAATTGGCTCTTGCGTTAAATAATAGTGAAAATGCTGAGTACGTTATGAAGTTTGTTCTTCCTGTACAACGATCATTTTTTCGATTATGTAGATTTCTTCGAAATATTCCTAGTGATCTTCCGTCATACAAAGAACTATTTCCTTCCCAGCCAGATCTGCGTGACACTGGCGCAGATTCCTCGTTATCGTTACCGCCACCATCCTATGACGACTTCGTCGAAACACTTGTTATTCCTCATTCTGGTGCGCGTCTTCCGATTACCGCTCATCCTATTTCATTAGCGAATACATCTTCGCCGCTCTCATCTTCTCAAATAACAACTAATGCTAATCGATGTCTATGGATTACTGATCAAGCACGAAGACCCCTTTGTATTCGCGGTTCTGTTACATATGTGTAGAGTTGAGCAAAATTCGTACGAAATAGATTTGCATATGTTCGCAAGATGTTTATTTTGGAAAAGTTGCACAAAATAAGAATGACTAAGTGTGTTTTTCTTTTCTACACCATGTTTTGCACTCGACGCTCACGGTACTCATGATTGTCGATACCTGATTCAGCATCTGTTTTCTCTCGACTATTATCGGAAACTTTTGATTTGGGATCAGGAGGTGCACGAGATCTCAGATCACTTATGTCCCACACTTTCAAAGATCCATCGACTGATCCACTAAACAATCGATCGTCAACGATCTAAAACAAATCAAATAAGTGAAGAAAAAAAGCATGGTAATCAACTTAAGAATTGATTTCGAATAACCTGTATACAATTGACTGCTAATTCATGCGATTTGAAAGCACGTTTCATAACACCCGAACGTGCCTCAAAACATCGTACAATCGCATCACCACAACCAGTAAAGACTAGATCAAATTTATTCTTATTTTCATCATATGTACTTTAATCACCTTACCGAGATCATTTTCAAGCTGAATACATGATACTGAATGATGATGGCCTTTGTATATTCGTATACAGTCGCCAACATCTATAATCCAACAACGGACAGTATGATCAGCACTGAGCGAATACAATAACTTATTGGCGACCTAAAAAACAAAGAGCATCAAAACAGTGTATTTAGTCATTGAGCTTTCTATTTGTATTACAAGAATATTAATAACGGGTGCTTGATGAAGATCATAAATACGTAATTCATTTCCTCGATAGATATCCCAAACTCGAATAGTATTATCACCTGACCCTGTGAAGAGCACTTTCCCTTGAGCATCGGTTGCCAGACAAAGTACCGCTCCAATATGACCTTCGAATGTTTTCAAACAATCGCCCGTTTTCAGTGACCAAGTTTTGGCGGTTAAATCCTGCGAGCCAGTAATGAGAATATCTTTGGTGTAGATATTCATTTCCTCTTCGAATGTACTCTCTTCCTCCGCATCGCGATTTGCCGGGATGAATAACAACGGAAGGAGACCATGATGATGACCGTGAAATGTACGAATACAAGTTCCAGTACGATAATCCCAGCAGCGTGCTGTTCGATCGTACGACGTTGAGAAAATCAACTCTTCTAAACACAAAAGAAAAGTAAATTGCAAATTTTCATTTGATTAAATCTATTGAAAACGCTCTCCCTGTCACACTCTCTCTCTTTTCAATTACCGGTACAAGTGATTCGATTAACGATTGATGTATGGCCAGTGCAAATAAATACACATCGTGCACTTGGCATGTCCCACTTTCGAATAGTGTGATCAGCACTTGAGCTAACTAAATAACTATCCAGAATAACTATATGCGTGATGTAATCCGCATGACCAGCAAGAACAGTGAGATATTCCACAGATTCAGTTCTTGTGCTCCATAATCGTATGGTGTTATCGTCCGAGCCCGTTGCCAGTACACTAGTGTCATCACTTAACGTCATACAGTTAATGCCACTTTCATGGTTTTCTAGTGTTTGCAAAAGCCAGTTGTTAGGGCGGCCAGCGCGATGTTTTGATACAGCAGTACCCATATGAAAACTGAATTCAATCAATTCCGAAGAAAAAACGATTCTGATCGATGCTATGAGAAACAAAACCAATTCCAATATACCAGGTTTTCTCTTCTTCTTTTTCGTAATTCAGAAGTGTTTTGTCGTTCTATTGCTACACTCATGAATTAAGCACAAAAATCTCACGAGACAAGCCAAAAGTAGGAATAATATAAATTACATGAACACCTTGTTATTCTCGTCTTCTGTGTTGCTGAGTACTGAAAAATCGCATTGAACTTTTTCCTATGTGCCTATAAATTAATTTCATAACATGGCAAATTAGTTTTCTTTCTTCTCTTCTCTTCTCTTTGTTAATCAATGAATCTTTGATCATGGACAAAGAAAAACCTTGAATGAGACTTGGATGGTTTGTCAATTGTATCGAATAACAATGAATGTTTGTGTTTTAAATCTATGCGTCTTTAGGTTCAAATGACAAAAACATTATGAATAAATCTTTTCGTTCTCCTCATTATCTTCCTTCGTTCTTTCTATCTATCTCTCTCTCTCTCTTGATTTGCCTTTGATGCTAATCCCACTCACACATACAAATCACAAGTTCACATGTGTGTTTTTTTTTCGTTAAATAAACGAAGGTTTACAGTATGTAATATGTCAAATTGACTAAAAATGATTTCTCTTCATCGTTCCTACTCTTCAAATTATTGTATGCAAGTCCAGAATAATTTATGTCAATGATGTAACATATGCAATCTATCCCAGATGGCAAATTGTTCATTTGTCAGCATCGTCTTTTGTAAAATATGCATCGACATCAAAGTTTAATGGCACAGCATCACCTTCTCTCTTTCTCTTGCTCTTTCTCTTTCTCTTTCTCTTTCTCTCGTTATCCGCCTTCGTTTTCTCTTTCTGCTTTCACTTGCTCATTCACAATAAAATTTTAATCATCTCTAAACGAAACTTTGCAAGGATAATTTATGCTCAAACAATATATGCAAGTGTAGATTTCTTCAGTTTCTTTTCTCTCCTTTTTTTTTCATGATGATCATCATCACCATCGTCGCCAGCGTTCTGCTTGTAGTGAATGACCTGAGCAAAGATGTATGTACAAAGAATAAACACTTCTTGCACTATTCTATTGATCATGAGAGAGACAGAGAGAAAGAAAGAAAGAAAGAAAGAGAATTGTCGTCGCTCATTGAATTTTGATAGTTGGCTTGGTTCTAACCTCTTCGATCGGATATGAAGAAAGAAAAAGTAGGCGTCTCTCTCTTTTCTACTCAGCTCATTTCCATTGTACTTTTCGTAGTACAAACATCAAGATACTGATTAGTACGTTAGTGATTGATATAAGAAACAAAACAAGTATACATTCCTTCTCCGGAAAAAAACGAATCTTCATACATTTTTGCATTCCGTATCTGTTTTCTCCTTCGTTTTTTTTCTTTGATATCGCAAAGAAACCGACTACATAGATGCAGATATACATCTAGAAATGTCAAATCTGTGCAGTAAGGGTGAGTTATGATATTTACAAACGGTTGATTGTCTTCATCTTCTTTACCACTTTTTTTCATTTCCTTTCAATGTGTTGTGCTTTCTTTTGACCTACAACAGATATACAAATACAATGCTCGAAAACACGTCATCACTTTCGCCATCGCCGTGAACATGCGATACTAGAACCAACACTCGCTAGACATTTCTATTCAATCTGAATATCCAACTTGAAATCATACGTAAACGCGTCTCAATTGCTCTTTTGTTCGAAGTTAAACGAAGGAAATCGATGTCTGGTTTTGGACGATAGATGACTGATGTATTATATTCATTCCGATCGCTGGAAAGACGATAGCATTGTCGTATTTATCATATTGATAAAAAAGAAATTGATGTTGTTTTTCACATCGTCAGCATATAATTCCAGTGCCTTTTTTTTTCTAGATGCGTAGGTAGAGCATATATTTACGATGTCCGCTCTCATATTCTTTGTGAGTAATATTCGCTTATGAAAAACTAATCCATATATAACATTCGAGAAAAAAAGTATATTGACTATCAAAATGCAAGTTCCACTCTTTATGTCATCATTTTCGACTGACGTATACGCTTTTGTTATAGAACTATTATAGACATTCAATCGTTTGCTGTATCACATTTTACTGTTTATTTCCTGAAATCATAAAAAAAGAGAGGGAGGAACGAGACCAGTACCAACTGCTCTTCTGCTCAAAATTACATTCTATTTGCATATATTCAATCGTCTGATTTTTTTTCTCCTTTGTTTTGTCAAGATTCTCTCTGGTATGTGCGCTTTTGAGTTTAACAGAATAGTACCAGTAAACGAGAGTCGGAGAGTGATTCGTTTTTTGTTCTTCTTCTTCTTCTTCGTCGTCGTCGTTTTCTATGTTTGATGCGTTTAATAAAGAAAAAACGATGCCCTTTTTTCAATAGAAATATAAGAGCAGATGCGTGTGAGTCTTCTCATAATGAGTCATTTGTATATATAGACATACGAATATATATATATATATGCGCTGTTTTAAACGGATATCTAATGAAAGTACGATTTTCTTTTCAGTAGATTACTTATACAGAAATATTCATCATGGGTCACGGAGGTATGAGTTGTGGAATGAAGACAGCGCGTTGTCTAATGGTACTATTCAATATTGTCTTTTTCGTAAGTAGCTGTTTGGTTTCTCAAGTTTTTCTCGATTGAAAAGAATGTTTGTTTAGTTAATTGGTGCCGTACTTCTTGCACTGGGCATATACGTGATGGTTGATCCACGATTTCAAAAATTAAAAGAAATTTTACCACTTAATACAAGTATGTTGAGGATGAAAAGATATGTTTGTTCTCGAAGTTTCCATTTTCAGATGCGGGATTAGAACGAGGCCTGTCGTATCTTGAAATGATGGCCATCGTTGTGATCATTCTGGGCTCAGTTCTCTTAATAATCGGATTTCTCGGATGTTGTGGCGCAATGAAACAAGTAAAATTATTTCTCACCTGCGTAAGTGCAAATCAATTGACAATTTCAATTCCGATAAAAATTGAATTTAGTATGCCATCATTGTCGCCCTGATTATAATCTTTGAAGTGGCAATAACAATTTATTTCGTTGTGTTTCAATCGAATTTTAAAGAAAGTTTCGTACCAAAATTAAAGGACTCCCTACGAAACAATTACCAAGGGCCACTAGGAGTAGCTGGCTATGGGCCCAAACCAACAGCTTACTCATTAGCATGGGACTTCATTATGTACAATGTATGTAATCATAATTGTTGCTAGATGAAATGTCTCATTCGATTTGATTTCAGCTGAAATGTTGTGGTGTGGAAAATAATACAGATTTTGATGGAGCTATGCAATGGAACCGTTCAAATCCATGGGCAGAACCCTTGGTACCACAATCTGCGTCATTTCGCTATCCATTGACATGCTGTCCGTTTCCAAACGGTCAATCGAATTGGAATAGTTTACCTGTCGACCAATTGAGTGAAGTTGCGAAGTGCGCTGTGTATGGCACAGGTGTTTACGAAACGGTCAGTTTGATTTGTTCGTAGATGAAACTTGATTTGAGAGATTATGATTTTTTCAGGGTTGCTACAATAAAGTCGTCGAAGTGCTCAATTCTGCCAAGACTTGGGTTATCGTTGGCGCCGTCATCATCCTTGTCATTGAGGTAAAAACCTACTTTCCTTGAATATATTCGTTGTCTTCATCTTCCTGTGTTTAGTTAATAACATTCATCTTTACTTTGGCTTTATGTTGTCGTCATAAGAAAGATATCATCTACTATTCGTCGTAAGGATATTCAACAAGAGAAGAAACTTACAGTGTGCTGAAAAGAAAAGACATATATTTTTTGTTGCTCGTGTTTTTCTCCTTAGTTGTCCGTTGGAGTGAATGTAATTCAGATATATTTTTCTTTTGTGTCTGTATGGTAAGAAACGAAGAAGAATGGAAGTTCATCTTGTCTGACATCGAAAGCTTTTTATCAAATAATCATTGTCGTCCGTTTTCTTTCTATGCTTCTGGTTGTACATGTTATTTCATTCTTTTCTTCTTTGAGAATGTTTTTACTAACTGTTTTCGTTTTCTTTCCCAACTATTTACTTGTTTATAATCGTTCTTTTTTTTTGGCATGATTTTCGAACATTAAAACGAATAAACACAATGAAAATGAAAAGCTGACATTCGGCGAAGATCAATACAAATGGTAAGTCAAGAATTTGAATGCGTTTCAGAGCATTGACGTCGGAACTAATGCAGAAAAGAATGTTCGACAATGCTGTCGGATGGATTTCAATGTTTTTGCAATACTAATAAGGTGTATGCTAATCGTGTAACTTGAAAGAAAATAATATTTTCATAGAAATTTGAGCTGCTCAGAAGGGCAAAATGTACTCTTTACTTAGGAAATGTGGGTGCTTTGTTTCTTCTCATTGCATAAAGCTTAGCGATTTCGTTCAACTTAATCAATGATTGTCAATATTACTTCGGTTCCATCGATTGCTCAAATCAATTCCGATGCAGCTGAGCCGATCAGTAGTGGTATTTACTAAAATTGACCGGTCAGAGAAGAATATTTTAATTTTCTTTGCACGCTTCTCTACAAATTCTACACTTTTAGCGAAGAATCGCTCTTGTCGGGACTGGAATTTCTCTAATCGCCGACAGTCATGTTTTACATTTATAGTAACATTATGTCCCGTACAGATTCGATCGTAGGTATTCTTTGCACTGTAGGATTCGCTTGCTGTTGATTAAGTGTATTCGGTAATTGCAGACTGTTCTGTACGATTCACCGTCTTCCCCTAGGGAAGGTTTGCAACTGCTACCACATGAGTCATCATTATGTAAGGTTTTTGACAAACATATTTTTGATTGAAAGAGACATAATTCTGTCTGTAAAATGTAACATTACGGATCGTTTTACTTTTTATGACTCACTTCAACCATCTTCGATAGTCGACGAGAACGACGAAAAGTCAATAAACGTCAATCATTCGAGTCTTTTTTCAAAGGTCTTCCACCTACGTATGCGCTTCAATTTTCCCCACTTTTTTCTCCTCAATGACATATAATCTCATATTTTTCTTTCTGACTTGAACTGCAGAACCTGTACGGATCATCGATGAATCATCCATCGGTAATTTTAACATAAAAACAGAGAATAAGGAAATCACGCTGCATCGATACAAAAGAAAAAGAAACAGTAGTCCTTAAAAAAGAAACGCTTTTTACTTTCTCCTATTCACGTTATGTTTTACACACAGCATCATAATTGTCCTTCGATAAGTAATGCATGGGCACATTGATGTTTATTCTTTTATGATTATAAAGTGTCTTATTCTAATATTGACGTATCCATAGGTATTTTGACGCGAGCATGTTGCATTTACTTTTGGTATTCGTCGTTATCACGGGTACGTCATGTACTAAAATTGAACAAATCGTCGCATCTGCTGGGCAAGCGTTTTCATTCGACTGTCAATTCGATGAATCAGTATTCTTCGCTAAACAACTTGACAATTGGTCTGAAATACAAGAGAATGATAATAAATATACGTCGTTAAATCTAAATTTTAACTATTTAATGGAAGAAAATATTTTACGTGTAACATCCAATTCCGTTGATTCGGTAAATCTGGGCTATTATGGCTGTCGAAGAGCTACATGGGCCACGCCAGACATGAATCGTATCTACAAATTAGTCATAGCTGGTAACTCACGTTTACCTTTTTCTATCCTATCACGATATACATACTTGTTTTCAGATGTGCAGTTGTTCTACTGGAGTTACACGTGTCATGCCCCGATCGGTTCATGTGTACGTACTGATGATTCCAACGATGACACGTTGAGCACATTCGAAGTCGCTGATCAAACCACTGTCAATTTATATTGCTGTGCTTCTGTGAATGGTTTAAAAAATATCAATGTGAAAATGAATCGAGTTGGCGAAACCCGAGGTGACATTCACATAAAACGAAAACAAGAATTGGACGGTTCATGGGTTGTCTGTGCTAACCAACATACGCTTATCAAGCGAACATCATCGAGAAATCCACAGACGTTGAAATGCGAATTAATCACTGATAACGAGCCATACTCTTCATTGTCGAGTTCGATTGTAGTAAAAGGTTTGTTGGCTTTGTTTGAAATACGACGGTGAAAGTGAAAGATTCTGTTTCTAGATGCTCTGCCAGCTGATTCAGATATTGATTCAGCTGATCATTATCAGCCATCCATGAAAGGCACTGACGATAGTTACTTCTCGGGATCAGCATCAGACCGTCGTCGAGGAAAAGTAACGACTGGTGTGGCTTTGATATTCTTCTGCTTTGATAAAGATCAGATGTACTAAAAGTTTGAATTTACTTTTCTTATAGGGAAACGCATTGCTATTATTCTTGGGTCTGTTCTTGGCGGTCTTATTCTTGTCGGACTACTGGCGATTTTAGCATTGTTTCTTTGTTCTAAACGTAAAGGTATGAAGTTATGAAACGAAAACTCGACCAAGAAAATAATCATATTGTATCTTTTACTTTTTAGGTTCACAAAAAAAGTAAGTGAAATGTTCTACAGTTGCCCATTTTGTTCTACGATATACGGTCTAGTGACTTCTCATCTATTCCAACCAATGAAAAAATCAGTTCACTTCCTCAACAAAATCTCAAAGGTACGTTGTTCACTTTGTCATAACTCGAGCATTCGAATATTCTCGATCATTATTTTTCTTTTCAGACGACTCTGATTATCTACAACCAACGCCGCTATATGAAAATACTTCCGTGTTTCTTCGACTTTAACTACTAACTATTTGAACTGTTTTGCACGTACTAATAATGTTTTGTCTTTCATATAAAACATGTTCTCTCTTTTTGATGTACCCAAAATTTTTCTATTGATCTCTGTCACTCGGAATAATGTACCAATTTGAAAGTTCAGTGCATGTCATGTACGTCATTCTATCAATTAGCAAGTCAAAAGCATTTTAATGAATACTTTCTTACCTGTATTGAATAATAGAGAATAGTTACAGAAGACTAAGGACAAGTAAAATTGTTTGCCTGATGTTAAAACATCGACATCGACATAAGCCGTGTGATCTCAGTTTAGTTTCGAATATTTGTAGTGTATTTATTTTATGTCAATAAATAAGTGAGATGTACAAAGAAGACAAGGATGAGTATGTATGTTTTGTAAGCGAGAAGGAAGGGTTAAATACAACTGCAATATGAAGAGTGATCCATTTTATACAAATCATGCGAATTTGGCTTTGAAACGTTCAATAAATTCAAGGAACTTGCTTCGAATATGACCGCCAATTCGCATAATTTCGTCGCGTAGGTTTTCGAAGAAGCTCTTACTAATAGCATCTGTGGCTGTTTCAACAGCCTCTTCGTGATATGTTGTTGACGTGGGTCTTGTGGCTAGTCATAAAATGTATTATAAGCATAGAATAATTCGATAGATATTCACTTACTAAGACTTTCACAGACACCGCATGGTTTTGGTTCGAATTTATCACTATGAAGGACATAGCACCAAGGCCCATCAGGGCTATTATTCGGATTTCGACAGTAGTCTTTTGCCTCTTTTACCGACGCATCATTAAAGAAGTTTGGTTCAGTGACAACAGAGGGGAAAACCGTTTGCAAATGACTCCACAGTTCACATTCTTCGCCAAATTTGCTCGTTGCCTGTTGGCCAGAGTAATGGGTAATACCATCTTCGGTAATACTACAATCTGTCGACGAAAATCGAGCCAATCTTAATCAACATGAATTCCTTCGACAATAAAGACTTTACCTGCTATACTTCTGACAATTGTCGGTGTGCTGGTTACACAAGCAACGATAGTGCAGACAATAAGTACACGCAGAAACATATTCGCGTGCAAGGACAAAGATTAATGATGGCTGATATGATATGTTTATGTGCGTAATAATAATAATAATGAGATAGAAGCAGAAGAGAAAGAGACGTATGCGACAAAGAAAAAGAATCTAGTTAACTGATGTTTTATCCATCTAGATACATCGATATTCGCTTCCCACATATATCAGACAGATGTCGCCAATGGCCAATCAAGTCTTTTTCAAAGTAAAAATGTGAACAAATAAATTTTTTGCACTTGATTACATGTGTTTATTATGTTAAAATTAATCCGATCATCTTTTTTCCAAACAGCAATACCATAGGTCAGTTAACTCATTCTATATCGAGTGATTCATACCCGTCTTATCCCATCATATGCGACGTACATGCGTGACGTTTACACTGAAATATAAATTGCTAGTTTTCATTGGAAATCAAATTATGTCTGTCTTTGTTAAATACGGTTTTCTATTATGAATCGCACATTTGGTAATAATTCTTATTCTTCTACGAACTCTCGAATGGCATCGGCACCAGGCACAGACTGGGAAGATTTACGTAAACAAGCTCGTCAACTTGAAAATGAAATTGACGCTAAATTAATGTCATTTTCAAAATTATGTTCAAATTATGTTGCACGTGATCACTCATCTCTTTTACCCTCCTCGCCATCGGCATCGTCCTTTGAAACCATGTCGATGGAAATCGAAAAACTTCTCGAACGTTTAGCGGACATCAACAAACGTATGACCGATGCCGTACCTGCACTGCTCGGCCCAAATACAGCTGCAACACATACATTGCAACGACATCACGAGATTTGTCAAGATTATCGACGCGAATTCGAACGAACGAAAGCAAACATACGAACATTTCAAACACGTGAAGATCTCCTGGTCAATAGTAACACTTCCACTTCTGATATCAGTTCTCAAGGACTGAACAGTCGCCGACATGAGCACTATCTACGAGAAATGGAACACTTGAATAACTCACACAACCTAATCGATAAACAGTTGGAAAGTATGGTCATGTTAAAAGACAATCTATTCGGTCAACGGAAGCATTTCATGAATATTACACATAAAGTCAAATCCATGGCTAATCGGTTTCCTTTGATGAATAATATTTTGCATAAGATTAAGTTGAAAAAGCGTAAAGATTCTCTCGTACTCGGTTTTGTCATTGCATGTTGTGTTATTTTTCTTTTTTGTTATATGTTTCGATAAATCAAGAGAAAGTAAATAAAAGCAACTTCTCTCTTTTCTGTCCTTGCGCTCTCTCTTTTCTTCTGCTTCTTCTTCATTCATTCATTCATTTGTTCTCAATAAAGAAATAAGCACTCGAATAACACCTCCTTCTATTTCCATTTTTTTAGATATGGATAACGAATGTCATCGTCTACTATATAGAAATTCTTCGATAAGTTTATTTGAGAGTTACGTCTTCATAGAAAAATTCATCATCGACACACGATTATCATTCGTTGATCAGTACAAGCTATTCGATTTATTAAAAAAGTTACTACCAAATGAAGACAATCAGCTAACTTGCCAAGGCTTTCTTTCGTGGCTCGTTTGGCGTGTAGATCAATACAAAGATCAACAACATGATGAAAGAGACATCCACACAAACAAAAGATTGTTCGATCAAACAATCAGAGACCAGAATGATGATTTGTTTCATAAACAATTGAGAATGAGTAAGACATCTGTTTTGATTATCAACACAGAAATTTATTCATGAAGCCATGTCAGTCGTCCTTTTTACCATTTGAACCTTGTTTACTTACTGGACTTCCTAATTTTGTGTTGAGATAGTCTGAAATTATTGTCAGACACGAGCAAACCTATACCATGCTCAACTATTCGAAACTCTTCTATTGTCTCTATTGCTTTTCAATATATTATTTAGGCCGGACGCATTCCGTATCCGAATCATGCAATGACACGTCTTTAGCTCACTACACTCAACAGCAATTGGAGCACGATGGGAACAAGTCTTCAGGTAAGATAAACATACTTTCTTTGTTTTATTTCATCATCTTGAATTGAATATCTAGATATTCATCAACAGATCGACCGTTTGCAATCGATCGTCCTTCGTCTTGCATCGAACATTGATACTCTCAACCAAAAGTCAAACATTCGAGATAGACCACCATCTTTTTTCGAAACACATATCAAACACGAACATATCGAAGATGTAGGAGAACGCTTTCCTTTGAAAAAATACTCTTGAAACTAATACATTCGATTCTAGAATGAACCATCCGAGTTGGAGATGGACGATGAACATGAAGATGAAGTATTAGACACAAACCAACATTTAGATTATCCTGCTAGTACATCGACAAATTTGCCATATGCAATTCATCCAATGTCTACGAAAACAATTGTAAGTCAATTTTTTCAACGAATTAGTAGTGTTTCATCTGCATAATAGATGTACAATGGACGAAATATGATGAAACATCTTCGGCCACGGACAACATTGACTAGTTTTGCTCGGCATGTTGCTAGCGATCTGTTTTCACGCGAAGAAATCATGGCTAAACTACATGTGGATCACAATAACGAACGGGATGTCCTTCTTCGACGTACGTTATTGACGATTAACATTTGATTTTTCAGTAAAATGTAATTTTTATGCAGACTGCATATGTACAGCTTGGAACTTAAGCGAACAGGAACTGTATTTGATGTGGCCCAAAATTCGGAATGCTTTGTTACAGCTGCGTCGCGATGCGATCGCTGGTAAATGCATTCGTATGGATGGCAAAAGAAAGTCTCACGAGCACCAGCATCAACATAAATCCGACAATTTTCATCATTATCATAGCGATGACGATGATGATGACACTCCTATCAAGTCTGACCCTTGTACATAGATTTTAGCACAAGAAATAAACGAAAACTTGACGGCAATCCCGAGTTTTATGCAAATTGTTTCTTACGATTTCGATTTTAGATAGAAAGTATTCATCATGCGTTTGTCCTGGATATTGAACGCAGCGAAAGGTGGTCGACAATTATTGGTCAATTGCGAATCACAAGCAACAGGCCATCGGGTGATGCGCATACGTGAGAAAACGCAAGACAAATTAGAATTTCTACACGTCGATCCATGGATTGATCAAGAAGTTCTGTACAAAGAAATCAGAAAGATCAAAACATTAGAAAAACAAAAAGTTCGCGAACTACATCTTGGCCGAGTAGTATGATGTTCTGTTTTTTGTATTTCATACAAAATAAATAGCATAGGTATATACACATCACGTTCCTTGCCATTCGCTGCGCGTATTGAAGAGCAATTCAGTTGAAACTTCCTTCTAGCAGTATGATTAAAGTTATTCAACAGACTTTTACATTTATTCAATGATCATCATTAATATACATAGAGATTAATCCTATAGTTACTAAAAATAATAGTAATTCTGCTTTCTACAGAACGTTTCGGTTACAAAAGCTAGAAAATATACAATTTATAATATTCCTCTGTTGCATATACTGTTTTTATTGAGATTCTGTACGATAAATTGATTCGAAATTACGGGTAATTCGCGGCGAGTTGAACAGTGGGACCCATTTCGGATGGAGGATAGAGATTCGGCCGAGCTTTGAATCGCTTTGTTGCTATATCGATTTCGTATGTGGCACCACGAATGTAATCAGGAGTGATTTTCTCCGACCGAGGAGCATGAACAAATCCCAAACAGATCTAAACAGTACATTGGACAAATTTCAAGAACGAAATAGATTCATAGGACATACTTGTTTGCCGATTGTAAATCCATATGCTGCCGATGTAACAAATCCGCAGAATTCACCGTTGCGATAGATTGGTTCTTCACTCCACGGCCTAAAATGACGAGGATTTTGCTAAGAAAAATATCGAAGGAAGATTAAGTTAGTACCATGGATCTGAATTAAGATTATGATCTTCAAGTTGAAATTGAACGAAGCGCTTGTGAATGCCTTCAGCTCGTTGTTTAAGTAGCGCTTCTTTGCCAATGAAATTTTTCTAAACGAGCGAATTACATATTCTAAATTAGTATCGAGAAATTTGTATGTCCAGTTACATCGAATGAAACATGGTATTCTCGGTTTAAATGGAGTGGTGTTGTTTTCTTGTCGATATCATGCCCCCATGATGGATACATCCGTTCGATTCGAAGAGTACGCTGTGCGAAATAACTAAATTCTTCGAATGTAACTCGATGTTGATTCATAATCTACAATCTTACCCGGCATTTATAATTCCATAGTCTTTACCTTGCTCCATTAACAGGTCGTACACGCATAATGCATACTAAAAAAAAATCAACAATAGGCGATTTTGAGAGTCAAATCAAATCTTACTTCAGATGGGATATATAACATGAAACCATCTTCGCCTGTATGTGTTAGTCGCATAGCATAGATATGACTGACAAAACCAACATCGATTTCCTCGAATGAAATTTATAATAACAATCTTTGACGATCAAATGTGGATCATTTACTTGGCAAGTCATTCGTCCAAAATCACTGAAATTCTCGTCACTTAGTTCACTTAGTAAAAATTTGGCTTTCGGACCGATGACGTTCAAAGCTGTGTAGAGTGAGGTAACATCCGAAAGAAATACTGATCCATTTCGAGGAACGTGCGCTTTCAACCACTTCATATTCCGAGTTGATTGTGATGTTGGACTTACCAAAAGAAAACTAAGAGAAACGCAGTATTTTCAACGAAATCAATCTGCTAATTTACTGATTATCATCGAGACGTATAACTGAACAATCATTTTCGTAGCCACCTCGCTCATTCAACATTCCCGTATGTACAATGGTACCGATTGGTTTATCGATATTATCGGCGCATAGTACTTGAAGAAAATCAACCACACTTCGGTCTGCTGATTTGAGTTCGTATTTTGTAAATGATGTCATATCGATAACAGCTACACCTCGTCGACAAGCATTATACTCTTTAATGACCGTATTAAACCATCGAGGTTTACCAAAAGAGCCTTGTTTGCTGAGATCGACGAAGTCGACTAGAAAAGAAAACAAAGAAACATACGTTTAAGTTAAATTGAAAAAATACTGATTTGATGGAATTTGTACGTACTTTTTCCCAGTTCATCAGGTTTGAAGAACAACGGTCGCTCATAGCCAAGCACTTCGCCGTAAGCAGCGCCTGCCGCTTGCAATTTCGGATGCAATGCTGAAACACGTAGTTTTCGTCCTGTTCGATACAATGACATACCATAAGTTGGATATTTCAATGAATATTGCTTTCCTATAAGTGAATTATGATCTGTACAGAAATGTATAGAGCAGTTATGAGAACTATACCTGGTATTTCCCGAAGACGATCCTCAAGAAATCGTTTATTCGTATGTAAACGCATAAACCGTCGTATGTCCACTGGCCAAGTGCTTAAATTCGTATTTCCATGGTAGATCAGTTCAGCAATATATTTGCCCACCCCGCCTGCGAGTGCAATTCCATTACCGTTGGCTCCTGATGCAACGAAATAATTATCAATCTAAACAGCTTCGTTAAAGTGAATAGTCTTCATTTGATTCTAATAACTTACTTCAGCGGATTCATTCATAATTAATCGACCGTCGGGTGTATAACTCTCCGCACCGGTTATTAGTGTTTCACACTGGCTTTCCGCTAGAATAGGAAATCGTTTGATTGCATTGCTCAATATCCAGTCTAGGAGGAATTGATTTCTACTTGAAGCCAGGATCGATCAATGAGTAAACTTACGGAAATCATCCCAATTCTCGGGTAATAATGAAAAATGAAACGTATCCGGGACTCCATTTGAAAAAATAGGTTTTGACTGTCTCAGAAAGCCACCGATTAGAACACTACGGTCGGCTAATGGTTGAATATAGAAGCGTTCTTCAGGATTATGTATTGTAGGGACATCATCAGGAAGTTTTTCAATCGGCTTTGTTTTCATACAGATGTATTCTAAATTATATTCATTGATCAGAAACAATTCATTCGATGTGTATTTCGATCGTATGATTACCACAAGCTTGAGTAGGAATTCGTACACTTGGTGATGCTTGAAATCCAAGTTCACGTGCCCACTAAAGTGCACAATTAGGATTTACTTATGCAAAGAAGAGAAAAAGTAAACTTACTATTCCAGTACAATTAATAAATATATCACATTTTATGTTGCCTTTGGATGTAACCGCACCTGAGACACGATCCGACTTACCACTACTTTGTTTTTCAGTAAGAATCTCTTCCACCGTACAATCTTCGATGATTTGAACTCCTAGAGAAGAAAACTATGTAAAAAGAAACTTGTTTACCACTAGCTTCACCTTTGCCTATTGCCAACTGTGCAAGTGTTAAAGTTAACGAAACAGGATCAACCATAAAATCGTTGGGCATCCACAGACCACCCTTTAATGAAATTCCATCTATGGTTTAGAACGAGTTACATTGATTTTTACGATACCCAAACTTCATGTGAATTGATAATGGGCACTTTGGCTTGTAGCTTTTCATGACTCAATATCTCACAATTTAATCCCAATGCGTTCGTAACAGTATATTGTCGTTTTAATGTATGAAGACGATCAGCTGTTTGCGCAACCCATAAACTTCCCTTTTCGTCGAAACCTATGTACAGCATACATAGTATAACGATTGCAAGCAAATAAATATACCAATGGTATGCCCCTCTCTATGCAACTGTTCATATAATTCTCTTGAGTATTTTGTGAAATGTGTTTCCACTACTGTTTTCTGTAAATGCGTCACTTGACCAGAACTCTGCCATGTTGAGCCGGATGCTAGTCTGTATTTCAAAAGAGAATTTCAGTCGACCGTTTCCTTTCTCCAATGATGTTTTACTTTGCTTTTTCAACGAGCACAATATCTTTCACGCCGATGTGACTGAGATGGTATGCAACTGATTGACCGATGATACCACCGCCGGCGATGAGTATATTACATGAAGATGGAGGTTGTTCAGTTAGTATTAAATGCGGAGTCGGATGAACATGATGAGGAACTGTTGGAGATTCATGTGAAACTAAACGATGTGGAATGAAGCTCAAGCATGAAAGGAAAGTTCTGTTTTTCAAACAAATATTGCCGCAAGTAGATAGCTTATGCTGCAGCATGTAAGCTTGCAAGCATCTGAAAATGCAACTATCTAAATACAAAAGAAAAGTATTTGTATTATTAAGTAATAAAAACTAATTGTTCTTATGGATACAGGAAGGAGCGAGAGAGAAAGAAAAAGGACAAAATAAAACGGTAGAGGACTAGGATATATTCATGATTTCGAGTCTATTGGATGTTAAGATGAAGAGGAAATTTAATGATCAGCTTTTTTGCCCGATTGGTTTTTGTCCGCTTTGGCTTTTTTCGGTTTTGACGATGTACGATTTGAACCGTTGTATTTTTGTAAATTGGACATGATGTAGATTGGATAAATCATTGGTACAGACAGAAATAAACCTAATGCGATTAATTTCTCCTGGAAGAATAAGACAAAGAGTATAGAGAACAAAGAAGAAAATAATTAGATGTTTACTGAATTTGTCACTTTATTAAGTGGTGGACCAGCCATTAAGAGTGCGCTTCCGTTACGACGTGGCATCATCATTAGAGCTTGACGTCGAACGACTTGAGTCAAAAGGCCAGACATTGTTGAAAATTTGTTCAAAGTACAATTATCTGAAATCAATCGAGTCACTGTTGCAAACAAAATAACGCATAATAGTTTCCTGAAATTTATGCTAGAAGAGAATGAACTAAACCTTGAGGTAAAGAAAATCATCATAATTAGTTCTCTTTCATATTCAGAATGCGTATTTTTATCGAACGCGCCGTCTACATTCGTTATAAAACATGACTCGTGCGATGGATTTTATCAATGTTCTCAAAATCTCTATACGACAGTTATTTATAGTCTTGTTGATGCTGCCAAAACCGAATAATGCTTATGATTGTAAACAATGCTTTATGCTTGGTGATTGGTTAGAATTTTTTCTTGATATTCAGCTCGAATCATAAATTTAGTTTTCGAAAACAAGTTAAATATGTAAAACCGAAATATATTTTTTATCGAAACGACTGGCACCATCTTCTGGTTGGTAATTGCAATTCTAACCAATCGCAATGTTGCGCACGATGTGCACGTAAGACAGATACACACATCGTATAGCATTTACGAAACAGTAAATCTTGCGCAAGTTGATTTCCTTTCTAAGGGTTGTATGGATGAAGAATTAAGTGTATTAAAATCCATTTACTTGGAAGATCTAGAAATCGATTCGGGTGACCCAACAACGATCACGATTACAATCTTTTCCAACGGTGATGAAAACGATCTCGATCAAGATAAACGACTTCTACGTATAACATTCGTTGCTGAACTTCCGTCAACATATCCTGATACAGATTCGCCTAAAATAACACTTTGTCGCTCGCGTGGTTTGACCGATGAACAACTAGATGAATTGAATTCATCAATTACAACTTGCCTTCAGTCGAATCTTGGCTCATGCGTACTCTACGAATGTATCGAACTAATTCGCTCAAAATTATCTTCCTATGATCTTCCATTTGAATCCTGCGCCATATGTTTAACTTCGATGACAGATCGGAATGAAATCATTAAAACAAACTGCCATCATTTTTATCATAAAACTTGTCTTAAACCTTATGTTGATATGCGGAAGACAGAATTGGAAGAAAAATATCGCGAATTGAAGAACAATGGTTTCTACATCGAACGAGATTTTCGCCAAGATATCGAAGATCCTGTATGTCGACAAATTCTTTCGAGTCACGTTATCGAACAGCTACCAGATACTTCGACTATCGAAACAGTGTCAAGTGAAGAACACCAAGAACTAATTCATCAACTTTCACCACATGTTCGACAATGGCAAGAACGCACACAAGCACTTTTCCAACAACAAAAAGAGAAAGGAGGCATTATCGATCTTGATAAGAACCAAGAAATGATATTCACGTGAAATAATTTTCTATTTTTTTATGTTATTTATTTGTTTTTCTTCAATATTTTTCGCATTGAAGTCGATCTATACATACATTAAAAAGAAAAGGATTAAACGTGTTCTGTTTTTTTCCTGTTGAACGTCAATGCGACGATCAAGAAAGAGTTCACTTTTATTTTCTTTATTATTTCTTTGCGAGAACACCACATTCAAATGGTCAATTCAAAATGTCCCATAGGCTACTCAAAGTATATCCCTGTGGTAGTTTTTCTATAGCCAAGCCAAGTTCTTCCGAATAGACAGGTTCACGATCACGTTTACCCGTATCCGTCAAATAGGTCTACATACGAGACGTCAATAAATATAGAACTTCAAAGCATCACTGATTACTTACAGCGTATGAATCTGTATGTTCTCGGCTTTGTAAGATTTCGATGTCATCAACTAGACTTTCCAGACGCGTGGCTGGCTGATCTGGTTGTTGTTCTTCGATTGAATACTCAACACCAAATTCCGGATTGGCGAAATAGCTAAGAAAAGAGAAACATGTCGTTGATGGTCAGCACAATTCTCCTTCTTCAATCTACCTTTTGTGAAGGGTAATAATTTCTTTGTGAACTTCTCGAAGTTTTTCCTCAGGTGCTATTTGAAAACCGAGCAAGTAGTTTCCACTCTGATAATATCGAAAAATCACCGTACTTTATGTAGTAGATTATAATGCTCTTACGTATGGCGTTGTTTCAACAACGAGTGCAACACCGAATTTCGAATCACGAATTTTGATACTTTTAGTTTGATAATACGGTACACTAACATTAAAGTTTTCATTCAGTTCTGCGTGCCATATGAGACGAATGTCCGTGATGTGAAAGATACCCAGATTACCCTTGAGAAATAGAATAAACCATCACGATTTTTCTTGTTTTTCGAAAAGAAATGGTAGAACTATACTTGATCAGAAGATAGGTTCCATACTCCATTGTATCGACTATGCAGACGTTCTTTTGGTAGAATACGTAGTTGACCTTTGTTAAGTAATGATGATCGAAGGCGAATTTCACGATAGAGACGACTTGAATCATAAGCTTTATGAACAGCGACGATTGAATTGAGCATTGCACTTGAACCAGTCACCAAATTTGTAAAAATAAATTCATAACGTGATGAACCTGATTTCGTCAAGAGATAGACTGATTCTGTGCTGCCACGAAGTTTCTTCGAAGAGAAAAACATGAGAAGTGAGAAAGTTCTCTGAAACTATTCATACCGATTTGGCATTTCGAGCAGTGATAGTAACGAGTGCATGTAAACCAATAGCTTATAAAGAATTATCGAACTAGAATCGAGTATCTCATTCAGAATAATAAACTTACAAAGATTCGTACGCGTCGAGGAATGACTATGCCAAATGAGACGAATATTAGTTATGATAAGCTTTCCTAGACGATTAAAAAGCCACGATTTTCTAGGATTTCCTAAATGTATATCCTATAGTTGTGAAAGTTACCCTTATCGCCATTGTTTCCTTTGGTATCTTCGACTGAACTAAGAGTGTCGATAATACATTCACCAGATCGGCACTTAATGTCACTGGAAATAAATCAACATTGGTATATGCTTTGCAAATATGTACAAACAATGCAGTTACTTTGGTGGCACATCGAAGCGAATCTCTCGATCGTACCACACAGCCATGTTTGCTTCTTGGGTTGCAGATGCCATGATGTCCTTTGGAACTTCTGAACTTTCGATCGTATGTTTTACTCTGATGAAACGCAATGATATTCTGACTTGTCAATCAGCCATGATGTTCAAGAAATTCAGAGAGGTTTCTTCTCTCCCATGTTACTCCGTTCTTTTTTTCTTACTCATATTACAGATGTCACTTTGTTCTTGTTCGTCATGTTTGACAATTCCATCGTCGTCGTCGTCCAAATGCAAATGGAGTGGATCTAGTGATTCTTATAGGTTAACGTCGTCGTCTTCGATCACAACTGTTTCGACTTTGTCGAATAATTTTCCTCAGGTAAACTTTTTGAACTCGATACTATTTTGTCGATGCATTCAGAGATAATATTTTAGGGACAGGATTGTATAAGTGAAGATGGTGCTGATAACGGTCAACAATGGGTGTTTGCAACAGCAAAAAGAGCTCAAAATTGTCATATTGAAAAGAATGTAGGTCTTTCTGAATACGTACAACTCGAATTTCACGAGAAAACTCGCTGTAGGTATCTCTACAAGATCAACCAGATAAGAAAAATAGCTGTATACTTAAAGCAATTATGACACAAAAGCAAATTGTTATTTCTGATTCATCTACAACTCGATCGACTATCATTCCAAATAAACATCTCTCCATGAAAGTAATATTCCATGTTTAATCAATTAAATTTTCGCTTTTCAAATCAAGGTGTAGATTTTGTTTTCATATGTGAACTTTAATAAATCGTGTAATCTCGTTTTTTCTCTTACTGGTGAACGTATTCTACATTACATCTTTTTCTGGAGATGAGATGAATTGAGTCGCGAAGCTTCTAAAATACCTGATGACTTCGGACATGTCAGAATCCAGTGCAAAATAGGTTGACACAGAAAAAGAGTAAGATATGCATGTCATCCTGTTATCAGCGTGTTTATTTAAATAAATATACAACAGTCAATAGCACAACAATGCTTTTCTATCAAATAAAGTGATGACGATGATGATCGTTCGATGTTTTTACATCAGTATCTATCTACTATTCACCTTCAATCAATGGCACTCTCTTCCGATTGTTCCACCGAACATACAATCTAGCGCATTGACACCGTGTGAATTGTGCAACATTCTGCTACCTATTGCCAAAGGTCTCATTGCAGTTAATGAATCATCACTGATCGAAAAACTAGGTATAACATTATGTCAATACTTACATCTTGCGGATGATGAAGTTTGTGCTGGTATGATTGATGAATACAATCCTGTGCTGATCGAAGTACTTCGCCATAGTCCGTTGGCAACACATGAGATTTGTGGCGTTGCTTTTGGATGTATGCGGCAAGCAGATATCCCTGCTCTTCAATGGAATGTCACTTTTCCTCCATCGACTGTGCAAATTTCTTCCTCGGACATGCGGTCACGTGCTCAAGCAACCATTTCGATTCTTCATCTGGCTGATCTGCATATTGATACAAAATATACACCTGGTTCAAATGCGAATTGTGGTCGACCGCTCTGTTGTCGCGATGGCAAACCAAGACCGGGTGAGCTTGGTGCCCAGTTTTGGGGTGACTATCGCACATGCGATCTGCCAGCATGGACAGCGGAAAACATGTTACAGTATATTAGTCAAGTAGAAGAACAAATCGATTTCATTTATTTCACTGGCGATATTGCACCACATGACGTTTGGCAACAAACGCAAGCAAAAGATCTCGAAGAAATATCTTTTACTACTCGTCTATTGAAACGAACATTTCCGAACAAGAAAATCTATCCATGTGTAGGAAATCATGAAGCAGCACCACCGGATCTGTTCTCGACTAACGATATGTCTTGGTTGTATACAAATTTAGTTGATCAATGGATCGGTCAATTTGGTTTAGATGAACGTACACGTGATACAATACTCAAAGGTGGTTACTACACTACAATGATTGCATCGAATCTTCGGCTGATATCTTTGAATATGAATTATTGTACAGAGAATAATTATTGGCTTTTTATCAATTCAACAGATCCTCTCGGACAATTGAAATGGGTATGTTTCCTTCGTCGTCGAATCTTCTATAGTAATGAAAACTTTCTCATGGATCTTGTAGATGATTCAATGGCTGCAGTATGCTGAAGATCATCAAGAAAAAGTTCATATTATCGGACATCATCCACCACGAATGTGTATGGTATCATTCAGTTGGGCATACTACAGCATTGTTAATCGATATCAAAATACGATAACCGGCCAATTCTTCGCTCATACTCACAACGATGAATTCATGCTTTTCTATGATGAAAAAGATTCTAAACGACCAGTAAGTTCAGTTCGAATGCTCAAATTTCAAGAATAACTTATATTTTTTCGAAGATTTCTGTTGCTTATATTTCACCGTCATTCACAACCTATCCCAATCTTAACCCAGGGTATCGAGTATATACAGTCGATGTGAGTGTCACAACAGTTCTAGAAACAAAAAAAAAACCATCATCCAACGCATTTCTTAGGCTATCAATACAACGTATGTATTAGATCACCGCACTGTCATTCTTAATCTGACAGCTACGAATCTTTACAATACTACGAAGTTTACAATGGAATACTCAGCCAAATCAGCGTATGGAATGAAAGATCTTTCACCTCAGGAATGGAATCAATTGATCATACGTATAGAAAACGACATCGAAGGTGAAACTATGGATTTAGTTTATGAGTTCTTTATGAAATCATCCACGGCAGGCAGACCCTGCGATCGAACATGTCGAATGAACTTAGTTAATTGCAATTTCAAAACGGCTCGAGCACAAGATACGACCTTTTGTACAAATAATACCTCGATATATTCTCCTACTTGAATTTATTTCAATAAGAAATGAAAATAAAACAGACGATCTTAAATAAATATTCTTCCTCTTTTTCAGCGCACATCTGACCAGATTTACGAGATCCACGAACAGATACAGATCTACTTCGTTCCGTTATGCACTTCATCTTCTGTCCAAGCTTTTAGCCATTCATACATACTTCTCAGTTCATCCTTATCGCAACAAAAAGAAGTCGATCAATGCAAATATATCAATTTATACTTACTTCTGTTCGAAACGTAGGACAAGTAAATGCAATTTTCCTTGCTTGATGAGATATATCAGCAGTATTATCAATACTCATTTCTTCCATTAAATTTGCTAATAAACACGCAATAGCACCATCACGTATATCACTAGAAATCAAGTTCACATCTACAGATCAACTCAAGTCTTTCAATCACATACTCAACACGTAGGAGAACAGGTAGATCATTGTCCATATCCAGATTAACTAAAAGCTGAGCTAACCGGTGTAGTGGAATACTTCGAATTGAAGTAATCGGTTGATAAAAGAAAGTTGTCGACTATACATAGATGATCAATCAATATTTTACACGGAGAGCTCGAAATTTCAGCTTACTTGTTCATTGTAATATCGACGAAAATCAGTCGACACAAAATCACTATCCAATGATAATCGTTGTTGCTCAATAAAACCCGCATCCTTTCATTCGAAATAAATACGCTAGCGTAAATATCCAGAAATGAACTTACGACGTGACTACTATGTTGAAATAGAAAACAGTGTCGAATTTTGCATTCTGATATGATTTTTATAAGACTTTGACGATCTTGAACAACGGTTAAAACAAAGACTCTCGAGTGTAAATAGCTCTATTTCAATTATAATATCTTCACAAACCAAACTTTACAATGAAGGACAGACTTACATCGATAAAATACACAGGACAACGATTGATGGTTATCGATCGCCAAGATTCATTTATATTCAATGGAATGATTGCCTCTAGTTCTTTCAAACTATTCGTAGTGAAGGACTGCAAACAATCTTGACCATGTTTAACAAAAAGAAAATATCAGCAAAGAAGACTTACTTGCAACATTTCGACAAATGAATTTTGATAATAAGAACCAACTCTAGTTTGAAGCAGTCGACTAATCTCTTCATTCAATCCTTGAAATGTTACCACATCTGGAGAATAAGTCCAAGCAGATAAATGAAGTATTGCCGTGTATACAATTTTCAGCACTTCCTAAATATTTACGTATGTGAAAATCTAAATGTAATTGTGATCCATCTATCCTACTGAAGTCATAGTGCATGCCGGTAACTGTTTATCTAGTTGCGTAATCGTATTCAGTACATTAATAAAGCCATATCTGTGTAGCAGACGTCGGTTAATATCAATCGCCATATACGATATCGCAGGTGTGTCGATTCCGCTAAGGAAGAAGATAGTTTTATAGATCGAGTAAAAGAAGATTGTCTTACCGACTGTGAATAGCGATTATATTTGGACTCCCGTTATGAAGTCTTTCTTTTTTCTCTTTCTCGTTTACTTGATACTGTAAACGCAAGAGAGAAACAGGATCTAATCCAAAAGTAGTCTCTGACCAGTTTTTCACTTGAAATAGCTCAATATCACGGGTTTCGGTAGTACCAATCTAATCAGATTCAACGCACAGTTTTCATCAATCGATTCAATGGTTCTACCTTTTGTAATTGAAATTGAATAGTCTCAGTATCTAACCGCTGCAATCGTTGAACTAGGTCAATCTGATACTTTCGTTCAATAGTTAGTGACGAGCTAGTTTCATCTGGCCAATATCGTATAAGAGCATTCTATTCCAAATAAACATGTTTCAATCCGTTAAAGATTACAGACAATTTCCATACCTTATCCTTGATTTCGTAGAGCATTATAATCGATGATATGTGGTAATTCCATATGGTATCCCAAAAGATCGAAAGATTTGGTTGTTGCACAACTAAACAGAAGTAATGAGACGTTTTTCTTTCGCTCGAAGAATTCTACCGTCAATTAACAAATAGTGAGCATCCATTTGATTATTTTCAACAGCATTAATTTCAATCGTGTAAGTTTGAAGATGATGAAATGCACTTATTGTTGGTACGATTGATTGTTGATCTGAATGAATGAGCAACTAGATTAAAGCAAAAGTGATGCAGCCATTTCTACCCAAAGATACTGGAACTGCCTGACGATATGCTGTGACTTGCTGCTCAATACCATGATAGTTATTTGTTGCTAAATGATAGACATGTTCTCGAATTTTCTGTGCTGGTACAATCAGTGTATTGCTCAACAAAGTTGGACGTATCTTTTTATAGATCTGTTCCTGCTTTGTGTAATGATCGGCATCGTACAGTTTGCTCCAATCCACTCTAATATTACCATCAAAAGACAAATGATTATTGAACGTAAAAGAAAGATTAGTTACGGTGGTCGTAAAGGGCCGCACCATGATTCCATTAGATTTCGGCATCGTGAACCACGCGGAAGTTCATTTCTTTCCAAATGTTTTCGATACCGCATCTAAGAACACAAGAACGTCACTCGATACTCGAAGTGTATATCGGAGAACTCACATCATCTCTCGTTGTTATTCCATTCATTGCTAAACCACAATGGTAGCACCAGAACGAGGCAAGAGTAAACATTAGGAAAAAGCCAACCACAGCAATGAAAAAACACGGAATATTGTATGCAACGTAAATTCCGGGGTTATCTTTATACAGATCCCATCGAAGATACGCTGCTACACCACTATCAATCAATCCGAACAAACACAAAATTGAACAAGATAGAACAAAATTACAAAAATAACGGTAGTTCAGTAAACCAACACAGTTATTAACTAAAACAGAAGTGGACGTTGACTTCGTGATTGATACGGAAATCTTACTCCAAGGACAATGATGATCGAAGTTCTGCACGCAAACATTGCAAACTGAACAATGGGAAACACGGGGTAATCGATAAGTTCGACATGTATAACAATAAGAAGATGAATAGGGAAAACTCCGCACAAGAACAGTTGTTGGCGGTGGTACCGATGGAAAGTACCTCCCATTTCTAACAACAGAAAATTTGATTATAAATGTCATTAAGAATTCAATAAACAATTTACAAATCAGTTTGAATATTATGCTCTTTTTCGATGCGAAGGACCTCATCCGCATCTGGTCGTGGTATTACACCAGGATCATGTAAGGCAGCGAAAAGATAATTTACCACGGTGTAAAAAAGTCCCAGAGAAAATAGAATTGGAAAGTAGTAATGACGATTTCTAATCAGTATTGGGAAACTAATATGTAAAGAAAAATGCCAAACATTTTATCTTGTTTTATCGAAGAAAATATCCTCACTCCCAACCAATGTGTAGTCCTGCAAGAACTACAATCAGACTGAGAACACCGGCAACTACACCCCAGGATCTGTACGTCCAACATGTACAACAATACGAAATTGCCTTACTCGGATAGATCTGAATTGTTACGTGAAACGTGCAGTTTTCTTCGAAACCAAGCGACTGGAACTTACTTTTCCTCGACGCATGCTCCAAGTGTTAGTCTTTGAAGTTCATCTGTAAGCAAGAATCAATCAATATATACGCTGTACTTCCTTGCTGTCAACAAACACCATTGCGTTCGCGGACGCTGTAAGAATTAGTAACAAATTTGTTTTTTTTTCTTCATATTCTTTCTATTTACTTCATTTGACAACCGGCGTATGAAAATTTTTGTCTGTTCTTTTCTTTGCACGTTGTTCCTCGGTTTCTGCTCATAAAAAAAATCACATTCTGATGTAATACCAAGGTTATTTTTCAAATCGACGGAAAGAATTTAAAAAAAAAACAAGTTCTGTGAGTAACACTTTAAAGTCTACATGGTTTATTACTCAGCCAACTAAGGCATACAAAGAGGCTGCAAATTACAATTTGCTTCTTATAATTCGTGATAATTGCTACACAATTGTATTAGTACGCTTTTGAAAATGATGTGAGTTGATTGAGACAATATTTTCTACTAGTGAAATCACATCAAATATGACGATATTTGATTTTCCATACACATCAGGTAGTTCTCTGGATCAGTATGACCAATTACGTACATTCAATTGAAACACGGTGTGAACAAATGTATCATCTTGTTCACCGTCTACATTCAAATTCACCTTTTTACTGAGTAAAATCATGCACTGCAATTAGTATAACCCTCAGCTGACTACATTTTCACGCAGATGTTCTCGTTTATGTCTATTTTCATACAACTTCAAAATTTCATAAACATCCCGTGATCCTTTCTCTTCAAGTTATTGTTATAAAAAACCAGATGGTCACGTACATTAACGTTCTGTTCAACAACCACTTCAGTATTTCTTCGAAATGCACTTTAATTAATCCCAAAATAAGTAGACATGACTAAGAATGCCTTTAAATAGCTTACTAACACGACTATTACTACAAGTAGTTAATTTTTCGGCCTTGACGTCTTGAACATTCGTCGGTATAATATTTTTTATCTCGCAACTATATTTAACTCAACGTACTCGTGACATTCAGATCGATTGGTGGCACACAGCTAAACACGGAGTTTACAAGTTCAACCGTCTTCAAATTATGTGCCATTAACCGAAACTGAAAACGTTATGATCTTCTGAAAACATATTAGTAAAGAAAAACGTCGTCGATAAGTTGTCTTTCAATGCATGACAAGGTAATACACGACAAACATTTGTATTAGGAGCCGTGAATTAAAGTGCCATAAATCAAAGAGACAAGTGAAGACCTACCTTTGTCGATTGGAGTTTAGCTTGTGCAGATTTTATAATTTGACTATGATTCTTTAGTGGAAAACATGCCTATTTATACTCTGAATTGTGCATAACACTTAACTTTCATGAGCCAATGAGAAAAAGAGGACGAGATATTATTATCTCTCTCTCTCTCTTCTGTCTTCTCTCTTCAGAGAGAAAGAGAAGAGAAAAAGTGATCATTTCACACTTATCCAATTGGTTATAGATGACAGATGTATTAATTGGATAGATCCCCATGACGCAATAAACAGCTTGTACAAATGCGATCGAAACAAATTGGTAACATCGAACAAAACAGTTCTCACTTCTCTGAAAGTTGTTTATGTTTTTTGAACATCGTTTCACACAACAACTACACAAAACCTAGTGCATCATGACAGATATGCTGTCTAAAATCTCATATACAAAAGTTTTTCAATACGAATTCTGTCTAGATTNATTAGATTCAAATATAATATACATGTGAATATATACGTACAGATGCCTACGACTGCCTATTACACATTTAACACTCTTACGTAATATTGTTTTTTATTGTTCAATCATCATCGACTCACACATTCAATGGCAGTGACAGCTTCGCACTGTATACATATATATGAAGAGAAGGAGAAGAGGAAAAGTGAGTGCGTATGTTGACAGTTTTCTTTGTGATTATAATAATTTAAACAGATCAATACTTTCTTCCTTGGCATATGTATATATTCACTGCATCAGTATTAGAAGCAGGAATATAAGATGTTATCAGAAGCATACATCATATAGACAGCTTATTTTAAATTCACAGCGCATGATCTTCATTTGATACGTTGCTTACATAAGTCTTTGATGCGATGTTGTCGATCAAGTGTTCAAGTTACTCATATACAATCGACTGACATGATGTCTCCTGCATATTCTTTTACGTTTCGTGAGTTGAACGTTTGTTAGTAATAAAGATAAAGTAAATGATTGTTCGGCGACTCTCTTCGTTTTTTCAAAAAAAAAATGTATACAATCGTTGTCCTAGACGCGAGGAGAAAGACATACATATACAATTAAATCAAGGGTACTCATTGATAAACAAGAACGTCGCAAGGTGTGATTGAAGGAGAACTAAAAAAAATAAATTATGCATTTCCTAAGGGATATATTGTATTGATTGACTCTGTAGAAGAATAGGAAAAATTCATTCTTTTGATTATATTATCTTAAAGTAACCTTCGAACTTATTTGTTCTTGTATTTTCCCGAAGTCCTGTCTCGATACACACTCTCCGTTATATGTCATGCGCAACGTATCAGTTTCATGAAATAGATTGTCGATTGATTATTCAAGTCAGTCTGTATTTAATAGTAAACATACACCGTTTAATATCCAATGTGAAGGATCTTTCTTCGTTGGTAGATTCACTTCGAAGACCAATCCAATTCCCATAGCATTCCGGCGGTCACTTGTGACATAAACTGGTGCAGCAAGAGAATTATTTAGATTCACGCGATGCGTTTCACTGGGTATGATTTTTATCAAAGGCATCACTTGAATTAGTTGCTTGTTTAATTGATCAATTAAACAATAGTTCTCTCGATCCCATCGTGCACCTTCTAGATATAAACCTTCGAGTAAGCACATGCCTTGTGTTGATTCATCGATATCATCTAAATTGTCGGAAATGCAAGAGAGAGATTAGTTTTGCTTGAGTTTGAAAGCGAACCGATCGTTTGCCAATTGGTTACATTGATGTCGAACCTTGCTCGATCCAATGGCCATTGATTCTTTCGTGCAGCAATCTGAACAATCGCAGCTAAATACGATTCCGGTACATGTAATCGACTTAAATTGACGATTTTTAATTCACCTATGGGATACAAAACGCGAATAAGCATGTCATTACAATCATGTCTTCATATTACCATCATAGATCCATTTTTCGTATTGTAAATTTCGCTGTCGAAAGAGTTCCATCCAATTCGCTAGTGATTTTTTCGTTTGTGGTGTATATGATCTCCATGAAAGTGGTATTTGCCCATGATAGAGATGTTTGTTGATTTCATCGAGTTGAATTGAAAAACTAATTTGACCATTTAACGCTTGTTTTAGCTCATTGATCGATTTCCACATGATCGACGTGAGATAATTGTATCGTTGAATTTCTTGAAAGAGAACGGTTGTTAGTGGTGTTAAGCGTTGTTGAAATCTTTGTTTGAGAAAGTGAAGATCTTTCTTCGGAGGGATTTGTTGAAGGATATCATCGATCAAGGATCGAACAAACTCTTAAAATTGATCAGATTTGAAGTGATTATAATCTTCAACGGTATGACCTTACGTTCGCGACTTGAACTAATTTGGATTTCACTTTGCTCGGGCTGGATAAGTATCATGTTAGCATAGATTTCATTGGCTACTTTAGTAAGATAATTGATTTCGGCATTGCCATGCAATCCAAGTACATCGGGTGGATTGTAGAGCGGCAACTGATCGACGTATGTTTGGTAGAAATCACGAAAGACTGAATAGTGGAAGAACTGATTGAAAAGAACATTTTTTGAGAATGATTTATAGTCGATTTGCGTATGTTCGAATTGATGTTGACTATGATGGAGGAGATTCGATATTTTTGCTGGAAGGAACTTTTCAAAATTATATTCGATTTGTGGCTCAACCTGAAATCGATATTGAAATCATGAGAGGGAAATTCAATGGAAAGAAAAGTAACATACGGACAGATTCGCTTCCTTTAATAACCATCGTTGTTTTGCCGAGAGAAAATCTCGTATTTCAGGAACGAAATAATCATATCTCTCTGAAGAACTCGTATCACGAAAGAAATGAAATGGTTGGATATGATCGAAAACGAAATCACCAAAAAATTCCTTCATATAAGTATGAATAATACGGCGATCATACGAATCAATTACACGACCGCCATACATCACTGCAATGTAGATCAAGCCAATGCAATTCCTCAGATTTTCCCAGGAAAGAGATATTTACCTTCGCCAATCAAATACCGTAGTGTTGGCCATGGAATATCCAAATGGCCATGTTCTAAGCTCATGTTAAGATAAGCCTTGAGAATATCTACGGACACACGAACTAAAACGAAAAATGTTCAGTGTATTTTTACTTTTCAATGGATACTGTACAGTCAGATTCGTTGAAGTCGTAAGTACATGACCAGCCAATTTTCTCGTATTTCCTGCGATCAAGTATGACAGCATGGAAGAAAGCGAGAACGAATATCAGAGGTGGATATGCTGGATGATCGGATTCAGAAAACGTTTGTAAATTTAGATTCGCAAATGTAGAACGAAGATTCAGTTTCAAAGTCGAAGGCGGTTCAATGACTACCTTGTAAGATTTTTGAAGAAGGCCAACTGAAAACGAGAATTCAAATGATGATTAGAAAATTTGAAGAAGCTTACTGGGAAATCGTTCAATGGGTTCAGTAGTCATCCACAGACGAAAATCAGGCTATAGCACAACAACAGAGAAAGCAAATAGTATTTGGCTTTTTGTAAAGCAAAAAGGAAAAGTTACATGTGGCTTTGTGGCAATCTCTAATTCTTTCTCTAATTCATTCAAAAACGACAAAAGTAAATGACAATTTTGCAATAAGAGCCAAGTTCCTTGATATTGCGCGGTATGTAAAGCTTGTAATGCCAATTTCTCCTGCCCCTGTCCCATGGCTAATATTCTTAATGATCTCTGTTCTTCCATGCTGTTGCTATTATTTCCATGTTCAATGGTAATCTTTCGTAGTTGAGTTTTTCGTTCGGATAATTTTTGTATATCATTCGTGGGATCTGACCCTGGTGAGAGGACGAATATTATCGGTATTTGTGCAGTTGACTGATCGAAAATCGCGTCAAAATAAATCGTCGGTGGAATAATATATTTCTGTCCCATGATTTTCGTAATGTAGTTATTAATCGCGAAGATAATTCGATTTGGAACGAAACATCGCAGCAACATTAACTTTTCGAAATCTGTTAAATTGTCATCGAATGGTTTTGGAAAGGAAAATGTTTCCGGTCGATCATGTTCGTACCACTGTTTCCATTCGTCAGACTTTTCTTGAATGTGATTCAGTAAGTCATGAAACTTGTCCGGGAAATGTTTCGATAGGTATAAGCAGTGATGATATGCATCAAAAGTTAGCCAGTCTAGTGTGGGAGTTGACGATTTATCTAATGACACGTTTCCTTTAAGGAAAAAATCGATTTGATGGGAAGTTAATCGTTGTTGGTCGAATTCGATTTGCGTGGTCAACAGAAACGAATAGAGTAGTTTATGTTTTTCAAACGTTCCCATTGTACCGTAACAGTAGATCTGATAAGTTAATGTATTGATGATCGATTGCAAACGTTTATCCAATTTTACATTCGCTTGTGAAGTTTTGACACTGTATTCGAAAACTGACAGAAAAGAATTGAGAGAATATTGATACTAAAAGAGAACAACATGTTAGGATATCTTCGTGTGGAAACAAACCATAGGATTTATCGTTGACATTTGGATTAAGGAGAAGTAAAGTACGGCACCACGTCGGGCAGCTGATCTGTACGTATCGCGTAAATTTTCAATATCGAATCGAGTTCGTTCGCCTAGACTCAATGCTTGAATAACTTCTTTGACTTTTATCTTTGTATTTTCCAATGTTTCGACTAATTCTATGTTGTCCAAAATGTTTCTAAACGAAATATTTCATCTTTAGTTTGTCTCCGATCGAATCTGCAAACCCTGTTGTTGTTGTTAATTCTCTCAAGAGTGAGTCTTCGAGAGTCTTTTGCTGTTGTTTGTTTTCAAAAATTTCTTGAATTAATGCGTCACGCATTTCTTCCAATTCTCGTCGTTCTATTTTCACCAGAGAAGATAATAACTGTTCTTCTAAACCTTTCAATGTCACTGTATAATTTATAACTTTCGAATAGGAGAAGTGAAGTGTTGTCAAGTGAGGATTCGATAAACGACAAGTTAAATACATGCGAAAATTTCGATCAATATCAATTAGCTTGTCACCTAATTTAACGGATTGACGATTGGAATCGCCTTGAACATTTTTCGACAGAATATCCAAGATAATCGGATCTATGTACTCATCAACGTCTTTGAAAAGTACTGGGTATCTAGAAACATCTGCATGAGTTTTATAAAAGATGATTTTGATAGACTGACCCATATTTTACCGCTAATTCTAAATGTTTGAGAAAATCTCGGTCTTTCATTGATAAAATTTTCAAATTCGCTTTCTTTTCTCGTTGTTTAATCCATGACAGACCTTGTAATTGAGGATCTATGCAGTAAGGAAATCGATTGGTTTGTAAAGTCAAAATTCCATTCTGTATAGAGAACTCATCAGCAGGTAATCCTTGAGAAGTCCATTCAGAAATTTGAACATTGGTCGAAAGAAAATTCTGCACTTGAAATTTTTCACTAAAAAGAATCTTCTTTTCAATTAAACTTGTTTCCCATTGATTATAGATCAACTCTTGACGAATCTCATATGTAAATGGACTGCAATAGGCAAGAAATGCGCTTGATAGTAAGCAGTTTCCAATCAATTCGTATTCGTATTCTTTTATCTGTTGTAATTCATTCGTCCATCGTGATATTTCACTTTTAAAGCCAGTCAACAACTTATCGGCAGCAGTACGTCGACGGGTAGCAATGTCAGTCTCTTCTTGAAATTTGATTTTGTCTTCCATAGCCGCATCGAATCGTTTACGAGAATCGTTTAACAGAGTTGTATATTTCTCGATACTCGATTCTAAACGGTTCAGCTCCAAGAGATTCGTTTCATAATCGCTTTCGATTGATAGTAGACGATCTTTTTTCGGTTTGGTCTCGCGATATTTATCCATGTAGTTGTCAACAGCATGAATAAACTTCAAGAGACCACCGCCGACACGACTCACATTTGTCATTAGAGTTAACAATTTCATTTCGCGATCGGATTTTTCCAATGAAGAATAGAGATGATTAGAATCGAGCTTTTCTTCCAATTTTTTCAGATGAATTTTCAATTGAGTTGCTTGTTTCGAGGTGAATGAATCAGGATCGCGGGTTTTTAAATTGGTGATGAACTTCATATCAGCCATCACCGCTCGAACCTGAACGAAATTAGAGTAAATCGGCTATTTCAATTTCATTTATTACGTCTTTCCAACTGATCGATGAGTGACCTAAGTAGATCAACATGCAGTACCCGATCAATCGCAATGCATCCACTGGATTCACAAAACTACGCATTTCAGTTATGTCTGCTGCTTTGAGTGTATCGAGACCTTGTTGAGCTTCGAGTAATGCCGGCATTGTTTCTTCTAACTGTTCTTCGGCTTCATGCTTTTCTTTTGCAATGATGATCATTTGTTCATCGACTACCTGCTTCTTCTCTAAAGCCTAAAAAGGAAAATCATTTGAGCATCAATGATGACATTGTGCTTACTCGACTTTTTCGTTCAGTTTGCTTAGAGGTAAGAGTAGTAATTTCTTCGAGTAGATCATCGCATTTTTTCGTTTTTATAGCTAAAATATTGATGTAGAGTAGCGTGTCCTCCTCGAATTGATACTTACCGAGTTCTTTACGCTGTTTTTCTAGTTTTTTGTCCATTTCTTCAATGAGCACGCTCGCTTCGTCAATACGGACAATGCCGATATTTAACCGCTCTGTCTGTTTCATCAAATCCTCAAATTTTTGTCGATAGAGTTGAAGAAATGTTTGGATAAAGTCGAAATAGTTCTTCGGAGTGGCATAAGCACTTCGATGCATCTTTTCGACATACAAATCACAATAGAAATTAGCTGATTCATGTACCATGGCCATATGTTCAATAATCTGCGTTTTCAATTCATCAGAAATCGCTTTAAATCGAGAGATAAAGTGTTCAGCCACACCAAATCTATAGATTCAACGAAAGATAATCACGAAATTCAGACAAACCAACGCTTACAAAGCCTGCGAAGGCCAACGAGCAAAGTAATCGATAGTCGTATTATTAATCAATGCCGGAAAGTTTCGAATTCTAAAAAAGAAAAATCCATTACGTTCCAACCGATGAATTGATTTACCGATTACGCAGAAGATCTCCACTTGGATTCATACATAGAACAACATGTAAGTACCAGGTGCATTTGTGAACAAAATAATCCCAAATATTTTCATTCGATGGCATTTCAACAGTTCTCAGTGCCTCTTCCCGAATTTCACTAATAATGCTATCTCTTTCCTAAAAAAGAAAGTTAAATAATAGTTTATTCGAGACTCCGTTTACTTCGTCGCTGAACAGAGTAGGTATCATTCCGTTAGCAAGAATGTTATTGATATACTCCAAAAAGCTTTCGTCGATAATTTGAGCATCCGTTAGAAGAAACACGGTCGGTATATTTTTCAATCCAACTTGATTAAACAATACTTTCATATCTTCTCGGAAGCTCGATTCATTATAGTTTCTTGTTAGTTGAATTTCAAAGACCACATATTTGGCTACGAAAGCGGCAATTTTGGCCAATAGTTTCTTTCCCGAACCACCCGTGCCAATCAATAACAAATGCCCGCGATCTAACCGGAGCACTCGGTAGATACGTGTGATGTGCACTAATGCATCATCGAATAGAACGATATCAATATTACCGTACTGGTCTTTAAATTCGACGACAATCTCATCAAATATTGCGCGTATGGCTGGATAATCTTGAACGTCTTCATAGATCTTCGGTTCACCATCGTGCAAAGCTGTTCGATAGTCAGCATAAAGAATAGGACTACGGAATAGGTAGTTCTTTTGATCTTTGATCAAGCAATTATCTTCTAGGATTTTCATAAATAATTCATGATCCTTAACATCATTGAAACGATCGGAAAAGACTCGAATGCATTCGTGGATCCAAACACGAACAAATCGTTCTTTCGTATTAAATCTCTCGGGGCTAGTCTGAAGAAGACTTTGAACAATACGACTGAGATCCCGTAAAGAAAAGATATAATGCGATTTCAATGGTGTTGGAACAAATAGTCGCAGAACATGATTGTAAATTTCCAATGTAGCGTTGACCATACTTGAGATCATGTCTTGGATATCCGAACAGAACGTCACAACATGATTCTGTAAGATTGTAGAAAATATACGAAAGAGAGATTCATGTGATGGTGATGGAATATAGAAAACGCTAAAGTGACTAAGAAAACGAGGGTCGATGTGATTACTACTTCCACCTGGAACGAAATAATAAAGGATAGACTAATCGCCGGTTCGAAGGGACTGCATACCCGGAGTGCCCATCGCTGCAATCCACTCGATATCGGTGGTAAATTTCCAATTCAACTCGTTACTTCGTTCGTACATCCCCTGTTTTTCGATGAGTAGCTTCAAGAAAGCGATGGCTTGTTGAGTGCCATACTGATCAATTTTTGGCATTGAAACATCGTCAAGGAAGACGATTAGTTTCGTTCCGGCTGATGGTCCATACGTATCTTTCGAACGCTTTTCTAAATGACTTTCGATCGAGCGCTGTACGTCAGTTGACTTCGTTCGAAAGGAAAAATTCAATTTCAAATTGACATATTGGCTAACGAAACGACGTATATACGACAGAATAGTCGCGGTTTTACTAGAACCAGTATCACCGACGAATAGTACAGGTTGATGAATGCAGATCGTCGACTGAAGTAACCATTCTAAAATAATTCCGAATTAGTCAGCTGTCTTCGTATCGCTGAGCTCTTGCTATACCTAAACGAACTGTATCTACAGTGGGAACAAACAATTCTGTGAATCGCTGCGATCGGTCATGCTCATATTTTGGAATGAGATCATCCCAGATTTGCCACTGATTCAATTCCATGTGGAATACATGATCAAAGAGCAGCGGTTTCTCATGTGGTATCTGATTTGATTTTGCTTTCGCACCAACGGTTGCAGTTGGAAGGCCGGATAGGTATTTGATAAAACCATCGACAGTGATTCGATCCTCTTGTTTCAAGCAAGCACCGAACGACCAGGCCATAGCTTGAAGAAAAATCGCATGAATGACATCTGCTGTTAGCTGTATCTGATTTTTTTTGTCATTGTTCATCAGTGATAGAAACAAGAAGTCAAGTAGCTTTGTTAATTGCACAATAATATTTACTGAAGTTCTAAAAATGAAGAAATCTTTTTAAATTTACTCTTCTTATGTCAATGGTTGATTTACAGCGGAACAATCATTTTCATTCTTGGTCTTCGTTCCGTATCGGTTATACCTTGATAAATCAGATTGATCAGATTTTGGACGTATCGATCATAGAGTAATTCTAATTGATGCTTATCATTTGACCGATCTATAAAATTCCTATTCAACCACCGTTTCCATACTGGCCCAGGTCCTAGATTGTCCGGATCGACGTAAATCATTCCACAACGAGAAACAGTAGCTGGCGATGCATATTTTAAATCACCAACTTCAAACAGCAGAGAACAATGATCCTGCAAACGAATACGTTCACCATTGGCCAATGTCAAAAGTTTATTATCATCCATGACAGAATTCTGAAAAGAAAAATAATCGGTTGTCTTTCCAGTCGCATTTGTTCAAAGGAGGTAAAACCATATTTTCAATCCAGAGTGCATCCACATCACCATCAAATACGATACAGCGTCTTTCATTTCGTGTTGTTGACTGATTGATCATTCGGAAGAGTAGTGAAACAATACCGTCGGACCATTCGCCTACGAGAGGATAGGTTTTCACATAATCCAAACATAAAATTTTGTATAGTTACGTGTTAATGGATCGAGTATTCCGTACAATTCAATCACGTTAACTGCTTTCGGGTTAAGCGTGTATAGACTTGTTTTTATTCCCATCTGAGTTTGTGCTTTCGCTAATATATTCAGTATGACTGTTTTTCCTCCGCTGCACATTAAACATCAACTTAATTTCTCTGAAAATATATCATTAAATCTCGTATTTACCTCGTTGGTCCCACTAACATCGTCGAATGTCGTGTCATCATTGTTTTGTACAGCTGAATAATCTTCTCGATTTGTTCCGGGATTAGACTGTAACTTTGATCGGTTAGTGTAGCTTCAATAATTCGATTGAAATCTTCATAGCATATCTGTGGACAATGAATATCAGGAAATAGATCGTTCAGCAAAGCGTGAAATAGAGTGACATCATCAGAAATAAACTTTGGTACGTTCATATTTTGTAAAGCTCTCAAAAGAACAATTTCCTCGCGATCATTTCTCATGGTTGTACGTTTCAGATAGCCAGCCATTGATAGAACAGCTTTGAAACTTCGTAAACTCCAATCATAATGATACTGAAACACAGAGTATGATCAAACAATACGAATTTACCATGACATTACTTGTTTACTAATCAATTCTGATGCATAACGATACAATGTAACCATTTTCTTGGCCAATACTCTTGCACTGAGAAAACCATTAGCGAATAGCTTGATTTCTCCGATGTATTGCATATCAGGTACACTGAAAACGTTGAATTTTTTGCTGAAAATTCAAGGACTAGAAAGTCTACTTACACGACGACAACCGGTCGAAAGAGAGTTTTGACTGACTCGGGCAATTCTGTTCGTCCAGCATAACCAGGATTCATGGTAACGAATATTCCCACAGTCGAACGCAGATGAATATAGTGATACTCGAAAAGAAACTCTGACTGTCGCAAGACAAGTGCTTGTTGAATGGTTTTAACTTGAGTCGATATAACACTGAGCACTGATGCTTCAATACGATTGAATCTTTTGATCAAATTATCTTCGTCAGATGATTATAAAATGACGATCATATCTTACTCATCGAAACAACCCCAAGCACCCGTCTGGCATAAACCATTCAAATTCTTGCCGATTGCTTGATAATCCATTCCTAAAATATTATCCAAAGTACAAAATTCGTATTGTATGATTCAGCTTTTCGATCGAATACCTTCGCCACAATTGGTCACAACGCAGAGAAGGCCCATAGCTTTTGCCAAATCCTTCACAGATTCTGTTTTACCCGTTCCTGCTGGTCCAGCTAGAAACAAACAACGACTGGTATCGACACACTATCTCACAGTACATCCAACCAACCTGGTGCACATCCAAGAAACATCGATAAAGCCTAAGATGGAACTGATGAATACTTTATCATCAAGAATCGATAGCTACTTGAGTAATCGTCAAGTAGATTCGATCCGTCAGTGGTGTTATAACAAGGCGACCATTCAAACCCATGTATTCATAACCTAATCAGCAAATTAACCATCGAATAGTGATCAAAATCGCAAACCATAAGGAAATTTTCCGTTGCATTGTTCCAAGTAAAGATTATCTTCTTTTAGCAACCAATAAAACCGTAATTGGCTTTGCCATGCACTAAATTCGACATAATCGAAAACGTAAATACGATCATATCGATCAACTCACAAATCATGAGGTTCATTAATTCCATCACGAATCAAAATATCAACCATATCACGAGTGTGTACATCAATAGTAAGCACCGTTTCATATTTATTATACTCGTCTGATGTAGGAAATGGAATTAATGGTAAAAATGAAAGTAAGAAGTTTAATTACTTGTTGTTAGAGATTTTTGCATTTCAAAAACAATCTCTTCAATTTGAACGTTTAACTGTTTCACATAGAACTTCATTGCAGAACGTTGATTATGTTCTGTCATTTTATTGAATTGACTAAATCAACGAATCGATTGAATAGTACAATATCAATTCATTCGATTGCATACTCTTCGATTTCCCACGTACTCCACAATTGATTCACGGCTAACACGACCATTCCAATATAGTTTCTCATCCATTCTAATCGATTTTGTTTAAATCGGTAATAGAAAATGGCATCCTTTGTTATCGAACGATTCGAATATTTCATTTCTTTCTCAATATTTGACATCCACACTTCAACTTTTCCGTAACATTCAACTGGATTGACGAATTTCATTTCTTCTCTCTCCATTGAGACCATTCCTATCGCATAAATCATCGTTCGTTGATGTTCTTCTTCTTGAGATAACTGGTTCTCTTGTTGAATGAAATTCAATGCAGCAATGTTATCAAACATTTTTTGCAAATATCCTTGAATGTCCTCCGAGTTCGATGATCCGATTATGGAGAGAAGTTCATCGTCAGAAATGAAGTAAAATCGAGGAAATGACTGTCGTTTGGTGCCGAGATATTCATGTAAACTTTTCTGAATCTTTTCAGTTAAAGATAAAACTGATTTAAGATCGTCGTATCGACCGGGGTGAGTGCATGCGTCTTTCACTAATGAATTTCTTGAAGTCTCTAGAACATACGAGAGTAATACATAGCGATCAGTCGCTATCATTAGCGAGGAGACATGCCTAACATAATTTTTCGATATAGCTTATCTGCAGTATCGAAACGTTTTGCTTCTTCACCAAACTGTAAACTCGAACCGATGAATATATTTTCTAGATACATCCATTTTTGCTGAACAATAGTCCAAATTTTGATCACATCGGAGATCAGAGAGAGAACACGAATCCATTGCTCGACTTGTGAAAGATAAATTCCAACGAAACGTGACGTTGTTATACCTCAGAAGGAAACAATAAAGTGACATATATGATTACAGACTGAAGTTTTGCCGTACTGTTGAGAAGTAATATGGAATCTTCCAGTGCTTGAAGAATTTCATCCACTCCCGAGATCAAGAAACCGCGATCCTGGTATGCACTGATATTCGACGTATTACGCGTGTGTTTCTGGATTTGAAAACGCATGTTGTTCCATTGTTGTTCGATATCTTTGAGATTCTTCTCAATTTGTAATTCTTTGATGGAAGTTTGGAGAATATCTAGAATATAAACTTGACCGGCTTTGTCTCTAAAGACAATCGATATCGATTACTTTGGATGATTTCTTGATATTGATGTAAATTCATTTGAAAGATATTATCCAAGGTAAGAACATTGCTACTTAGATCGATTTCTACATTGGTTTCGCGAATAATTTGTTGCCAGTGACGTTCACGTAATGCTTCGTGTTTTAGATCAAGCATGATAGGAAGTGATGACCGGAAATCTACATAGATATGAGTCGACAGCGGCTTCAAATAGTAGACATCGGTCATACAAGATGAAATCACTCATACCTATGAGATATCTTTCTACCGCGCGGCCAACATTTGTGGATTTGATTTCCGATGGTAAACGTCGAAAAGTTTTGACGAATGAATCAACATTAACAATCAGTTGATTGATATCCAGTTCGGACCAGAGGATATTAGCCCAAAGTTTTTCATTGTGCTTGAAATCATTGTAAAGATTGAGTAGAATGTGCAGATTATTGATATCTTGGTGCACACGCGTCAATTGTGGATGATTTAGCAATGATATATGAAAAAGTTTCATCACATTGATCAAATCGATTTTTCGTTGTTCAATTATATGGAGTTCAGTTTGATACTGTTGAGCCAGTTGGAAACTTTGGTGAAGATCATTTTCTATTGTGTATGGACCGAACTGATCGAATCGCTGGACGAAGTCATCGATCATTTGTTGAAAGAATTCAACATCATAGTGAATTATTTCGCGAAAACGCTCACGAATCGATTTTAAACGATGTTGGACGACATGGGATTGTTGAACTATGTCTTTTAAACGAGGTTTCAGCGTTTGAATGAGAACAGAATCCGATTGAGGGTATTCAAACTGATGTTCGTGTAAAATTCGATAAGATTGTTCAATGTCATCGATTGTATGTTCAATTGACTCTTGCTGCTGATGAATTCTATCAATTATATTTAAAACATATTTTAAATCAGGGACCGTGTCAGCATCGTGACAAAGACCTTGCGAAAGATTATTCAATACATCATTTGTTTCTTTGAGTTTAGTCGACATTTTTGTGTACAAATGCTGACCGTAATGATGAATCCAGTCTTGGCAGTGATATTTCAATGCTTGATAGAATTGCTTCAATGATAATTGTATGCAATAGAGATTTTGATTGTGAAGATGATGGTCAAAGACTCGATCAACTTTAGAAAACATACTCATCATTTCATCATAGTCGGAGTAATGACGCGATTTCGAGATAAATTGACTGATCAGTTTTTGCTTATCGTTTTTCCATAGATCGTTGTAGGTTAATAATTTAGTTAGTATGTGATTGATTGCAGTGACTAATCCCGAAGCATAAGCGCGAATTGGTTTCAACATTGAGATCTAGGAAGACAAGTTTGTTTCATCAAAATAGCGATTTATCATCACTTACAACATCACCATGTTGTCTAACATCGTTATAAAAAGTAAAATCCGGTGTTTCAATCTCATCGTTTGATACGGATAATAACGGGCATGATATACAAGTACCATGTAACCAACGTATGAAGTACTTAGGTAGTTCACTGATGCCATAAGCACTCCGTCGGATCGAATTAATGATCTCTTCGAGTGATGGTTGAAGTTTTATACGTGGTGGTGCAAGGACAACTTCGACAGTAAATAGAGACGATGCACCAAATATATTTTCGAAAAATTGACAAAGGTTACGAATGACTAGTTCCACAAGAGATGTGAAAATTTCATGTTCCCAGTAAATATAAAAAGAGCGCACTAGAAGCCGTACAATCAATGTGTAACAAAACTTGAAATGAATGAATAATGACTCACTGTTCTTATGTTTGCCAGTATTGGTGCCGAAGACTAATGATTCGATTTTGGTTAGTATTGGTCCGATCAATTCAAAGCGGCGCTTCAAATTTGCAATGATCTCTTTTCGTTTTCTTTCAAGATATCCGAAGTATTCTCGGCAAGTCAATAGACTTCCTACATGAATTTTCTCTGTGAACTGAAATACACAGTTTCGTTAGCTTTATCATTTACCGTCCTCATGCCGTGGAACAACAGGATCTATTATACACAAACGAAAACTGTCCAAGTGCTCGCGAATGTCCGATGAAATTTTTCGAATTTGATTAAGAATGGAATGTAATTGTTCTAAATGATTTCGGCATTCTTTGATATAATCTATGGTTCCTATCTCCCCGAAAGATATTCTTGACGTTCCTGGTTTGATTGAGGTTTGAAGTTGATCAAGATGTGACTGAAGAAGAGAAACTTCAATCGTATCAAGCGATGCAAGTGTTAAATGATAATCTTCAAGCATTAAACGAAGTTCCTTTGATAATTGTTCGAATCTGGGGTATTGTAAAGTTGTTTGACGAATCGATTCTGGTAAAACAAATCCAAGTTTTTCCAAATTGTAACATTCGATTAAAGATTCTTTGAAGTCAGCATCATAATTTATTAAATATTTTATTTCAATTTTCTTCTTCGTGCCTAATGTATCGTTGACATATTGAAGGCGATGACACTTTTCTTTGTGAGATTTTAGCTTGTTTCCTAATGACTGCTTGATATTGCTCGATAAGGAAGCACGTGGAATGTCTTTTTTTGCAGCATAGAGTGACAGTCGATGACTTGGGACATGATGAATGTGATGGTCAAGAAAGAGTTCTGGTCGTTGTTCAACATCGATTAGTAAACTTTGTTTAAGATAGTTTGGTAGTGTTTTCATGCAATTTCCAACCCATTTTGCATATAAGTCATCTTCGTATTCTTTTAGCTGAGTTCCAACATCAATAAAACGTTGTTTTACTATTGCACCTTGTTCAGATTGAAGGAATTGATTCAATGAACGTAATTTCATCATTGGTAGCTTTATCCGAGTGAATAGAAAACGAGCCCACTGTATCGCACCCGAAACTGGCGGATATCCCTAGAAAATCTTATGTCTAGATACTCAATGAATGTCAGTACGTACTTTGACGAGTGGAGGATTGTCTTTTTGTTTGTTGAATAAATCAAAGATGGTGTCGATTTCTTTGGAATATTTCGAAAGAATAGCTGTAAATTGTCGCATCATTTCATGTGCGAGAACATGATTTGTGTCAATTTGTTGAAATTTCATTAACATATCCAATGCTGTTTCAGCTGAACGAAGTTGATTGAATGACACACGTATGAAAACTTTCGCTTCTTGCTCAATCATTGATGAGCGATGTTTAAAATCATCCATAAACAAATGCCACCGTTGAGCATTCTCACGATTGAATATATCGAACTGACATGAAATAAAGGATTTTTTCAGACTGGTCACATGCTGAAGTACACGATCAACCATTTGTTCATCGCCTGTTACCGCTTTCATATCAAAACTAAACGTGTCATAAAATTCCTTTAAATTCAATGACATTTGCATTATATCATCAACGATCTGTGACATATAATCAGTCTTATCGAAAAGTATTCGATGATCAAAGTTCCAACTTGAAAATCCACGTTTATCATTCTCGAGTTTGACTCGAACATTTTGATATTCTGTTTTCCATTGTAGTAACAACTGTTTAGCTTGGGAACAGAGATGTTCAATTTCTGTCAATGAGTTCGATGTGAACAGTGTTGCTAAGTCGATTGTCTGTCGAACACGATTGATTATCTCATCAGCTATCTTTTCCATAAATGGAACGAACCGTTCATCTTTATTGTAGTGTTTCGACATGGTCCTGAAAAGAAAAGTGAAGTCCATCGGTCAGGTATTTCCTCGTGTGTACTAACCAAATCGTTTTTAAGCCTTGCATTAAATTTGGTAACATATTACTAACAGTTTGAAAGGATTTCGCAGTTTGTAAAGTTTTCAAATGCCTTTCAATAGTCAGAAGAAATTTGTAGTTATCCATGGCTTCTAATAGGTAATTCTGAAGTTGACTTTTGATATTATTGAATCCAGCAACCGAAGGACTATCGAGATCGGTTAGCATGTGTATAATTCTCATGACATCGTCTAGAATAAGGAAAGAAAATGAGAATGCGAGTTTCCAGGAAAATTCACCTCGTTTCATCTGTTCTAAAATTGAAGTGATTCGAACAGATCTCTCATGCCAATATTCGATTTCTGCGAGAGGAGTCGGTTGTATTACGCGTCTATTCAATTCATTGTTCAATTCTTCGTGTAAGATGCCCTCCCAATCATAGAGCAGATATTCCAGATTTTCAATATATTCTTCCTCGGTTTCTTCACCAGACATCGATAAAGTCTTCGTTGGGATAGTTAATGTGAATTCGCCTTGCATCTGACGTACAGTCGATTGAATCTGTGAACAAAATCGATTCAAACTCACACGTAATTGATCTCGCTCGGAAGTATCTTCAATCGAAGAGAATACTGAAAAGCAAGATTTGTTTGAATGTTGATTTACCATGATTTACCTGATGATGGTTGATCCATTACTGGTGGAAGTAAATGATTATAAACTAAAGACAATATCTCTACTAAAGATTCAAGTGAATGTTGTTCGGAAACGGTTCCTTCGATAATCGTCTCGTTCATAATCGCATTCATTTCATCGAAAGTTGATGATTGAAGTAGAGATTGTTGAGAATCGATTCGAATGAAGTAAACAAACGACTTTTTCATCGAGACGATATTATGGTAATGCTGATATTCACAGTAGAGACGCACTTCATGGTACGATTTTAATACGAAATGGTAATGTTTATTATCGTACTGATTGACCACGAGAAGACGCTGAAGACTTCTTAGATTTTCATACAGTAGATCGATTGTATCATGGGTAGACGAACGAGCATTGTTGAAAACATAATCCACTACGAGAATTGAGAAATCATATTACATCAAAGCTCTCAAATCCTTTTTCTATTCTCCTTGTTCAAGTTTATACTCTAAAAATTTACTTGGATATTCAGTTTCTGCATCAACAGGTTCATTGATAGTCAAAACTATTTGTTCTTCATTCTCATCTTCGTCTTTCACGCCGAACTACAAATACTTTCAAGCGATTCATCCCCACATCCTTTTTTTCCGACTATACCTCGTCGATATCATCATCGTCGAGAGTTTCAAACATTTGCCATACTTCTCTTCTTGAATCTTCACGATAAAAGATCAATGCATACAATCTCTCACGTATCATCGCATCCGAATGAAGGAATTTTTCAATTAAATCTTCATTGAAACCATTATTTCGTTCTAACATACCGACGAATATCGATCTTTCAATATTCAACATATGGCACGTTCGACGACAAAGCCATTCCAAACGAAAGTCATCTAACATCTTCGGTCTACTCGATGCGTCCGACTAGTAATCTGTTGTTCATCTAATGAACAGATCGGCGCGAAACATCTGTTTCTCGTTAGATTCACGGTAAATATCTTTATTTTTGTCTCAAGACATTCGGCTCACAATAAAAGTGAATGAAATGTCCAAAATAAGAACGGTTCTTGTTTAATGGTTCAACTAGATTGTTTTCCTTATTTTTTCTTAGCAGAAGCAGCTGCTTTTGATTCTTGTTCCACCGGTGCTTCTTTAACAAATGGAATCTTTTCCGAATATTCTGAAAAGACAAAACATCGTTCGCATCACAATGAACAAGAAGAACAGACACAAACTTTTCGGCATCAATGGTCGAAGAACTTCTGGTACAATAATACCATCATCCGTTTGGTAATTCTCAAGAATGGCACAAATTGTTCGTGTTGTTGCACACATGGTTGCATTCAACATATGAACATATTCCGACTATCGATCAAAGGAGAGAAATGCATGAATGAACACTAACTCATGGTGTGAACTTACGGATTCATTGAGCTTCTTCGTTTGACCGTAACGAATTTTTAATCGTCTTGATTGATATTCAAGACAATTGGAACAGGAAACCAGTTCACGGAATTTGCCTGAGCCAGGAAACCAAGCTTCTAAATCGAATTTCTTCGCCGCTGCGTTATTCAATTCACCTAAATAACGAGTAGGTTTTCGTCAGTTCGTTCATCAGAAATAGTCTACTCTCTACGTACCGGAAACAATATTGACAATACGATAGGGAATACCGAGTTGTTTATTAAATTCTTCAGCATTACCGATCATTTCTTCGAACATCTTCCATGACTCATTGTCATGAGGTGATGTAATGCAAAATTGTTCAATCTAAATCAAATTCCACAGATTAAAAAGTCGTAGGAAAGCAATGTTGCTATGTACTTTTTCAAATTGATGTACACGGAAAATACCACGTGTGTCTCGACCATGAGAACCAGCTTCTTGTCGGAAACAGGTGGAAATGCCACCATAACGAATTGGTAATCGTTCAGCTGCAAGCCATTCATCTCTGAAAAATCATTCAAAGAATAGTTAGTACAATGAAATATTAGCCTATCATGACAGACCGATGAAACGCAGCGATAGCTTGTTCGGAAGTAGCAATTAAATATTTTTCTTCATCACTTGGCTCATCGGGTTTATCATTTTTACAAACGACCTAAACGAAAACATTCGATTCGTTGATTCAAAATTTATTGTTCGATTTACCTTATAGAGTTCTTCATCGAATTGACTCAATTGTGCAACTTCCTGCATGACCTCTTTGCGCATGAAGAATGGTGTGTACAAGATCTCGAAATCTTTGTCATTTAAAATTCTTAATGCTAATTGAATGATTGCTTGTTCAAGAAACACAGCCGGGCCCTGAAGAAATCAAACAAATTTCAACAGTCACTTGTTTTCTACGAATCTAACCTTCATAAAATAACCGCGAGATCCAGCAACCGATGCTCCACGATCACCATCATAACCGTCGATCATGTACATCAAATCAAAATGCGAGTACTTTTTTCGTGTTTCTACATCACCGAATGTTCGTTCAGTAACATTGTTATCCTAAACGAAAGACAAATAGTGTACTTGTCTTTAAGTTGATGAGTGTTCGAGTATAGCTTACTTCATTATCACTGACTGGTACTGAATGATGAACAATGTTTCCAATTTCGTGTAATGCGGCATTTCTGTCATTTTCAACTTTGATTAATTTTTCTTTAGCTTTCTCGATTTCGGTATCGATTAACAAACTGAGACGTTTTATTTGTTTAATTGTCAATTTACCGATGGTATCCGCGTTCAAATCATCCAAAGTAATTTTAAAACTTTCAGGAAATTCTTCCGAGTCGCCTTCATTTTCCTTGGCTTGTTTCTTTGTTCCGACTGTTCGTCCGCAGAGATTTTTCATCTTGTTCCATTGATCAGCTTGAAAACGGAGTGTTCGCCATTGTGAGTCTAAGTCCACGACTTGATCAACAAGTTCGACACGTTTATAACGTTTCTTTTGAGAATCGCGAATAACTTGAGGATCGTGACCTTTTTCCGTACGAAATAAATCAATATCAAGAACCATATTGACGATGTTTTATCTAAAAGAAACAAATACTAGATTTGCAATCACTATCATATAGTATTTTTTAGGTATATGCAATATAGAAAAATAATTGTGCACGTCTTCAACATATATTTAGTGGATGACATTGGATTTTCATTGCGTCTCTAACAATTCTAGATGTCGCTAATGAATGATAGACAATGTAACGGTAATATATATTGAATTGCGGGCTTTTGAACAGGTCATAATATTATCTCAAAGAGCACGTGTCCGTGTTTACGATTTTGTGAATCTAGACTTGCTATTTCCTCTCCACATGGAATATCGTTTTGTCTGGTAATGGTATTTGATTATCTATCGATATGTTGTCATGTTTGATAGAACGGAAAATGCATGTCCTATACATAAGTTTTGTTCCCTAAACAATTAAACATTGTCGGAAGTGCATCTATTGTTCATTTATGATCAAAGATCTATCGAAACTAGTTTATATCGGTGCAGTGATCTGATAAGATGCAGTAGAAAGAGATGCACATGATCATTATATCGCGAGTAGCTATTTTATTTATCAAGAGACTCATCAGTAATAAAAGACACCGAAGAGTTATGTGAAAATCTTGCCGTCATATGACCTGTTGTGTACATTTCTCCTCGTTTATACGATAGTTCGACGTATGTATTACAACATGCATGATAGTAAGAAATATCGTGACCAACCAGAGAGAAAGGCTGAGTTATTTTGGGGATGGGAAGCAGAGAAGAAGAAGAAAAGAAGAAAAACAAGAAGAGCAACGACACGAACTATTGATTGGCAAATATTATCATCAATATAGTCCTACGTATTATTATACAGAAATAAGGAAAAAAATACCGTAGAGAGAGGGAGAGAGACAGAAAAGTGTGAAAGGCCATAAAGCCGCACTCGTAAGACATACGCACATAAACGCAAAGAGAAGAACGGCGTAGGAAAAAAGAAGATCGATATATCTTGCTATTTTTTGGGCATCATTTGATTCTAGCAGGCGTCGTTTTAATATTGTTTTTCATTCAGTAGAACAAACATGTCAGGCGGCCCTACAACAAATCGTCCGTTGACGAAGACACATTGTGAAGCATGTCGGAAAGTTTTTACGCCACGCGATGCCATGCAAATCTATCAGGATCGTTACTATCATCCACAATGTTTTTGTTGTTCACAATGTGGAAATACACTAGCAGGACGACCGTTCTATCCGAAACCGAACAATCAATTTCAATGTGAAAATTGTAATAATGCACTTGCGCCTATGTATGTATTAAAAACATAATCTAATCAGTGATAAAAGAGATTTTCTTCTAGTTGCTGCATGTGCAATGGAAAGATTCCATCTGGCACAACAGCGAAACGATTTAAGGATCGTCATTATCATAGCGATTGTTTTCGGTAAATATTCTTTGTTTATTTATCAACGAGTTTCTTCTTCTGCTTTCTTTAGCTGCTGCAAATGTATGGCAGTTATACCTGATGGTAACTAATCTACAACTTTGTTTACTATGAAAACGAAAGACGATTCTATGTAGGTCATAATTTTGTCGATATGCTCGATGGACGCTATCAATGTTTGACATGTTCAAAACATATCACTGGAATGTATCAAGGCAAAGAGCATGCGCCACATTTGGACAATAGTTATGGCGAAGTAATGCCTGTCCAATGCGACCAAGCAGGTCGAATACCTATATGCGATAAATGCACACGACCTGTACCGACCGCTGAAGAAGCTTTTCGACATGATACACGTTATTATCATCTGGATTGCGCACGTTGCAATCGATGTCGCAGGAAACTTATCAATGTACCATGTCGAAAACTTGGCTCTGCATTAGGTAAGTGTAAAGAAAAACAGAAGACTGTGATTCATACGTCCGTTTTAGTGTGTTATACATGTTCATAATTTCATACTATGATTATTGATATTATTCTCGGCAAACAATATAAACGTACCAGTATTACTAAAAACACCTACCCAATGCGAAATATCCCCTTCCATAAGACGTATGATTTATTTTTTTTTCTTTTTACTTAGAAAAAAAAAGAAATAAAGACAGAAAATGCATGTTAATCCGATGCGGTTGGCTTTGCGATCGTGCGAATAGGTATCAATTGAACTTTTCCTTTATCAGCACGACGTATTCGTTTTTTAACTTGACTTTTAACCATTTCTTTGCTGATCTCGACTTGCTTAACCCATGATTTTCTTTTGAAATAACCGGCTTCTTCTAAACAGCGTACCGCAGTTGATCGTGTCGATGCACTTGCATAGCGTTCGTAAGGTTGCACAGTTGATTGTCGAATATTTACATCTATGTGAGATTTAATTGGAGTCAAACGTTGTAATGATGGTTGATCGGGTAAAGGAATATAAGTATCGATATCGATCGATTGTCGTTCGCTGGGTTTCGGCACAGACAGACGATTTGTTGATTTCTGTGGATAAACATTTGGTATGTCGTCGACAGATTGTTTGGTTTGTGAATATAATTCTTGCCGTTTTGTTTCGAGACGCTGGTGAAATTCTTGATTTATACGTAACGATGCTATCCCATAGGCATCAGCTGATGGCATGCTGACTGAATCGTTGTCTGGTTTATTCATAGTGCGAATTGATTCAGATTTCTTTGCTAATGACGGATAAGCTATCGAAGCTCTCAATAACGGAGGAGCAATAGGAGGTAAAGTTGGTTTTTCTTCCTCATTGATGACGATCGCTGGTATCGAAGGAAAGCTTTTCAATGCTGATTTTCGTTCATCTAAAATGGATAGTGTTCGGTCTCTTCTGACATCTTTATCACCATTACCTTCTATGCGTTGAATTCTTGCCGGTACGTTGGAGAGTACTGACGATGTAAAGTCATTAGTTGAAGTATT